ACATGAGAGGAACTTTCCGAAATGAAATTGGTTTTTTTTTAATCAGAGACTGTTTCCAAGTTCTTACGATATTCTTATTTTTTGGCAAATGAAACCTTGGTTTTTTAAAAAAAATGTTCTCTTTTGAAAATAGTATTGGCTGGTGATGTTCTTGATAATGTCTGTTACTCTCGCCTTGCATGGAGGCTGCCCCTGTTCCCCTTCGCGGTAGAGATGCTGGCACAGCCCCGCCTCTCCTCCGTTTGACGAAACTTTATTTTTTTAAATTTGATTTGCATCGCACCTGAGTGCAGGGACCGCGGAAGCAGGGAGGGGGGATGAGGGGTCTAAAACCCTCAAATTATTTCAAAGATGTAGATTTATCTTTATTTTTGGCATGTTAAGCCCCTCTCCCCAAAACGTTTAAGCCCCCTCGATCTGTAATATTCTTCGCGGTCCTTGCCTGAGTTGTCACTCATTGCGTCGGAGAATTTTTGGTGCCACTGTGCCACCCCTTCAACAACGCGAGAATGCTCAGTTTCCAAGTGAATGGCTGTATTCTTGGGCAAGAAAACAAAGACAATTTTGAAATCCGCTACCAAATCGGTGATTTATCGGTTTGAAAGTGATTTTCGCTAACCGACAACTCTCTTTCCTCACAGCTAATATTGAAACTCTCATACAGGCTTCAATTCCCTTTGTGGTACTTCCGCCATTCTAGACAGCTCTTTATAGTCAAAGCACAGGTCAAGTCTTATATTGTTGTTTTTCTGGCCAAGATACAGTATCGTCTTTCTTTGACCATTATCAGACATGGACGTCGAATCTAATGTTTTCAACAATGTTTTTGTCCGTACATGTTGCTTGCGTGGATAATCCATGAGAAGACTTGTTAAATATTGGTTCAGGTGAATTGTCTAATTCCGCAAACTCATCTGGATGAAAATAGGCCTAAGTCAGATATTGAAAAGGAATGTACTGCTGAACTAGTTGCAACTTAGCTATGAGCAAGCCCTTTTTAAAGAGAATTTCCCTGCCAGACATCCTTGAGCTGCATTTTGGAGAAAGGTAATTATGTAGGAAGTGAATTTTATCTTCATTTAAAACTGGATTCTCTTCTTTTGACGATGTACAATGCCTGTCAAAAGTCCTTGGAACACTCTGAGATTTCTGTAAATTCGCGTATCCCCTCTCCATGTCAACAAGGAGGGTGTTGCCCCCCTTCCCCCTCATACAATGTTGATTCGCTAGCTGAAAACCATAGCTATGTAAAAATGTATCACTTGTACATGTAGGATTGGATTATTAATATTTCCGTGGCACAACATTGTATAAGGGGAGAGGGGATGTTGCAGCTCATGCACAACCCTAAATTATGGCCAGTGTTCCAAGACGTTTGGCAGGCATTGTAGATGATATCTTGGTTTCTCCTGACTACATCTTACATTTCCATTACAAACTGTGAACTAGATGGTCGTTGTAAAATCCTTTCTAGCAGTAGAAACAAGGACGAAAACAAGTTGCTAATTTTGGAGGGGCGTGGAAGGATGAAAATTCCAACTTAAAGTGAGAAATTTTTCATTCGGCCAGTAAATCTGTTGTACCTACCAAATTGATATTTGTAAATAGCCCGAACACCATAGTTCTATTTTCTTTATAATTACCAAATCTTTACTCATTAATTAGCCTAAAGCATAAAAGCCTAAATCTCTAAATTTTGATTAACATGAAACAAACATTAAACTTACTGTAAGAAGTAAAGCAACATTTAAGCAAAACCGGTATTAGATATACTTAATGGTTAGTAGTATTCTTTCAGATCAATTAATCAATTTTATCTAAAATACATTTGTTCACGATATAGAAGCACCAAGAATTTGGGCCTTTTATTTTTGTTCTTGATCGAAGAAAACTACCTTTAAACTTTTCAGAGGGCCAAATGCCTTTTCATTCTTTACAATTGAAATGATTATTTGAGAACAAACTTGTGCATATGCCTGATTCGAAAGATGAAACACTCTTCTTTTATCAAATACTTCTACTGCAGTTTTTGCAATGTGTTCTTGCTTCAAAGCAGTTTTGTCATAGGAATTTATGATAAGGACTCAAGGACATTAACAAAAAACAGGGGGAGTTTAGCATAAACTCGTTTTTTATAAGAAGCGCTGAGAATTTTTAGTACTGAAAGATTCTTAATATTTTATTGAATTAACTACTCGTAGTTTCTAAAAAAATTCCCACTCTAATATTTTCTGATCAATGCGGGTATTATTATTCCAAACTGTAAAGTTTCAAGTTTCTTATCCAGAATTTCACCTTGCCTGTTCGTAATTTGATTCAACTCCCGTCAGAAAGAAAGAAAAAGAAAACGGGGCAAGTGTGCAATTTGGATCTAGTGGAGACGGGACTCACAATAGAAAACGATTGGATTGGTCAGCTTCAGCCTGTGAATTTTAATGTTTAGAATTTTTATATTTAAAATAAAAAAACTTCTTAAAATATAAAATTCACAAGTTTGGTCTTAAGAAAAAAATTCCAAGTCAACCGTTACGTTTTCCAACTGTAACTGGATTTACCAAACTTTGGGGGGCGTTACGCCCCCACGCCCCCTATTATTTACGTGCCTGAGTAGAAATGTTTACCAATATAACCTAGGCTAATAATAGAATAACACGGCCGTTTATGTAATTCGTGCAACCTCCAATGTGCGGTTTGGAATTATACAGTTTTAGCTACAGTTTTAGCCTTATTGCTTGCCACACACCCTTGTTTTCTCTGCAATTCTCTAGACATGCGTTTAAGGAATTGACATGCGAATTTTGCCGCGCGGACGACGGAGCAGTGGTTGAATACTTTTTCAAATTAATGCTAATAGGCAGAAATGGTCCATCTACTAGCATAGACACTTTTAAGCGCTTTTAAGGCGTCTATTTCAAGAAGTATAACGTGAAACTCCTTTTGATTCGCTTTCCAAAAAGACTCATACAAACAAAAAAATTCATTCTTGATTAAGCTTGAGCCTTGTATTATTCTTAAATTGTTCTTTGATTTCATTGATTTTGAGCCACAGTATTCTTTTAGACTATATTCCTATAATAAAAAAAAGTGTACGCAATCCACGCGCAGTTTACATTTTTTTAAGGAACCACTTTATAAGGAACCTACATGCAGAAAAAATTAAAGAGACGTTAGTGCTACAGATAAAAGCCCCCGAGGAACTTTACATTTTTTAATATTCTTATCACTGCAAACAATCAAGAATTAGGAAGTGAGGGGGGATTCACTCTTGCGAATAGCGTCCGAGCTTTTGCCTAAAACAAAAGGATTTCTGTGGATTTTCAGATAAACAATAGGATTTTCGCAAAAGATGTGCGAGATTTTCTTAGAGTGATTTGCCCCTCATTAGAAAGCCGGTTCCATTCATTTGAAGTTATAAACACACAAAAAATTTGTGTCTCGAAGGTACCTATTTTCAAAGTAAGTTTGTGACATATCTTATAAACTACTTCGTGGGCAAGAAACCTTGCCAGGCGAAAAAATCAAGCATTGGCCTCGTGACGTCAGAGCTGTACATACGTAATGATAGGATTGTATCTGCCAGTTTCTGTCCGTAAGAACAATAAACAGGAAGGCTAAACCACCTTTTGTTTTAGGGATATCGCCTAGGCGTAATTTCCTCAACGGGGCTACGATTCTTTGCCTAATTGTATTATTGGCATCACTTGTTTTTTATTCATTCAGTGTTTATGTTTCGCGTTGGATGACAATCGATGGCCTGCTCTACGTTTCCAGATTCTCGTTCAGTTAATTATGCTATTTTGTAGTGTTGTTATTCCGAAAAGAGCTGTTTACAAAACTTGATCTATACGTTGCTTCATCCTGCAATGCGGGAATATAGAAAAGTGGATGATACACGCGCATTTTCCTTACCACAGTTACATATCCCTTCTAGGTTGAAGCTTGATGGCAGGAAGAGAAGCAAAACAACGCTGTCTGACAATAATCAGAATGGTCACGCTCCCGTTGCTCAACACGAGCAACTTTCTGTACAAACCAGTTTGGGTGATGGAACAGCCAGCCGACCACGAAGCCTCACTGGAGACTCAAACGATCAGTTCATTCTAATAGACACAATCAGCATCGATGAATCAGTAAGTATATACTTTTTCCTCAAGCCTTGTTGTTGATCGCTTTTTTGTGACGTCACAAGATATTGTTGAACGCAGTACGTACTATGACCAATATCAGCACCGTGACCAAGTTGGGAAGAAATGCTGTATGGCATTTGCGACACAGAACGGCAGTTGATGGCCCGAGATGGCATTTGTTTACAAACGGATCTATATCTGGAAAGGGGAACTTTTCTTTCTGTGCTGAGTGACAATGTGATGACGTCATATTGTTCGAAGCTTGGAACTTCGACCTGATGTGAGCGAAAAAATAAAGTTGAAATACCCAGTATTTTGTTTACATCAGTATACATATTGTGGATCAGGTTCTTTTGAGGGCCATTTTGCAAAGTTGTCACTGATGTAATTAGGTTTCATGGATCGAAGGATGTGATGAAGAATCTGTTAAGTATGACATCATGCAAGAAAGTCACGTGTCTCAATTTTGTCAAGGAGTCCTTCTCACTTTTGCTCGGAACAAAATCATGAGAACATGTCTGCTTTTATCATGAGAATTCTTCAGCTTCTCTTTAGTTTCCAGTCTTCCAGTAGTTAGTACGTTGCAATCATATTTAAGCTGCGTCGCTTTATCTTGATATCATTGGTTTTCGAGATTTATTCCCTTATGCAAGTGATAAAAATCTCCGTTTTCTTTAAGAATCTATATGAAAATCGGTTTTTTAAACAAGTTACAATCAATCTTTCAGTGAACATGATTTGTACCCCCCCCCCCACCCCCAGAACAATTTTCCTAAAAAAGGACCTATCACCACCCTCTCTCGTCTTTCATAGGTTTTGAGCCACTCCACCAACATCCTTCACTCTCGTGCTTAGAACATTTATTTGGGGGGTCACATTTATTTGGGGGGGTCAGCTCTATGTTTATGGGATCAGGACATCTTTAGTATTTTCACTTGACGTCTGACATTTCACTGTAAATCCTTTTCTGAGCCTCTGTAGATTAATGGTGATCTCGCGGAGAGATTTCCTTTGTGGTTTGTCTTGAAGTTAATGAAGGATCTTCTTGCTGCTTCGCCTTTTTTAAAGATGTTTAGATCTTTTGCTGTCGGTGAATTAAGTTTAGGAAATGCAGATATAATTGTCAATTTCTTGAATTATTGATGAAGAACAGCTTATCAAAAAATGACGCTTGTTAGCTGAGTTTGATTTCCAGCAATTTTTTTCCTGTTTGCCCATGTCTTGAAATCTATTGTCATTTGCTATTGACAAGGCAAAGCTTCAAACCGAGCGAAAAACTATACATTTGCAACAAGGAGAGATCTTGCTGCAGAGATTTGCTTATTGCGGAATAATCGCAAAGGACTTCATATATTGGACAGCTTTTGTTTTTGTCCCATCAACCTCTTTTTCTGTTTCAAAGAGACTAGTTAGAGCTTGTCTCAACAAGTTTTTCCGAAGGATGCAAAAGGAACCTCTCTTTTGGAACGTTTTCACACTTCCACCCAAACTAACATCGCCATAATATACTTCAAGGCATACCCTCACGAATAGCTGGGAGACTGTCACGTCTAATTTGTCACCAGATGTCTCAAATTGACAGAACGACCAAATAAGGACCGCTGCTTTAATGCTTCCTTTAAAGGCATGCTTGTTTCACTCTATTGTTTTTTCTAACCATTGCTTCTAATACATCACTTTGCCATCATACATAAAACCTGTAAGATTGGTCAACTGATAACATCTTTCCATGACTGAAGGACGCTGCTTTCATTCAGCAGGCCCCTGCGCCGGCCTTCCTCTTTAGTGCAGGCCTCGAATTAAAGGATTATAACAAGCCAACGCAAAGGAATCCGTCAGCACGTTAAATCAGTTTCATTAATAATCGCTGGAGTAACAGGTACTCGGCATAACGAGATTTTCCTTCTCGTGTATGCTCTTCACATGGATATCTGCAGGTATTTTCCATGAAAATGTATCCTCGAACAACCAGACATCAATCACTGCCAATCATAATTTTTCGACAGGTTTGCTTCGTTTTTATTCTAATTTCAATGAAACATGGTTGTTGTTTATTTATTCTCTGGTATTTTATACTACTGGTTCTGATTCGCTATTGTAGGTTTTTTAAATGTGATCCATAATTGCTGCTTCTATATCAGATGATGTATCGAATCGACCTTATAATTTTCTTTCTTCTTTTTCCCTGTCTTTTTTGCAAAGCAATTTTTGTCAGTGTTGTTCTTGATTATGAATCACTGATATTCATCTGTAAACTTATTCCAATTTTACTTCCTGCTATATTTTTACTAAACATTTGCTCTTACATTTAACATTCATTATAGGTTATTACTTTGCAGCATTAAAACCTAAAGCGTCTTTTTGCTGTAACTTAGACCAACTAGCCACTATTATTCTACTTTTATTTATAATTATCAACAATTAGCATTACAGTGTTTGTCCTTTGCACAAAGAGTGATTATAAACTGTCTATGCTCTCAGACGCATTGTACTCGAAATCATTATTGTGAAACAGCTCAGAAATTTCTATTGCAATGTGTTCCTTCACTGCGGTCTTTGTCGAAATATAGATTACTTTTCTTACAGTTGTTTTTCTACAATTTCATAACCTGCTAATTCCACTGGCTCCTTGAAGCAAGCCGTGTAAGATTTTAGGGGTATCTTTGTGTTGCTTTTTGTCGTAGTGAGTTCATGAGCATCCGTCTTGACTATATGATGATTATTATGTCATCCTTAGTGATCTTTTTTCTCAGTTAACTTACTCATCAGCAAAATCATAATCGATCATCGTTAAAGCAGTAATCAGCAAAATGATTGTTTTTTCTTTTTATTATACCAAGATAAAGTAAGAGAACTAGTTTTTGCGTTTACGTGAAGAGTGGGCCAGCCCGCTCAGGTGAGATCCGCGAGAAAGACAGGTGGGATCCGCGTCTGGTGGGATAGAAATTATCCATGTAAACGCAATCAGGTGGGCTGGCCCACTCACAGAATGTCATCACGCGTGCGTAGGGGAATTTGGCGCTAAAGTAAACATTCTGAAGAATTCCGTACAAACTTGTTGATCGCATACTTTTGACAGATCGTATACAAAATCCAAATTTCTATGAAATGAAGTACGAATCCGAGCATACCGCATAACTTAAGAATGCCGCATACGATCAGAAAGGGATTCGAATTGTTTTTCGCCATTGTTGAGGAAAACTGATGTTTTTCATTGTGGCGCCAAAAACTAAAAAAACCCACAATTTTCAAATAAGAAGCCATCCCACCTGAGTGGGATAAATCGCGCCCTCATGTAAACACTTGCGAATACGATCTCACCTGTATGGAAATTAGCCCACTTTATGTAAACAGGCCTTAAGTATACGTCATCGTGGCAGTTCAGACCCATAAAATTCAAACTACCAAATATAGCAGAAAAAAGCCAAAGAGAATTCATTTAGTTTGCTTGACAAATTCAACGGTGCATGTCAGTATCAATTTGTTTGCTTTCATTAACATCAATCATTACCATGCTCTTCAGTGTCAATCATTATCATAATCGTCATCGATTAGAATCATAATCATCAATCACATTGCTAATCGATCATCGCCATAATCGATCATCAGAACAATCGCTTTCATCAAGATAAACATTGTCATTCCAGCATCATCAATCATTATCAAGTTTTTGACGTCAATCATTGCCAATCATAATCATTTATAATCATAATCATCATGCAACATAATTGTTATCATCATCACAATCACTATCATTAACCCATCATGATCAACAATCGCCGTCACTTGAAGCTCTGTAAGCGTCATCGTATAAACACGTGCATTACGTATTGATTACTTTGTTTAGGTTGATGGCAATGTTGCTCCGTATGATATGTGGGATGAAGCAGATGGTGGAACTCCTGATAATGAGGTATTGCATTATCCGCTTATCAATTTATGTTTATTTCATCGCAGAAGGGGCAAACCAGCACAATAAAACTATCACAGCTCGGTTTATTCATTTTGTTGTCATCCATAAGATTTTGCAATAAGTAAACATTGTGAAGTTTAAGAGACATGGTAATAATTTGTTTATTACGTCAGCGTGTAATCTTTTGTAAGGACAATTCAATGCTAGCGAAAGATTTTTAGTGTTTTTCTTAGGAATTGTTCTATCAATAGATATGCAAAAATGAGTCTTTTTCGAAGTTTCTGCGTCTGATTTTGGCAATCACACGTCGCCATTAAATCCTTTGATTTGTGTAGGATAGGGTTGATTTATTTGACTTAGTCCAATGAAAAGGTCGTATCTTTGTTTTCCTCCGAATCAATTATAGTTAATCTGAATAGACGAAATATACGTGGGTGTTCAAGGCAACCCTTTAGTCAACGTCAGAAAGTTTCTTGGGATCATTGTACCATGTCATGGTTGAAAGTAAGAACTTTCTATTCACAAAATACCCTGTAAACGATAAAGTGGATTGAACGAAAGCAGCAGCAGAGCTGCAAAAATTTAGATGGATTCCAAAGTCAATTTTTGTGCTAAATTCGTACTGGCAAATGTCCGCTTGCGACGGCAAAACAATGTGGCGAAGAGATAATGCAATTGCGAAGGAGCTTTGAACTCGCATTGTGTCTTCGCCGCACTGGTCCTCTGCCTTCTCATGCCTAAATGTGGCGCCAATGAAAACTTTTTTATTCCACTTTACATATTCAAATCACGGAAGTGATTTTTCATATTAATCAGGTTACTTTAATGCATCGATACTGTTGCGAGGGGACTGGTTTAGTGGTCAGACAGGAACCCAGAACTCTATATTCTAGAGGATTTTACTGTGATTTCTACTGTTAAAAATCTTGTATCAGTGTCGGTTTCTATTGAATTCGACTTATCTACAAAAACCATTTATTTACATGTAATTGGCATGTGAGTTAATTACACGAATGATTATACCTTTTCAAGATCGCCTGTTTCATTTTTAGCGTGCAAGCCAGGAAATTGAAAAGCTGAAAATGAAGATAAAGAAAATTCGACAACAACTTGTTGAAATGCAAAATATGAAAGCAGGTTTCTTTTTTACTGTTCATATTTCCACTTTCCAGACAGTTCCTATCTGACAACTCTTTTATTACCAACACCAACCAAGTCTTGCAAATTTTACATCATCATCATCAATTCATTTACAGTTGGTAATTTCATACTTCCTAAAAAAACTAATTTACACCAACTTTTAACAATAAACCTAATAAATATATATAAGTTACCGATAAAAGGAATACGAACGTCTAATTACAAACTGTACAGAGGCAACTGGCTCCATCCCAAGTCTTAATTTCCTTTTTGAAAGTCCAAACAGACTCAAGGCTCTTCGTATCATCATCAAGGGTATTCCACGGTATAGCCCCCCCCCCCGCCCTAAATATTTGGGGGTTTATACCATATTTTATTGTGTGAGACATCTGTAGAAATTCGCATTCTCCCAGGGATATGAAGGGTTTAGGTGGTGGAGGGTTTTTTAAACTCCTAAGAGCAGTTCCTGTTGGTTTTTACGTGCATTGTAAAATCCCTGGAAAATCATCTTCATGCCTTGATAGAAGTTCTTTGAAAGTGATTCAAAATCCTTGCACAAAAACCTTAAAGCGCGTTTATGTACTCGATTGATGTTATTGTTGGCAGCTTTGCTACAGAATAGCCAGATCAGAGGACATGCGTTGAAATTTGACATTATGATAGCATTGAACAGTATATTTGCTTGATTATCGTCAATATAGTAATCGTGACAATCAAGAGAATGCTTTCACTTTCATGCTTACTTTGATGCAGAGGTCCTCTACCTGTTGGCAGAAAATTAGCTTATTATCGATAGTAGCTCCTAGTGATTTCACGTTGTCACTAGCACGTATGATTTGGCCATTAATATTTATACTCAATTGTTCAATTTCTTTCATAGTGCTTTATAGTCTTGCAAGGAAGCATGCAAGAAGGGAAACAAATATAAACAATAATTCAGTTTTTCTTCTTCTTTGATATTCTTCAACTTGACTTTACAACCACTTCTGCTACCTATCCAACCTATTTATATCTCCGCTTCAACTTCCGTCTCCTCTCTCGCTCACTAATCACAACAACAACTCTCGTTCCAGTCTCTCATTACTCACATCCTCACAGTCTCATAGCAGTTGCGAGGAGCAGGTTCTTTGGCAACAATGTCTCTTCGTTCATATTCCTTAGTCCTGCTGTTGTTAGAGTCTGTAAATTTTCAGTGTCTTGTTGTAAGAGACTACAGAAGGTTCTCAGAATCTCGTCTTCCTAATAGAGTTCTTTAGTGTGACGTAAAAAACTATTTTCAAAATTTTTAGTTTTAACCACATAAGATAGAGAACTTCACAAAATATCTCTAAATATGTAAAACCAGGTCAATCTGCCAAAACGGGTTAGATATGGTCATTATAAAATTTGAAATTTGCCAATAGATCGCTGTAATTTCGGCTCTGCTCTTTCAGGCTACGAGATCAAAATTTCAAAATTCTAAACATAAATTTTTGTGACGTCATTACTTAAGAACTCTATTCCACATCGCTTCATTCGTATCACAGGTCTTTTGTTGCCTTATCTTTCGTTCATTAATTTAGCAATTTGATAGTCCTTTTCATGCTTCTATTCAAGTACTTGTGTTTCCTTTATGCTATGTTAGCGAGAAACAAAAGATCTTGATCCGTCGTGCATGGTAAGGCGGGTTCTTGTGATAAGCTTAGATTTATTGTTGCTTCGGAGCGTTGCCTATGTTTTTCGACGAACTGCCCATTTTGTTGATGCAAATATTTGTCTGTAGATAGTCGATTAGCAGAAAATTCACTGTAATTCGCATATTGTGAACAGTTGCTTTTTTCGTCACAGAAAATGTTCAGGAATTCCTGGAAAGTGCGAACCAGAAGTAAGTATTTTCAGCCACGTGTTTCTTCTTAACTTGGAAAATTGACTACTCGACTAGTTTCTTTCGCACTTTTAAAATATTTGCAATAGGTCTTTGCATTTCAAGAGGTTATAAGCCCGTAAGTTATTATGCTGTGGACTTTGATTGTAGGAAATTTAGCGAATCCGGATAGGGATCATGTTTTGCTGAATGTCATGTTGATAGAAGAGCGTTTCATGATCCTAGGCGACCTTTGATTTGTTGATAGGGTCAAAAAACTCCTCGTCGTATATGACACGAGGTTAATCGGATTCCCATCCGGGTTTCCTAGTTTTGCCATATTAAAAATGTTTCCATGTCGCCCTTTTCCATTATTATCTAGTGTGTGGTTTCATGGGAGGGTGTCGCGGTGATTTTCAATAAGATGCGTCATGCACGGATGGTCATTTTATTTTACCTATTTGCCATTGAGTTGGATTAAAAAGTGTGGCTGAACGAGATAAAAAAGCTGACGCCATAAAAATTTATTTGTAGAATTTTCCAATTTTATTGTAATTTTGTCACTTGTGTTATTTTGAAAGAGGTTTTATCAAGTAGTTATGACAGATACGATAAAACAAGTATTGGCCGAGATATAGCCTTTTCTTTTCTGGTGAAATCGTTGTAATTATGGCGTAGTGGATAACATTGTTTTCTCTCGCAACTGCAGGGGGACTTGTATTAGCTCGAGCTCTTCTAGCCTTTCGCAAATCAACATATGAATCGAAATTAAGGTTGGAGGCCAGATATGCCTCTTGGCGCTAATTTTTTTAAAAATAGCCAAAGCTATAGATGCTTATATTTTAAAATATTTGGAACCTACTTAAGTGAAATTTTGCATAAAAAAGGTCTCACGGTGTTCTTGCTGACGGTAGCCACCATCCAAAGTCAAGGGTTATAATGATACGTCATCACTGATGTCATCATCATCATCATGGGTTTTATGACGTCATCATTTTCAACACAGTGGTTCGGCCTTTAGATGCTCATATGCTGAGGTGGGGAGAGCAACAAAGCTACTCAAGAGTGCTACGTACGGGATTTGCATTTGAGCTTATTCTGATCAGCATATAGTGATTCCCAGCTGGTTAGAATTATTATCTTGTATTGCAAAAGTAGTTAACTTTTCCAGCGTGCGCTGGAAATTGTACCAATTCTGAGAGCGGTCCTGAATAGATTTTTCATTTTTTCTTTTTTCTTCTTTTGAGAAACAAGTTGAATTTCGAGAAAAGGCAACAGAAGACCAATGCAAACATTCAACAAATGCAGCGAAAACTTGATAAATACCAGAAGATGCTTAAGGTATTATAATTAAAGTGACCATAAAATTTACTGGAACGGCTTTATAGTACTAGGTTACGATCGAAAACGGAACTCCTGTAATATCTATCTGCGTGTTGTTGTTCTTAGATGTTTCAGTCAATTATAAGCCTTAGCGTGGTAGCGCTGTTTCCTTTAATGTTGATGTTTTCAGACACATGACAAGTATTTGTCGTCCCTCTGGAGAGGGTACCCAATATGTCCCCTGATTCCCCCATTCCCGCGACGTTTTTAGCCCGATTCCCGATATCCGATTCCCGATAACCAATTCCCGAATCCCAAATTTTTTAATTTTCAGAAGCCTGGATCCTAGTATGACGCAATGCTACTTCATTTTGCTTTGAAACCAATTTGAATGAGCTTTCTGAAAGTACTAGGATGTCTCTTATTTTTCGAGCCTATTCAAAGCTTAGTTTAGAGTGAACACTTACCTATGTTTACGCTCGTCTTTATTTTGATTTCTGTTTTGTATGGCGTTTACGGGTTATTTAACATAGCCTACCAAGTTCGGACGTTAAACAGGATTTTTCGTTGATCCCGTTTATGATTTTCTTTGTGACTAGGAGTACGAAGAGCGAGGTGTCAGTCAACACAGAGCTAAGGAAATGTTCAGGTAGATTAAATCGTCAGGTATTTTTGGCCCTTGAACATGAAATCAAATCCTTGATTTGCTATGCATAATCACAAACTTCTCTCTGTAAGAAAATCATACAGAATGAGTTCAATGCTTCGTTTGTGTTACATGCTCCAAAATTTAATGCATAAACTATATATTAAACCTACCTTTTAGTGGTACCTTTCTGTTTCTATCAGGAACCTCCCTCAAGCTTTAATCATAGCTCCTTTTTGTTGGTTTTCTATATCTGAAAAGCTTTTATACCTGTTTTAAAATATTGGTATTCTTAATCTTGAATTCCTGTTAGAACTGAGAATGTCTCGTTTACTGTGTGGAATATTCAAGCAAACATTGGAATGTCTATCTTTTTAGTTATCACTGCCTTCTTTTTCAGGGGTATGCACGATGCAGTTAAAGCTGGGGCTTCAAGTATTTCCGGGTAAGTAGGTCAGTCACTCACGGGTCGCTGACAGTTTCCAAAAATACAGTAATGCCTTGTTCCTCGAGTACTCGTGAATCTAAAGCGCTTGAAACTTTCCCTAGTGTCAAACTAAGTGGACAGATTCGCTTACTCCACTTTCTAAAATTGTTTATATCGATGATATCTGCGCTCCCTGAGCTCATACTTGCAGCAAAGACATTTATAAAATTTTGCTAGAATTCAATTATCCTGAACAACTTTTTTAGTAGTTTGTTTTTCCAAATGCCTTTCCTCTTTTAGTGCGGTTACAAAACCAATCGAATCGATGAACAAATTTATAAAAAAAGATCGTCGGTCTGGCAGCGCAGATAACCTTGGTACATCAGCCATTACAGGTATGTAAATATGAAGCATAGCAAGAAGTATGGCGGACGTCTTGTTCCCTGTGTTCGGATTTTTCATATTGCCGAGTTTTAGATTTGACGAAAGGGCAGGAAAATTAAGCATACAATAATGCCTAAATTTATGTTAAGACACTGTTCGTTTGACACACCCCCGAAAAATGCAGTGTGTCGGGAGGAAATTGTAAACGTAATTGTTTTGCTTTGCATGCTACGTGAAGAAGATCTTGTTCGATTCACAAAGCTGTCTGCAATTGTTGAAGGACTTTTTAATGTTATGCTGCCATCGATGAATTTTGCATGTGAATTTAATGTCCTCTTCGTGTGATTAAAGCAGCTTGACTTTGTAGGTTTGGTAGTGAAAACAAATATTTTATCAAATCTTTTCCTTTATAATTACACAATTTAACGCTCGGTTTTTCAAAATATGAATCTCAAGCCTCAGATGAAAAATTAAAAGACAAAAAGATGTATGTTTTTGAAATTTTACTTTCATTTTGACAAAAAAGAGCAGATTTCATCAGCTAATAAACCGTGTTACTAAACTTTGTTAGAAACCTTTCTACAGGTCTTAGAGACCTTTTTGTTATATGTAGCTATAGAAAAATTAAGGTTGAAATAAAAACAAGATTCCAAACAGTCGAGCTACAAACTTTGTAGTAGGATTCAAGAACAATGAGCCCTGGAAAAAATTATATGGCTCTCTTAAAAGAAGATTGTAAACGAAGACACCCGTTAGTTAGCTAAAAGGAGAGAGAAAATAGTATCAGGAGCATTTGTGTTATGTGAATGGCCGTGTTCAATTGGAATCTGAGTTTCGTTGAAAGTTGGAAAATCTCCGCTTTTAAACTTAATATCTGAGTTGAGTTGATTCTAGAGTCTTCCTTTTAAGGAATGCGATTGTTCTCTGCACCTGCAAGTCAAGTTAAGTTGTAAGAAATAAAACACATTGGAGATGAGTTGAATTGAAAGAACCTCTGCAGTCGTACCTGCTGATATTAAGCCTTTTACCAACTTGCTTATGAATTATTAAACATTTGTCTTATTTTCCTATTACGGAACTTAGATATCGTTTTCACCGATGCATTACCTATGTCTCTTATCTTTTTTGAAGGCGACGGTAGCTTGATGCAACAGGACGAAACCGAGCAGTCGTATTTAAACAGTTGCAGGTTTGTTCTGCTTTCTATGTCTTCACTCTTCATGAGATCTGCTTTCATTTTGCGAAATCGCAGGAGATATATCCATTGCAATGCCTCTTTGAAGAGATCTGTATCTTACCAGGAAGAATATTGATCTAAGCTCTTTCTTGACGGGGGACTTGTCAAAGAAACATAGAAATGAATGGGGTCAGCGTCTCAGCCTATTTATCATTTTCCTCAGTGAAAAAATCAGCTGCAGTTGTGCTGACTTGATAAGTAAAGAAATATTAGATTATGTCATGAGGTGTAATGATGAGGTAGAATGTCTTAGCTAAGAATCACTCAAAGTATGAATTGGTCATGTAATAAAAAGCACTGCACAGTTAGGTACAAAAAGGCATCGCGCGATCTCTTTGTTGTTATTAGTAGTCAAGCGAGACATAAATTACAAACAACCGCGTGTGCGTTAGGGTGGCCTGGGTCTACCCCTTTTCATCAGACCTGAAGCAGTGGCGCAACGGCGACCCTTAGGAATAAAGTTTAAAAAGGGACTGTATCTACAGACTACTAGACAAGACGTGGTGTATAGCATGTTAAACATAGAGCAAGATGCAAAAATGAGAATTTTTCTCGTTTGCTAGGGAGACCTGAGCTGCATGCTTCAGTTAAAGAATGTTTTAATATGTTGAAAACAAAGCGAACTTGAGCGTAGACATTGATGTTAAATATCTTGGGGGTCCCTTTTGGTTGGGGGCCCTTAGTTATCGAACGTAGTTTCCCGTAAACAGCGTTCCGCCACTGTCTTGAAGCTTGCAAGTAGAATAGACTGCAGCGATGCATTAACAAAGTTTGGCGACGTAGTAGGGGAATGTCAACGTAACTGTATCTACTCTGCTTAACATTAGGGTTTCACGCAGTTATTTCTTTATTTACTCGGTCTGTTTGTTGTCAATGAATTTTCCTTTATCAAACTATATCGTGAAACTTGAAAATGAAAACTAATTATTTTTATATATGAACGAATGTTTAAACGCTAATATAAATACTGCAGAAAATAACTCCTGCAGACGTTTCACTTTCGCTGTGTCAGAAAACTTTCCCGTTAGTTATAAAACGAAAGCAAAATGCCATTTAAAAATGTTTTTTCTCGAGTCATTGTATATGAAAGCATGGCTGTGTACGCTATTTTCATACTAGCTTTAAGTTAAGGCTACAAATGAACTCAAAGTAAATTGTGTAATTTTTATCTATTCTACATTTTAGTGATGACGACACATCGAGTATCAGTTCGACAACGAACCTTCCTCTGTAAGCATCTTAAATGTCTTTGATTTCGTATGCATTTAATCACATGCACTTATTTTATATGCAGTTTGCTTTAATCTCCAATTGCATACTTCCCTTTAACTTATGTGTGCAAGACTCAATACAAATGTATTGTATTTTTTAAGCGAGGTCTATTTTCAAATTTTTAATTTGATGGAAGATGTATACATCTAAATATGAATAAGAAAATGCAAAAAAAAATTTTTAGCAGAGCGAACCAGCTAGAGAAAGGGTGGGACATGGGCGTGGTCCCTGAAAAATTTTTGTTTTACAGCTAATATGGCCAAATTGTCTTCAATGGCTTGTCCGAAGTTTTCATATAATACCTAGGTTTGTTTGACGTTATGTGATATTGCCACCTGCAAGGATTAAATGGTCTCGCAGCATTTTATCACTAGAAAGAGGAATCTAGTACTGCGAACAATTTTCTCATTGTTGGATTGTCGAAAGACAAATTGTGTTACGTCACGTTGAGTCACAAATGACAATGGTACAGTATTCTGCAGTACTGGTTGAATGAAGTCTAGTACTGTGGTGTACGTAAAGGGCTTATTAAATGCCAATCTTTAAATGAGAATTAAGATATGGAGGATATGAATTAAGATATGGTGTATTCCGCTGCTCTTCTCTTTTGTGCCATCAATTATCATAGAAAAAAGCAAGATCATACAATACAAAAATATTTCGAGCTTTCAAAATAAAATGGTGCTAGACTGGTACCACTAATACTGCTGCAAGCCGCCATTGAGATACATTGTAATTGATTTTTGAGAAAAAATTGAGCGAGGGGCCACTATAAAGCTACTCCGCTGCTAGGGCCTAGGAATGGATTCCGTGGCATTTGTGTCATTTACATGCATAAAAACATAATTTAGTATTGTGCTGCTCAGTACCTAGGTTGTTACCACAATGTCATTTTGATTTCTGCAATGATATGAGCGCCCCGTTATAATCCCCTCTAACTTTGCTTGACTGTATATATTTTTGAAATAAAGCGTCGTTCCTAGTACCTCTTCCGTACAAAGCATTTCCGCCATTTTTATATGAAAACAAACGAAATTGCAAGGAGACGGTTTTATTTATTTATTTTGAGAAAATCCTCTCCTTCAAGTTTTAATTTTCAGTGCCTTATCCTTTTTGTTTAGGAATCTTTCTGGAAGTATAAACGCCCAATCATTGCACACACATTCTGTCGGCAGTGAACTCGAAAAACTTCAACATCGAAATAATGAAGTTGTGATGCTTCGGAAGGAGAACGAAGAACTCCGAGACACAGTACAGAAGTTGAAGGTGAATTGTCATCATCATCATCATCATGTTACCACTTTATGCCACTTACTTTTTGTTGTTATTTTTAGTACTAAAAGTTTCTTAAAGTACTAACTTTTTGTTGCTAGTACTAAAGTTTTCTTAAAGGTTTCTTAAATGCCAAGAATACGTCAACATGGTATCGAACACCTAATCAGTAGAAAGGAGTTCTTCTTTCTGTCATCTGGGCTCTTTTTTATTAAAGGCAATCAACAGATATTGAAGGGGCTTAAGCCGTCTTTCAATCAAAAACTGACCAATCAGTGACCGTGATTCTACTCACACGCTTATTGATTGGCTAATATTGATTGTTAGATGGCTTATGCCACTTCTAAATTTGTCGATTGCCGATAATTTCCTATTTGTCAAAACTAAGAAATTGCCTTCCCATCTTTAGAAACAGGATGTCAGTTTCCGCATATCAGTTCTATGGTTTTTATTTTTGTTCATCTCCAGTCTAGGTTCCTTATAGACATTTTCATATAAAGAATATGCTTGCATTACCCTCTCAATTCTGAAAGCAAATTTAACACCCGCTTCTCTTATTTTAGGACCAGCTTCTAGACATAATCAATACGTTGAATTACGAGCGATTTCGAGTAGATGTGAGTCGATTCTTCTTTCTGTATTCCACGCCTTACTGGCAGTACACTTTATTAGTTTTCGATATTTTGATTTTCAATGCTTCAAATTTTGTGCTTGATACATTTGCCTGAACTTCTTAAGTTATCTTTTATCGTAATTTTTACGAATTTTTTCGAAATTGATTAGTGAGCACATCTATTGGTAAAAGTGAAGCTTCTCACAAACTTGGAATATTTGAAATTAACCAGGCCTACCTTTCCGCTTTGGAAATATATTCTTCCATATTGGCTGTGTTCATTTTCTCGTTTAACTTATATTCTATTTACCAAAGTATCAATCAATCAATCAAAAACTTTATTAATGTGTCAAAAAATATTTAGCTTACAAGCTAATTGGGGACACAAAGTAAGCAATATTGATTTTGCTTGTGAGAGAGACGAAGTGGTGGTAGCTTTTCAGGGGAAATATATTGAAAATATCACAGCAAGGCTCATGTCATTTGATTTTTCAAGTAATTCTGATAGGCATTTGAAGTAAAACACCCCCTTACTTCATTGTATTGAATTTACAGGATCTACAGGGTCAGTTCCGAGATTTATTTAACCAATACAACGATCTTACTGAACTGCACCAGCAAGAGGTAAGACTCTTTTCAATTTATTGCTTTTAGTGAACGGTATTACCTACCTGGATCAAAAGCCTTGCGATTAACGCTGTTGTGCTTTGAAACAATGCAGTTGTTAACGCGAGAACGTTTAACGTTTAAAGTCGGGAAACTTTCAACATGAAACTTTTGTGCTCTTTTCGACAAGCCTTGTACAGCTTTCTCTGTTTTAACCATATATCTCTAAAATATGCAGATAAGTTAGACTGTCTTTTATGATATTTGACCGACAAATAAATGCATTTCGCGAACCCTTTAAGCAACATTGTATCGTTTTGGAGACTTGTAATTTAAAAGGCGTTATCAGAATTATTGACGTTATTTTAATCTGCCTTAGGTAATGGAAGTCAAAGAGGAATTATACAAAGCAGCAGACAGAATTGAATGTGTTGATTATCGGTCGGCGGAAAGAGCTGGCGAAATCGAAGAAGCTCTAGATTCTTGCGTTACTCGGGTATGAAATGCTAAATAGCAATATTGCGGTTTAATCTGATTAATTTCCGTATTCTCAACTCTGTATACACCACAAACAGCTAAAGGTCTTATACCTAGAGGCCCGAATTCAAGTTTGAAAGTGATTAGGGCAAGTGAAGCTAACGATTCAAAACAAATTTTGCAAAAGTTGGGGCCTTTATGTAGGTGAAAAAAACTGGCCGAAACTTGCAAAAAATGCCTTAGTTTTTCGCCATTGCCGAAGAGACATTGTTTAGATGATTTGGAAAACACAAAATTACTTCTCCTTGTTCTCCTGCCAACATATTTCCTCGATTAAGTGCCTTTATTAATTCAAGCCGTTTTTAGGGGGGAGCTTATTTAAAGGGCTGTTACTGACAAATCTCTGACAACCAATTTCGTATGAAAGCTCTTCGCGTGATAGTTGGCATTTTGCATACGCCAAAGTATACACCAATATGATTCAATAGCTACCAGGCAGAAAGGGATATTGGTCGCTGTATAATATCTACATTGCACAACTAACCGATAAATGCAATTTTCAATTGAATGACATGCAAATTTGAAAATATAATATTTTGTAGTAACCTTGCTTTTGCGCAAGTTTCGGTAAAAACAAAAAATTGCAGCCCAACGAAATGTCTCAAAGTGCCTGTTGCCTTTGCTCTGGCAGAATATGCCCTTGTTTGGCTACCAAGCTTTCCTTGTAAATGTCAAGCTCAATGTTGAAGATCTTTGAGGTCAGAGCGCAATCAGAGTCCTGTCTAAACTAGAATTTTATTCAAATTTTGGAAGTGTCCAGCTCTCTGTAATGCCAGGCGTAGGAATCAAGAGGCAGTTGCTGTTACACTGAATTAGCAGGGAGAAGCAATCATCTGTATATCTGAGAGAAGAATCCTTCAGTTAAGGATAGCGGTCACAGAAGTTCTTTTCGTTGTTTGTAACGAATCTGCTTGTATGATGTGTTGCTGCTATGATACAGCAACCGCGTATCATGTTTACAGTTACACTGCCCGAACGGAGTTAGGGTGAATCCTAGTAACTGTTGTGGACAGGCAATACAAACTGATTGTAATTTGAACCCTTTTCTTGTCCTTCAGATAAACAAAATGGAGTTACAACAACATCAACAACAGCAGCTGTTATTGTCTGTTGATGGGTACTTTGATGGAAGTGGAACAGCGAAAGTGCTGCTTTCAAAAGTTCTAAGTCTTGCTGTTTCACTTTTCGCCATCGTATTAGTACTCGTTTCGTTAGTTGCAAGGATCATTTCACCTTTCACATCAACTTGGTAAGTGATGAAAATTAGCTTGCTTTCATTAATATGGATTTTAATTGTCTTGTTCTCAATATAGTTCGATAACATAAAAGCCAAGATTGACAGGTCCGATAGAGGAAAAGTCTATGGGATATCAGTCCCCAGGTCCTGAATTATTTGCTTCACTGTCATAAGATAGATCTTAGGGGGATTCAAAAATTTAAGCGCTGGCGTAGGCTTCTTTTAGGATACGTGAACTAGCCATCGTTTGCAAAGGACGTCTGGACAAAAAGGAAGGTGTGTAGGAAAGCAGGCGAAACTTGAAATTGGGGGATGAAGATTCTCTAAAACCCTTGTTTGCAACCCACGCATTCCCTGCCAACCTTTCTTGGAGTTAAGCACCGTGTATAATTTTTGAAATAAGGGAAAACAGTAATGAAATAAGAGCTAGGGTAAAACGATCTCCTGTTTTTGGTGCCATTCCCCAAATTGTCGATCATTTCTTGTAGTTCAAGAATCTAAAATAATGAATTGATGGTTGCAAGCGCTCTTTAATTGTTGGCCCCTTTTCAACATGCTGCTTGTAGATATGTTGCTTTGAACTTCAAGCCTTGTTTTCTCATTTCCATAACTTTTGTGTTGATTGTGCTGCCTTTGTGATATCTACACTGAAGTTAAGAATTGAGGCTATTTTCAAAGCAAGAACCTTCTATGTAGATAAGGGTAAACAGTTTGTTTCTTATTCAATTGGCTAAAACACTTAAAGGAGGTTATCATTTGTGTGCTTTTGGGGAATTTGATTTCGCATAACACCGGATAAGTGGGAAAGAGAGGAGTTTGAAAATGAAACCGGATAAGTGGGAAAGAGAGGAGTTTGAAAATGAAATTTTTATCGGACTTCCTTTGTGAAAAGTTCTCAAGGAACTGCGCCTCGTAGACTTTTGCTGAAGCAGCAGAGTTGCAGCGCTGCACCAGAGTATTCAAGTGATGACGTCACAAAAATATATTTTTAGAATCTTTGAAATTTTTTCCCATAACCTGAAAAAGCGTCATGAAATACCTCTAAATCTGCAAAATCAGTCAAAGGTATTACGAATTAGCTGAGATGTGACCAGATGAGCACAAGATCTTGTCCCATCAAACCTCTTCAATATGGTCTCAGTCCATAACTTTATGAACATAGCCACAATAACAGTAATCCGTTAGCAAACTTCAAATCTTCTATTGACCATAGCTCACACGATTTTCGACAAATTTAACTGATTTTGCCTATATGGGAGTAATTTATGGTGTTCTTTCATGTAATGTGAAAAAACTTCGAAAATTCTAAAATAGTTTTTTGGTGACGTCACACTTAAGAACTCGCTTATGCTTCGATTACCTTCTCGACGACAAAGTTTGACTGCATCAAGAAAGCTTGATTCTATTGGAGCTTGCTGACTTTGTTAAGATATTTTGTACTTTTGAATGGTTTCAAAATCGTTGCATGACTGATACATGATCTCCTGAATGCTTTTCGGTTAAATGACTACAAAGATTGCAACACGATTCGATGATTTTGTCAATGATTGCATTTTTATCAAATGAATAGCTGATTTAAATCCTTGCACAGTAGGCCAATTGGTTTCTTTCAATTTTTGCATTTATCTATCCCAGTAAATTAATAACAAGTATTACTTTTTCGACAGGAAGCGAGCCCTTATCTCATTCTCTTTGTTGCTTGCAATTTTGCTGCTTTGGAAGAATGCAGACAAGCCATTACTTAAAGAACTAAATCACAAGATATCAGATTTTGTTCTTGTTTTCTACGAACGATTTCGAAGGAAATCAACACTCACAAAAGGCGATAGTACATCAACGAGGTAGCATGTTATTTGTTGTTGCAGTTGCTATCTTTGAAATGTAGAACATGCATGGGGTCGTTCATTTGGTCGCTTTTTGTAGCTGAATTTAGATTTGCAAGGATGATGTCAATTACTCAACCTCGAGCCAAGTTAAAGCGTGAACTAAAGCATCGCCTATACGAGTAACGCCCGTTGTGTATCACGTCCACGCTGGATCATGCATTTTTTAGTCAAAAAAAACAAATAATTCATGTAGTTTAAAATTGCAAAAGAAGAAATGGTGCGGAAAAGACGCTGACCGTCTTCGTCGTTTCTTTCACCTTTTGGTGGAAATTTTATCAAAAGTGTGATGTAACTTGAAATTATAGTACAGTTATGATGTTGATGATGTTTGACTTTATGACGAGATGAGTGAGGTAAAGCGGATGAGTGACGTATAGCGGATGAGTGAAGTAAAGCGGATGAGTGAGGCAAAGCGGATGAGTGAAGTAAAGCGGATGAGTGAGGCAAAGCGGATGAGTGGCGTATAGCGGATGAGTGAGGTAAAGCGGATGAGTGACGTACAGCGGATGAGTGAGGTAAAGCGGATGAGTGACGTACAGCGGATGAGTGAGGTAAAGCGGATGAGTGAAGTATAGCGGATGAGTGAGGTAAAGCGGATGAGTGAAGGCGGATGAGTGAGGCAAAGCGGATGAGTGACATATAGCGGATGAGTGAGGTAAAGCGGATGAGTGACGTATAGCGGATGAGTGAGGTAAAGCGGTTGAGTGACGTACAGCGGATGAGTGACGTATAGCAGATGAGTTGCGTTAAAGCTTTTGGATGTACCCCTTTTCCGGATGAATCCAAGAGGATGACGTATGCTTTCCCTGATTGTATATTTTCGAATGCTGTTCAGAGGTAATTAGATTATCAATTTGATACCAATTTATTTATCGATTTAAGCAAATGTGTCTTTATTTGAATTTGTATTTACTGTGATTTGTGATCGAAAAGTATTATTGGTCGGTTAGACACTGTACCATAGTCTGTAATTCATGCCCACAAGCTACTGATGTATCACAGCTTGTGTGGTACACTTTGGATGTATTTTCGAAATTAGCACATTTCAGGAAGCAGGGAATGGTAGCGGAGTTAGTCTTAGATAACGAATGAACTAATGAACGAATGTAATATAGAATGTTTACTTTGAATTTCTAGTTACATAAAGCACGTTATTGTACTGCAATCAAATAAAACATTGTGTAAAATTCCCACGCAATGTCGTAAAAATGTATTAACAAAATTACATCTTTTTTGACATTATTAGGGGTTTGTCTATATATTAGCATGGTGTTGTTTAATTAAGTTTATTTGTTCTTTAAGAACGCAATTATTAAATAAATCAGGCATAGCTCTGTCTTATAATCAAGTCATTTTGACCATTGTTGTAACTATGTAATTTTTATTGTATCTTTCTTCTTAAATTGATAATTTGTACTTATAGTTCGTGTGTGGTTATATTTCAATTATATGATATAAATGTATGAACGGGCCCCGAACAAACATGTACAAACCTACATAGACATTCGAGAGAGGGTTAAGAGGCAGCATTTGAACATTTTCAGACTCTTTTGCGATCTGCTAACGTTTTGGTTTGAGGACCCTCTAGAATATTGGAGGGCTCAGGCCCCCGACCCCTTTTTCTACCCCCCCCCCCCTCCGAATATGTGGCAACCCATACTGAAAATCCACTGGCAGTTGTCTGTTGCTATCTTTGATAATAGGCAATTAAGCAGCGTTGAGTCTTTGAGCAAAATATAATAAGCATTGAGTCTTATGAGCAGGAATGCCCCTCATGCACCTGGCTCGATAGCTCAAAATCGCATTCGTTTAGGTAATTTCATTAATGAGAAGAGTGGCATTCGATGCCAGCTGCTCTCTCGTTCTTTTTTGGATAACAGTTGTATAATTTTTACCAATCATTCTTCCATAAAAGATTTTGTTCTTTTAAATCAAATCGTAATTATTAAGTTGAAAATATATTTAGTTTTAAGACGTTCACATGTTCAAGATTTTTAATATGACACATAATGGATGGTCTGGTTACCGCGTTTTGTTTTCTGTAAGAATTTATTATTTATGCAGATGTCAGAAAGTAGAGTTGTGATTTGTCTTCAATGCTCCAGTTCCTATTACCAGGCATTAGCGCTATGGCCATTTCTATGTTTATTATTATTTGGGATGATGTGAAGGGGGGCCCGAGGTCTCATTCAATTTGTTAAAATTCGAAGATATTTTGTGGGCTCAGAGCCCCCACCCCCTCATAAATAAACACATGTTTGGTTTGACGAATTCTGTTTGGCAACCCTTTATTTTGCTATAGATTTTCCGTGAAAAAGCAATTTCTTATCAGTCCTTTTGAGTCGGTGGACAGTTTGAATTATTTCGTACAAAAACATATAATCTTTACATAAAAGCATAAAAGCTGTTACATAAAAGCAAGTTTTTTGGGTGCGGCCACTGTTAGTGGGTAAATTTGACTTTTTCGGTCATTTCCGAAGCAGTTTTTGCATTTTGCTGCACTTACTTGGGGAACTTAACTTCAAAGGTTACATTTCTTGATGATTTTTACGTGAATGTTAGTCCTGGTTGATTCATTTAGGGGGTTTCCCTTTCGACAAAGTGCGTACATCCGTTATTGAATATTTCTTCCTCCTTTACCCCAGGGGGTCACTTTTAAATAAGGCTTTTAGGGGGCCTTCACAATAATCGAAACTTAACTGAAATAAAATTTAACAGATCCATTAGTATCAGCGAAAACATTTCCATGAGACCCAAAAAGTTCAAGATACAAAGTCTTGTTGCTTACATTTCTTTGATGAGAACAATTTTATAAGAACACGACCCTCAAAATTGGTCAAAAGTCAAGAACAAATTAAGAACAATCTGAGGCTGAACTACTGTAAAGTGTAATTTGAAAATTTCAAGCAACGTTTCCTCCCAATAACGATCAACTTTTTTGTTTATTATGTGTTGGTTGAGCCCAAAAGTGTCAAAAAGCAAATTGTTAAAACAGGTGCCCACAGTGGCGGATTTAAGGGGGGGGGGCAACTAGGGGCAGTCGCCCCTCCCTCGATGAGTTGAAGCAAGTCTGGCGCCCCATTTTTGAAAATCGTGCGCCCCTTTTGAAGAATGAGAATCAGGGGAAAAAGTTTCTGAGACCGATAGGTTAATTTCCTTCAAGGATTACCTCAAAGTTCTGTTGTTTATTCGGAAAATGGATCTGAAATTTTTGTATAAAGCATACTCTGGCCATCAATTTTTGAAAAAAATTTCTTACTGTCCCCACTACCAACTGCCCCTCCTTCAAGTTTCCTCTGGATCCGCCTCTGGGTGCCCATAATATCGGATCACAACGATATTTTTACCCGAAGATCCAAGTAACTCTTGGGGCTTGACAAAATTCATATGTTCTTTCAATTTTCATCGTTTTTGCATGTCGATTCTTGACTGTGATTTGTTTAAAAGTAAATGTTTATTGTGTCTAGCATTGTATTTTTATTGTATTCAAGACAATTGTCAAGTTAATAAAATCGATTATACCCCTCACTTATGTCCGAACAGTCAGAACGTTGTCAAAGCATCGCGGCGTTCTTCGACTTCGTAGTCTCGTTTCACTCATTGAACCTCCATTTCGTCTTAGCAACAGAGGATTGCATAGTTTTCCTAGCAACTGTACCATAACGATCTCTGGAAGGGAAAAACGGTCACTTTAGTTGGGTCTCACCAAGAGAACACGAGTTTGAAGACATAACAAAAAATGATTCAAGTGGCATCTAGGGTATGTTTACTTGATCTAAAGCCTTAATTTTATCTTCTTTGAATTGCGAAGTAAAAGTGGACAGTAGACATTTTTAGGCCTAGATGTATAGTCTTGTTCTTCTGTTGTGATAAACTTTTTTTCTCTTTGAGGAAGTTAAGGTTTTTGTTTTCCATTATTCCCTATAAAGTGTCGCTTATAACTTCAAATCAAATATTTTGATTGAAGCTCTATAATAGTGGCATTATTTTGTCAGCTATTCTAAAATAAATGCGGAGTTGGTCGATCTTGTTCATCCTCGTGATCAAATTCTGAGCAATAAACCTATTTTTCCAACTCCAAGGCAAAGTATCATTTTGCAGATTTGAAAATGGGTTCAAAGAATATAAACATGCTAAACAAAGATTTAGACATTTTCGGTATTACTTATTTTGATATCTTATAAGTGCTGAAATAGCTTACTGTAGCTCTTATTGTTATAATTATTGTTTGATATTTGATGTTGATGTATTTTTATTTAGTATTTTGTGGAACTGTAGACACTTTGCATCTGTTAAGTCAAGAAAGTGTTCTCTCTAAATTTTCTGAATTTAAATATTTTTCAACTGAAGATTGATTGAAAGTCGTGGACTAGGCCTATCTGAGTTTTAAAAACAATGAGGATTTGCAGCTTGCAGTTTTAATTCTCCCAGTCATTCAAAACAGTTTTAAAATTGAAGACCATGCTTTGCTCAATTTTTTTTACCAATATATAGAAATGACTATGTTAAAAGTAATGTACAGATGTGATGCACAAAGATGCTCAAACCAACACATTCATTAGAGAGAGGGTTAAAAAGCAACATGGGCACATTTTCAAACTCAGCGTGATCTGCAATCGTTTTCTTTTTTTGCCCAGGCCCCCTGCCCCTTTTGCAACCCTCTGACACTTGACATGCAGATTTCATTAATTCTCAGTAAACCACACATTCAAGAAGTTTAAAAAAGAAATTTTTTTCGACTTCAATGATTGTGTTCATTAGATTTGATGTTGTACTGTGTATGTTTATTATTTTTCTAATAAACACATTTAGTAAGTTATTCTCTGAGAATGAATTCTCTATTTAGTTTATTTCACCCTAGAACCATGCTTAAAACGTTCATTTTCTAGAAAGGTTAAAAAATATGTAAACAACTTTTGGTAGCAAAATGGCCTGAAAATTTCATAAACTGCTTACCAGCCCTGGACCTTAGTTTCTTATGAAAAAAGCATGTGCTGAGGAAGTAAATCAGATGTGTTTTCACAATAGAAAAATGCAACTGGATGAGTTTTATTTTGAAATTTTCTGAGTACCTTTTGTTTGATGATAGTTTCATGATATTATTATTTGGCATGCATGATTATTATCATATATTATTATATATTATTATTCAGGCGAACATGGAATATCCATCATCAAACATAAATGATGTGGAGGCAAAGATTCGAAATGCTGCCCAAGTTAGATGTGCAAGAACAGATGAGTACTTAAAGGATTTTGACAGGCTTCGTACTGGATATATAACAAGTATGTCTCTATTACCATTTTTTGTAGTTAATTGACAACTTATTTTTTGAGCACTTTCAGTAAATGATATGTTAAAGGATTGAGCTTATGATATAGAAACGGTTATTGTAAACTGTCAGTCTATCTTATCTTTTTAAAGCATGTTATATCTTTAGAGATTTCATAGTTGATACAAATCAATGTTTTTCTCAAAATCAAGTAGACTTTGGCAGAGAATGTAATTTTTACTTTTGTTGACATAGTTCTAGCAAATTGAATATAAGTGCAAAATAATTGGGAATTTTTTCTCATCAACAGTGTAATTACTTTTTGCCATGGGTCAAAAAATATCTGCTTATCAGAATTCCATGGTGGATATATTTCCTAAGACGTTTATTTTTTGATTTCATTAATATGCCACACTTTTTAATGCACCTAGAGTATTATCTACATTGAGAGAAACTTCTCAATCCAAATTGGAAATTAACTTGTATTGTTTGCTTCTTTTGAAGAAGTGCAGCTAAAACGGTGCTTAGATCAGCATTATGGCATCGTTTTGGAACCTCTTGAAGAAGATATCCTCATGGCAAAATATGGCTCAGATAGACAAAAGCCTGGCATGTTTAACTACAGAGATTTTTGTGCTGTGATTGACAAAGGTATGCCAGAGCCAGCTTTGAATAATGTTTATAATTCATTGCATATCTAGAGTGTAATGGTTATATTTATTAAATGTTGTTTTGAAGTTAAATTTTGAAGGGTTAGTGACAAATTTTCCTACGTATCCTGAATAAAATATGAATATTTCCGACTTTTTCTAAGAAGTCTGGTGTGTTGGTGTAACAGGGATTAAACTTCCTTTAAACCCATGTCACTTTGAGTTGTTAACGAACTGGTTCAAGAGTGAACACAGAAAGTCAGCTACTCATGTTGAGGTTAATCACTGCATTGTCTGAATCACTAAACAAAAGACTAATTTATATACAAACAAAAACGAGGTTAGCATAATTATTTCGTATGATGATTAATGATACATTATTCTATTGAACTGGAGGGGGGGAGAGGACCTCATTAATTTTAAATGGCTTTATCATAGAGAAAATGCAGTATTGTTCAAGAATTTTCAAGTTGAAACTGTTGCCCTGTTTTTGTGCATGTATCAGTAAAATCTGTGTTAACTGAGATTCTATTTTTATTGATGAGCAATATAATGATATATCTTTATCTTCATTTGCAGGATTTGAAGCCACAACCTATCCAAAAGAACAAAGCAAAACATCACCAAAGTAAGATTAAAGTACTTGTCTCACCTTAACCTTCTAAAGCTTTGTATAGTTGAGTTAGAATTAAAAACCCTAAATTGATAGAGCTTGCATTATCATACATGCATCTAAGCCTTTTTAAGTCAATTAGGAATGTTTCAAAAATTTTCTGATAAACATTCTCAATATATTTTTAACAAGATGAGAGCTTTAGAAAAAATGACAATTTGGAAAAGAAACCATGCTTTTATAGTGATTAATAAGACAAGGGTGTAACAATGGAAGTTAATTAATTTATATACAGTATACAGCTTGTAAATTTAGTTTCTACTGATGAATCATCTTTCGGTCACAGATTGGTAATCACCATATGCTTCCCACATATATGTGTATTTCAGTAAATCTGTACTTAAGACTCCACCTAAAAATTCATTTTTGCAAACAAGCCACGTTGGGGCCATATTCAAGGGAAACATTGGAAGCTCACTAGCTTTCCACCACAATGCATATTCTAATTCTTACTCAGCTACAATAGCTATATGGTATTGCATCTTTGGATAATGACCAGAAGGCAAAGATGAATTCAAGCTTGATCATATTATAAGTTTTGTCAGATTTCAAGAAAAATTCTATGTTCCTTTTATGCTGTCCTTTGGAAAAAATACCAAAATTTGGAATAAGCCGCCACCCTCAAATGAACCCTCCCCTCGAGTATACCCTCCCCACAAATAAGCTCCAACCTAAAAAATCATGCTTGCAAATAAGCCCACCGTAATAAGAACATTAAAACTGTAAATATTAGAATCTGGAGTGCCACGAAGACGTGTTTGTGTAAGACACTATTCAAAGACTATTTTTTGCAGTGTGATCTCAAGAAGACCGATCAGTCCAGAACTGAATGAAAAATCCCAACAGATACTGACTCGCATTGCGCCGCACTACGAATATCATGGCATCAATGTCAAGTCTTGCTATGAAGATTTCGATAAGCATAACATCGGGACAATAACTGAAAGTCAGGTACCTCTTTTGGCAGCTTTCATTTTTGCACGAATTTCTTTGCCTTTTTCTTTATCGACCTTACTTCACACACAGCCACACAGATAAAAGCCATCAGATTTCTAACGTAGATGCAATTTCACACAGGTATCATTTTTGACCGCTTATTGTAGACAGGTTATAAAAATATCATACAAACCACAAGAAAAAGAGCACTTGCTTGATAAACTCTTTCTTTTTCTTTAGTTAATTAACATTGTTCTGAGGAGGAAAAAGGATGACTGCATATGCCTTTTAAGACTGATGTTAGTGTTCCAAGAGCTCTGTCAGTTATCTGAACCATGTCGCCACCCATTTTAGATTTTGAGTAATCTGGGATTTCTATTAAATGCTCCCTCCCTTAATAACAAACAAGTTTTGGTCGATGTTTTTTATCTACGACATGGACACAGATATTAACGCAATGTTTTATACCGACATTATTTTTGAACTCTTCGTGAAGGGGGTTTTATGACGATTTTTAATATATCTTAGCTCGATATTTCTGTTAAGTCTTTTGTCATCTCAAGATTCATAGAAAAGCACAAAGACCCGCACTTTAAAAATCCAAGCTTCTGCCGTATAATGATGGTATCATTGAACGGAAATTTAGAATTTCTAGTCTCGATACTCTCTGCATTACCTTAAAACAACCTCTTATGATTTTTCTGCAGTTTAATGTCAATCTCTCTTCTTTTACAGTTCTATCGCAGCTTTCCTGGTCCATCGGATGTCCAAGAAAGTGAAATGCGTCTGCTTGCTAGGAAATATCGACATCCAACCAAACAGGGGATGTGCAATTATCTGGATTTTCATCAAGACATTGTCGAAACTCAGAATGAATTGAATTCTTCCAAAATGGCACAAAAGGACATTGAGTTTACAGAAGATGAATTCATAACAACAAAGGTGAGTTTTAGGTTTTAGAACAAAGGGGATCCATAAAGTGTGAGCTATTATGCACTTTTAATTGGCTTTCATGAAAAAAAACAATGTAGTTATAAAAAATTTGAGTGACTGCTAAAACGGAATTATTTGCGGATAGGACGTACCCTGGACTGTGGAACTCTGAAGTGTAACTCCATCTAAAAGGTGTTTAATCTGTGATTCACAAAGATATTTACTTTAAATAGCAGTTCTATCTGCTATTGTCAAGAAGCATTTAAAGAAATCACATTAAACTCAGTTTTGTAGCATCGAATTCGCGCTTTCGCATTTTCAAATTAATTCTAAACCCTCCTCCATAATATTCCAGCAATGGAAGTAATTGCCCCTCCAGTTTAAGTGACATTCTATTGTTTAGAACAATAAGCTTTGCCCTCCAGCAGCTTATACCCGTAAAAGTGGCCATCTATTTTGCTTAGATGCAATACAGCATATTTCTATTTTTCTAGTCGAGAAAAGAAACCGATCTCCAAGGAGTGTTTAGCAAGATTCGTGTTGCTGTTCACAAAAATGGAATCCGTACAACTGAGTTTTTCAGAGACCATGACAAACTTAGGAGTGGAATAATAACCGAGAACCAGGTACATTTCAAAGTGCTGTTGATCTTATCTGTTTCTATCTGTCTTTAAATTGCTTTCTGTATGAATTTCGATTTAAATTTTGATGTAAAAATTATTTTATTGCTTTATCTTTTTTGAATGTATTGTGCCATTTTATTCTTATCGCATTGTCTAAAATATCTGGCTGATTCGAGCATTGGGAAAACTAACTACTGTTGATTTTTGAAAATTTTGAAAATTTCACCATGTTTTAGCTATATTGTGCTTTAGTTGATGCAGGACTGCTATTTGCCTTTAATGCATTCTGCAAACTTTTTTGTTGAAGTTAAATTAATTCTTACATTTGACGCGTTCAATCGGTGCACGTGACCTCTTTGTGGTATGAGCCATATAATAGCATTTATCTTCGCTATGTAATTGCAGTAGGCAAGTTGGAGACAATCCCCTAAAGATAAAAATATCCTATTGGGTTATATCATCGTTTGATATGCAAGTAAAGTGAATCTGAAAGCGTCATCTTTTCAGTTTTCAATAAATTTATATAAATGTAAATACTCCTTTTGACTTCAACAAAATACGATGTCTCTTTTGTTTAGAATTATTTTGGCGTTTACAGGCCTGGTTTGAACTTTTTTCATTTATTTTCAGTTTGTTTGTGGATTATCACTTTGCTGCGGATCTCAAGCCAGCTTAACGAGAGACGAAATCCAGCTTCTTGTGAACTTCTACAAATTGCCGGACGGGAGAGTGCGGTACAAGGAATTCTGTGACTCCATGGAGAATGGTATGGAATTTTTGTTCAAATTAACTTTTGCAGTACTTTTGGAAGGGAGGGGGCATTACTTTAACAGGCTCTATTGAGCAAGCACCGCGGAGCATGTGGGGTTTTAGCCACTTGTTGCAAATAATGCCAAATATTAAGTAATAAACTACCAGTAAAGCCTCTTTTTATACGGTTTTGACCCCCCCCCCCCCCACACACACTTTTTTAAGCAGGCTGCGCCCCCCAGCATGTGCCAGTCCAGTTTCCAGCATTCAATTTATGCCATTAATTATAAGGAGAAGAGAAAAGACCAAATTTCTTTATAACCGTGACATTTATCTTGTTACCATAAATTGAAATGCAACAGTGTTGTGATTTTACTGTCTCGCTTTTTACATTCGATGCATCTTGCTGTCGTTTTTTTCATATTTCGTGGAAAGTACCCGAGATGATTCTATGTTAAATTATCCCTTTGCAGCGTTTACCATTCCACATTTAGAGAAGAACCCAACAGCAGTAGTTTACCGTCCTCAAGTTGGCGAGCTTGCCAAGGTCAGTTTTCCAATTTTCCTTTTAATTTTCTACTGCGAACACTGGAAGAGCTTCAATTTTTTAAAGGAGGCTTTTTTGCTAACTCTTTTGCGAAAATGTTGCAGGAAGTGACTTTGATGATAAAGATAGTCAAACATTATTCAATTTTATAATCATCATTGATTCATATATTTATTAATTAACTTATTTATGATCCAGCATTAATCGTGATGTCATAATTATAAGACAAGAGGGGTCCCCATGATGACGTCATGTATACATATTTTATGACATTAGATGAGCTTGTTAGTGAGTTTGATATTTTCCCCAATATTGTAAGGGCTGGTGTGAGTTGTTGTTGCACAAACCTTTCATGTATAGCATTTTATTTTGCCTTGCAAACTTTTATAGATTCCACCTAGTTCAAGTTAGGTAAGAAGTTTTGAGGTTTTTCTTGGTCATGTGAAATAAAACAGCTGAGAGAAAGCCTTATCAAATTGTCTTTTTACAGCTAGTCCGATGTATACTACACAATTTCGTTAATAAAGAACGCCTGTTCGGTATTATACTATATTAACAGCATTTATTATAATCTATTTGTTTTCTTTAGGTGCCCAATACACTGTCTCCTGCAGAAGAAGACAGTGTGATGTCTGTTTTGACAAATCTACGAGATATAGTGCAGAAAAAGAGGCTGATGATATACCCGTATTTCAAAGATTTTGATAGGGTGAGTCCGCTATCTATCTATTTCTTTTTCTTTCTTTAAGTTATTCCCCCAGCAATAATAGCTTTAATTCTTTTTATTGAATCTGTATACCAATGAAAAGCAAACCAGTTTCATATCTAACGTAACCCACAATTCCCTGTTCCAATTCCTATTCTCATTGTTCATCAACTTAGATTTAAATTGTTCAATACTCTCTGTTTATATTCAAACATGCTCCATGTGAGTTTATAGATTACCTTCTGTTGTTTTCATCTGTGCATGAGGTTGCTTCCTAACTTTCGGATTTGTCTGAGTGTTTCCATTGTAACAAAGACATTCACATAACCAAATTGTAAAACGTAATGATTCGCCCCTGTTATTATGACTGTGCTTATTCTGCTGGCTATAGAATATTTCAAAAATTCGCAAATCACCGGCCATCCCAACACTCTCTTTTTGCTTCGTTTATTTCATTTCATTAGAGTAAATCATCGATATTTTAGCTTTTCTCTTATCCATGAACGGTTAAAATAAATTTCCCCTCAGTGTGGTTTTCTTTAAGCTTTTGTAAACCCACTCCTGGGTCAATATCAGCTGCCACTAATTTCTTCTCTCCTTATACTTGTGACCGCACAGCAACTTCGAATTAGGACTCGGCAAAGGTGTTCCCCATGGATCCGTCTTTCCCCTCTTTGTTTTGACTCTATTTTTAAACGTTCCGCAAATGGCCAGCTTCACATTGCAAACAAGTCTTTCATACTTTTCTGTTGCTTTATTATTTGCTATGCTTAGAAATTGTATGTTATAGCATCTATACTTAGATTTCGTTTTTAGTTGACTAGAATCACATAGATTTATAACTTTCTTAATAGGCAAAGGGATACACACGCTGCATCACTAAAACTCAGTTTAGCAGAATGCTCCACATGGTTGGATTGGACGTCTCCCAAGCAGATCTAGAGGTTTCTGCTATTAAATATCTGTACATCTCCAAAACTATCACTATTGAGTGTCAAAACTTTCGCGTCTTTTGTACATTTAAAAATTTTTCAATTTAGGTAAATTTACTTCAACAATATTCATGTTAAGAAGCAGGAATAAGTAAATGTTAGAAAAAGAGCATGTTTTTCAGTGGCTATATTTACATCTACGCTGAACTTTTTTCTGTATACTGGCTTTCAAAAATGCTTTTCACTGATAAGAGAAGTTAAAACTTTCTGCATTCCTCTTCATAAAAACGGATATGCTTGCTTTTAATTCTAAGATTTCGTCTTTCCTTAAGCTTTTAGCTCGGAAGTTTGACTGTGGTGGTGATGTATATTATCCAGCATTTATTCAAGCCATCGACTCAGGTAGTACTTCGATTATATATTGAAACTATAACCTATTTTCTATTCGAATCATGTTATTGAGCTGGCACGTCCAAGTTTTCAGCAACCAGCTGACAGAGGTTTGCCTCTTCATCAAAGCTCTCTATTCCAATAGCATAAATCTGGTAGTTTCAATTTTCACGAAAAATTTGCAAAGCCACTTTATACGCATATCTTATGATATTGAAATCTGATAGTCATGTTTTATAGAAAAATGAAATACAATATTTTGACCTTTTATGAGAGTTGCCCTCACCTCCAAGATATGACATTTGCAAGCCATATCATCATGCTGATATATCGTCGAACTGCTGTGCACAAAGACAGAATGCGTTTGAATGCATGCGGTGAAATGGTCAAATTTATGGCAAAAGTGTAGACAATATATGTAAAATTAGCTTCTTTCCGAACGCAGAGGATGGTCAAACGGTTTACACCTGTTTCCCACCATCCCTTCATTTAAAGGCTTGGCCAAACTATGCAACATCTCGTGCAGCCTCTGTCCGTTTATTTTCAAACGTTCCGAGATCTAATCGCTGATTTAGTCATTTATCTCCTTCTGTTCTTTGTTTCTTTGAAATTTATTAAGGAAAATACTGTTCGGCTTAATAAGTAGAGAAAGCCAGGGAAAAATTCAATCTGGGTATTTTTAAAGAAAAATTGTATGTTCAATTGTGTGGATGCAACAAATGTCTTTAAAAGAGCCATATTGTCTTTTATCCTGAAAAATTAGTTGAAAATTGATTTTATCCTTCTTGCTAATATATTCAACAATGTTATAATTATGGTTAAATGTTTATTCCAGAATATGTAGGAACTGCTGAGCTGAAGCAGAATTCTTCCTCAGAAAGGTAAGGAACAATTGCATTGATTGATTCTTTCCAATGTCATTACATCTACTGTAATTGGATGTAATAAAGCAATGAAATCGGCATTTAATTTCATTATATTTATTATTAAAATTGGTTAAAACATATCCCTCCTTACAGGTCTTCCAGCATTATTGGGACGCCTACGACTCCTGTAACAAAGAGAGTTGATCTGGCAGCAGTTGTTGGACGGATTCGCCATCATGTATTAGTCAACAGTTTGAGGGTATTCATTTTTCACCACATTTAACATCATGTGTAACATTTATTATTGCTTCCATTTTAATGTATTATTTGCTTCTCGACTGAGATATTTGAAATCAGTGTCAGCATGACTTGCCAAATCACTGGCAGCATTATTTAATTAATTTATAACCAAAAAACTCTGTTATCATTTACGCTATTATAACAAACTTTTAAGAAATCAATCGTTTGACAGGTCCGGGCTCTGCTAAGCTAGTACAAACATCGACATATTTAACTGCTGGTGCTCTCATTGCTGTGTTTCAAATGTTTTTCCTTCAATATAAATACACGAATTATTTTGAGTTATAGGTCTGCCTTTAATGTCAGAGCTCTGAGCTGTTTGGCACTTGCTTTTTAGAGCATTTCAGCATTTTCAAGCATTCTTCGTTTTGAAATCTTTTGAATCAAAAATGAAATACATTCTACAAGTTTGTTTGATTTTCAATATGATATCTTTGGATCTTTCTATGTTGTAGATAGAAGAGTTCTTTCAAGATTTTGATCCTCTTCGGCATGGCTCTATTAGTGAAAGCCGATTTCGAATGGGCCTAAGTGCAATGGGTTCTAATCTTAGTGAAGCTGAGTTTAAATGTTTGACCCAAACTTATGCAGACCCAAAGAGATCTGGGAACGTGTTGTGGAATGACTTTTTGCTCGACATCGAAATTGGTAAGCATCAACTTTTTTCTTTCTTTGTAAAGGTAAAGCAAGAAGGAATTCTACAGAGAAATGAATCTGAAGAATTTGATAGAGAAAAATTGATAGAGAAGAATGTTGATGAAAAAATGTAAGCATTTACTCATTAGTGTAATTCTGTTTTTATCGACAGATTCAAGAGTCATCTGTCAGTCAATAACCGTATGGGGGGGATCACGTTCACTGATGGGTCAATTCTTGATCGAAAGATGGTTCAACCCTCTATAGTTTCTGTCAATTGTCTTTTATGGAGCTACACCATTTTGAGACCATTTGCAATACAGTGTCTTGCCCAAAAATGATAAAGGCAAATAAGCTAGACTGACCATCTATTTTTGATTTCTAATTTTTGCAAAAAGCATCGGAATCTATTCTACATTGTAGCTGTTTGACATAAGGTCTTCTTTTGCAGTCCAGTGAATGTTACCTTTTTCGAATCTTAGATGTACCAGTTTGTAGAACTTCTGTTTGTCTTTGCAGTTTTTACAAAACGGGGATTGGAGAAAACTCCAAGATACACAGTTGCCACATCTAAGGAATTTGTCATGCAAAAGCCGGGAACAATAAACTGGGAAAGCACCTCAGCCGAAAAAAGACAAATATTAGACTCAGCCATGTCGAGGATGAGAGAAACTGCAAAGCAAAGAAGGGTCCTTGCCAAACCATGTTTTCAAGATTTTGACAGGTAAGGAATTGTATAGATGTATAAATGACCTGTAAGGTAGCACGAAGAGCCATACCTTTAGATCCATCTTTTTCGAAATACTCAATGGTATTGAGAATAAAGTTAAGCTACCTTTATAGGACAACCGATGTGAGTTCAATGCCCCTTTCTTATCAACAACAAACACTACAAGTAAACATACAAATATAGTAATCAGACATTGACTTGTGTATTTGATCAATATCTTATGAACCTCTTATCAAAATTTCTCAGTGCTATCAAAGCAGTCAAAGATACATTTTCAGTAAGCACACAAATGGAGTGACCCTCTTAATCGTTTAATGATACTTAAACTTTCCATGTATCTAATTGGTATTTTTGTTTAGGATTTTCGTCCCTGATAATGGCCATGAGCCGAACTTAGACCAAAGCGTAGTTGTATTTTTTTCTTTCTGTTTCATAGAATCTTCTTTTCTGTCTCTAGACATAACAAAGGCTACGTCACAAAGTCCCAGTTTTGTCAGTGTCTCACTTCCCTTTGCCTGAATGCGAGCAAAGAAGAGATGGACGTGATTATTGAAAAATATGCTGATGATACCGGCTTTAATTACGTCAGATTCTTAGAAGACCTACAGCCTTCAGAGAAAACCGAAAATAAATACATTGAGCGGCTAAAAGAGCTGGAACTTGTTAACAAGAAAGAAATAAAAGATTCGGGAAGTGCTGGCATTGTGCATGTAATGAACAAAATAAGAACTAAAGTCGTCAAAGAGAGAATTAGAGTCGAAGAGTTCATGAGAGATTATGACAAGCTCAGAACAGGAAGGCTTTTGAAGAGCGTCTTTCCACGGGCCATTGACCTCTGCCAGTTGGGACTTGTTAAATCCGAAGTCGAAGACCTAATGACATTGTAAGTTTTATTCTTAAGATTTCTGTAAACTGTTGTTTACTTACAATTTTGGTATATAGAACAGGACGCTTCTAAGTGTTACTCAGAGACCCATACATAGGCATTGAGCACTTTAACACAGACAGGTAAATAGTAATTTTGATTGCTTTTTACTTATATAAATATAACTTCTAATACACAGCTCTAGCAAGCTCGTACAGCTCTGCCTCCATCGAGCACTGTATCAGGGGTGGCGCCAGAAATCTTCCGACAGAGGGGCTGGAGCTTCCAAGGGGGCTAAAATGACTAAAATAAGCAGTTTTCGTACGTTATTTTGTCAAATTTGCTCCGACAAAAACCTAAAATTTCCTCCGATGGGGGGGCTAGATGCTTCCGGCGGGGGGGCTGTAGCCCCCCCCCCCCCCTAGCCCTCTCCTGGCGCCACCACTGCACTGTATAACGTTGAGCAAACAGTTACCTTTAATAAATCATTGTGTGCGTGTATATCTACAAAATTGGAAGGAAGAACTTTCTCTGCGGCAAGCTATTGATGGATTTGTGTTCATCCTTTTCTAAGAAGTGATATTTAGAGTTTATTTCTATGTAAATCTGATAGCATACCAGTTTGCTATGGAATATGATTCTGTCAATTTGAATGACAATTTTATCAGTTAATAGTTCTGAAGTAATTGGGAAATCATTCATTCCTTCCCTTTAATGTCTTCATCATTTTGAAGACCTTATGATTTTGATATCTGACATCATATTCTTATTTTGCTTAATTCGCTGTATTGCTTTTTTGCAGCTACGAGTCATTGAATTATCCTGACTATGTGGATTACACACAATTCTGCGATGATGTCGAAAGTGTTTTCACAGTCAAAGGTATAGAAATATATTTTTGAAACTTTGACAGATATCTGTACAACAAAGCAGTGTATAGAATAGGGGTTTTGTAGACCGTTCACACTATACTGAACAGCTATCGACGATAATCGATAGTTTAACAGTTCAACAACGTCACAATTTCATTATCAGAATATCTATGTGAATATATCAATATCAGGTTTTGAATATTAGGCCATTTCAAACGTGTGACAAAAACTTAACGCAGGTATGGAGTAACTCGGTGTACATTAGGTATAATTCCAATTGCTAAGCAATATTTATTTTTTGTTTAACTGCTTAGCATCTCATGATGAGGGTGCACGCGTATGTGCAAATTTAAATGGCATTTCCGCTGCTTTTGCACAAAATAACAATAAAGACTTTGGTGGCACTTGTCAGATTGTACATCATATTTATCAGCCCACAACTAATACATTCTGCAGAGGACAACATTCATTTGTCTTCTCTAAAACGTAGCAGCTTGCACTCCAGCCTCTGTGCTACATAGAGTGCCACCTTTTCAATGCGATCCTTTTAAATGTGTTTTTGAAAGCTTCAATTGCCGTCAACTTTGCCAATAGATGACTGTTAAACCCTGCAGAGAAAAGGACCTTGCCAGTTTATCCTCAATCAAGGGGGATTCCTCTCAAAGGAAAATATGGATCTTTGAAGTGTAGTGTTTAGCTACCAAACCTTCAATTGATGCCAGTCAAGTTAATGTTGAAATAAAAAACCTGAGCTGGCTAGGACTCTCTGGCCTTGTATGTTTGCTACATGTTAAAGGCAGAAACCTTATACAAAATTCCACTGGAGTTTAATATGCGAGGGGAATTTTTGCAAATGTTTGTCCAAGAGCTGAAATCATCAAAACAAAGTCTTGAGCCGAAAAGCAAATTCGCTTCAAACCAGCACATGTGTTCAGGTATAGTCAATGTTAGGGCCTAAATGTCCCCCCCTGGAATTTGCTTGATCTTCTGACGGAGGGTTGGTAAACCTTCCACATCCAAGGTTTTGGAAAATGAATTTTATAGTTTCAACCTTCTGGCGGGGAGGCTATAGTCCCCTAGCTCTCAAGGCAAAGGATATTGAGGTTTTTTTAATTGCATTGGTAAGGTCTTGAGAAGAACCCACTCTACGATGTGAAGCAGTTCCGACCACCGCCTGACAGCGAGAACAATAAACTAGCCGAGAATGCAGAGAACATGCTGGAGACGGTCATGCATAGGCTGGCCGATCGAGTGAGAATAAGAAGGATCCAGGTATGATAAGCTTTTTAAATTGCTGGTTGTATTAACAGGAAGTTGACTGCATATGCCCCGCCATATGGGAAATGGTCTATCATACAGAATATTTGATGTGACTGTAAATAGATTGTTAAAATCTTGTACAAACATATTATAGAATTCTTATCGACATTATATCTTCCGACTTTGAAACGTTGTACTCCATAAATATCTTCGTATCTTCATATATGTTTTGTCAACCTCTATTTATAAATGGTTGTCGGGAATTCCAAATATATTAGGTCTAAGCTTCGTTTGCAAATACATAGGGTCTGAGCGCAAACAATTGGTGCTGTAGCATTTCCCGCCAATGGTGAGCAGAAAAGCCTGTCAAGCGACTTAGACCTTAAACATCTGCAAACAAAGCCTAGACCTAATATATTTACAAATATGGCTTAAGCCTTATATATCAGAAATATAATTTTCGATATGCATCTATAAATTTATGTTGACCATATATATATGAAAGTGCAAATATATTTATGCAATATGATATGCAAATATAAGAGTTTAAACGACGAGATCTTATAAAATTCAAGTGTACAAACTTTAAGTTAGAATATTCAACGTCGATATGAATTGTACAGCATATTTATTTCAGATTTTAACAATATATTTACAATCATATTATCTATTTTGTATAATAGACTTTTTTCCCTATGGGGGGAGGGAGGGGGCATAAAAGCAGCTCTCGTTTATTTTGCTTCGCTTTCACCGCACCATTAACAAAGGCCTATCCCAAGATATGTTGTCTTTGCTTGCAAGTAGATGGAGATCGCTTCAAAGTTAAAGACAGAGATAGGAAATACTGCATCATCGATATTTTAATTATGTTATTCCATAGCAGACGAAAGCAGTTCCTTTCCTTCAAGGTTTCTGCCTATTCATACTTGTATTATTGACTGATTATTTTCACTTTCTTCTATTTTCAGATATTTCCTCTGTTTGAAGACTACGACCGTGTTCACAATGGATCCGTCTCGAGGTCGCAGTTTCATCGTGTTCTGAGTGAGCTGGAACTTGGCTCCCTTGTCAGCGCAAGGGAATTCGATGTCTTGTATAAAAAGTTCGACATTATGATTGGCGGGAAACACGACTTCAATTATATTGGATTTTGTGATATGATTAACGAGTATGCTCAGTTTGAATATGGGAAACCCTAGAATACGCCCTTTGGCGAGGCAGAACAATTTTTTTGTTTGAAAGCTTCTCATTCTCTCTAGTTTTAATAATTGTGTTTTCGGTATCATGAATTGTAAATATATATGTATTGAAAAGACAAGCATACTACCTTGTAGATGATTACTTGGTGCATATCTGTTTGACTATATTTTAACGTGACTTCAATCACTAACTTCTCAATCTGCAGTCCGTAAGTTCAACCACTCGGTAATACCATGGTTGCTTTGAAATCTGTGTTTGGAGAACGGAATGACGTTTGGCAGTGTATGCTATCTGAGATATTCCTGATCTGTTCATTTGCAACAGCTCTTCAATTTCCGCCGTCAAAAGAGGATATGCTCATGCCATACAGTGACTTCTAATCTGGTATTTTAGAAGCCTAATAAAAAATAGACGCTTGATACAAAGGAGCCCCAAGCTTGTTGATAACAATCTCATTTCCGGATTACACTGTTTCGAAAGAGGCAGCTTAGAAGCAGCAAAACTAGAGACACACCTCAAAATGGCGACCTCTTGCGCACAACGTTAAAATGGATCTTGTAAAGTTTCTAGAAAATTCATCCCCTCCCAATACTGTCCATCAATTCTCTCAATACAAGATACGTTAACTTATTGAAAATCTGTTGGCATTGTTTCTGTTACTTCATCAAAGGTGAGTTAATATAATGTATTTGTTCATTTAATTTTCAATTCATTTTAACTTTTTATCTATGGTAATCCATAAATAAATTTTAATATATAAATGGTGATTTGCAAAAAGACTCGCTTAAATGGATGTGATAAAAACCCTTTATTAAAATATTAGCATAATCACTACAAATAAAGAAAAAGCAAGATGAATCTTAGTTCTGCTTCATGTTCTTTTCAAAATATGAAAAAAGATTCTGACCAGTTGACATTCTCAGCAAGAGTTATTTAAGGCCCTTTTTAGAGTTCTTCAGCTGACGATTAATAGCTTCAGATTCACTTTTTAAGATGTATCTAATGAATAAATCATTTATACTCAAAATGTGCACAATTCATTCCACTAACTCTATGCTATTTAGTGTTTTATCACAATCTTAAAGAAGAAATTTAATCTACGTGTAGAGGTTCCCAGGGACTTGGAGAGAATTCAAAAAGAGACAGGAAATTTCGAATTAACATCAAGCCAACTGATCATTTGGAGTTTTGGGAACACTCAGGAAAATGTCCGGAAGATGAAATATGATCAGCAAAATTCCCACATTCAAAATTTTCAAATTTGACGATATTATCAGAAGAAGCTTGCCACGCTATGTGATTATAATGGAACATCAATGTGATCTGACCAATAAGCAAAAAGGTATCGATTTTGAAACTTTTGCCTTTTCAAACAACTTGCTTCTCTAAAGCGTAATGATAGTGCAGTCGTTTAGTTTTAGCAGTTGCTTTGTGCATTTTATGTTACAACAAGTCTGGTACAAGTACCCAATCCGATCTGCTGAATACGATAAAAGGAATATCAACCTTTGAAAACGCCCTGGAAACTGAAATTAGTTGCAAACAAAACATTCCATATCCCTAAAAGTGTACATTTGGTCCCACCTGCTAAACGCAAATGGATCTTTGCTGCAAAATCCTCTTGATATTTTCTTTGTGCAAACAGCAGTATATTTTCAATTTTCTTGTCACATCCTCTTTCATCAATACGATAAGATTCATACCAAGCTTTGAAAACACCCCTAAACGCTATTTTCAGACCAAGAAACTTGTACCCAGTTCCCCATTGGGTATTGCGCTTTAAAAGACATTAACAACAAAATATTTCGTGAGATAAATTTTCGGCGGATAAACTTCGTCGAAAAAATTTTGGACAACTTTTCAGATTTTCGTCGTGACAAAATTTCATCGTCACAAAAATTCGTCGAGGATTTTTAACACTGAGTACTAGCATTAGCACAGAAGCATAAGAGGCAAAACGATACAGTTTGCTCATATTCATTTCCATAGTTACTGACTCCGTGGAGACTTTGGGGCTTGAGCACCCGTTCGCAATGAGGAGGCGGTATATTTTCTCAAGGTATGCGAAGTCAAATCAAAAGAGGCGATTTTAGCACTCAAAGGGTCTTTACTCTCTATCTATATGGTATGAAAGTTTATTAATGAAGTATAATTAATAGAATATGTATAAATATAAGTAAAAGATTCGGAAAGCATAAGTGCATCTACAATAAAAGATTTGGTCTGGGAATTTTGCACTCTGTAGAGTTCAAAGTTTGGGTTGAAATGTGCAAATACCTTATACAAATGAAATAAATAGTACATTTCAGTGTAAAAAGATAAAGGTAGGATCCTTTGAAATTGGCGACAAGAGACAGTTAGAACTATTTATATCAAACAAAGTTAGCTCAAGGACCGACAATGATGATGATGATTATGACGATGATGCCGATGATGAAGGTAGTGATAAAGGCGATGTAAATGAGGATAATGGCAAAGTTGGCATCGAATAGGTTAAAAGGCTACATAAATTTGATTTTCTATGTGAATTCTCAAAAATCTGAAATGTAAAAAATTTCGTCATGACCAAATTTCGTCCCTTTTTGAATTTTGAATGTTTTGTAGTTAATGTATGCTACGTAATAATCTGACACTTTTTTCAAACGCAATTTGACTTGCTGAATAAAATGAGACACAGATCAAACTTTAAAATTTCCCGTTAAAATTTGAAATTTCATACTTAAATACTTTTAGCCAGAACTATATTGGGTATTGCAAAATAACTATGCAAGTTGCCAAACTAAGACTTTGTTCTTTATCGTAATTTGATTTGCTGAATAAGATTTGCTGCATATATGTCCAGCCTGCAAAATAAATATATCCATTAAGTAATCACCTATAAAATGTATCTTCGGTTATAAGCTAGAAATAAACAGCTTATATACTGTAAAAAACATGGTAGTTTTTGCCAGTTTACAGACTTTGCTAGTTCAAATATAAAATCCTCGAATTATGAACAACGCCAAGGTGTCCACATCTGTAGCGAATACGTGACAAGGAGAATGAAAACCATTCGTGCCCTCGCCGTGATTTACGAAAAAGAGAAGTAAACTACTTGAACGTTTTAAGAAATTTTGCCTTTATTCTGGATTTCACTTCAAATTTCACATACAACAAATGCTATTCCCGATGCAAAAGGCAGTTTTTATTTCACACTGACGCTTTCAACATCAATTTTTTTCAGCTTTTATAACCGAGAACGGCACAAACAGTAAAAGCATAGGAACATGTCATACCCTTTCTAGGGAGACCATTGCCACTCAGGTTTCATGTATTTTAACTCGCTATGTACTTAAAATATTTTTGGAGATAAACTGATAATACGGGGGTAAACTGATATATATTTGGTAGATGCGCCTGCTAAGAATGGTATTTTAAACGTTGTTTAACGAGGAAGTATTTTCTCGGATAAAACACATGTAGAGGCGAGAAACAAATTCATCCACGGTACAAAGACAAACGCCAGTGATCGCTTTTCGTGATGATTTCAAAAAGAAGTCGTTGGAAATTCGATTTCTTACACTTTTTAGCACCACAGGCGTAGGAACTATTTAAAAATTTAGGTGGGGACATGTAGGAAAAAGTGGAGGTTTTGTTTATGCATGGGTACGGGGATGTACCCCCAACCTGGCTCCTGCGTCTATTTTTGATACTAAAAACCCAGCAGCGAAGTAGTGAACCTGACTGGGAACAATAAAGAATAACTGATCAAAAAACTGAATATATAAAGGTTATTATCCGTCTCCACGTTGGTATAGCTTTTGAAACCTTACACTGTAGCTTTAAAAGGAAACATGGGGCTTGTACATACATTTTTATCATGTGAAGTTATTTTCCTGAACACAAACTGCCTGGGTCTAGAAAAAATTCTTAACCAATTTGACAATCTTCCATATTTGGCAAGACGATGGCTTAAAACCTAGTGCCCATTCCCAAATAAGACTTTCTTTCCATTAACGTGACATTGATCTGACGTCAGTATTAACGTCGCATCAAGGGCAATCGAATTCACTTTGCTCAGTAGAACGAAAGAGACCAGCAACAAACTTTCATCGCGAAGCTTCAACAAGTAGACTCGAATCATGGGGAATATGATTTCTAGGCAAAGAACGCGAGGAGGTTCGTTGAAATTACTTGTTTTGAAGTAAAAATTGATTGGAATCGTAGCTTACAGTATTTTTTACTACATAGCTACAACTTATAAAGACGGGAAGTAACAAGCGACATAACAACACTGTAATACACAGGTTTAATTAACACTTGAATTTGTTTAAATAACATTGAAGACTAGCTATGAAATTTAAAGATATTTATAAGCATCAAGGTTTTCCTGATGACTTATGCTGCTTCAATACCTTTGTAAGCACTTTTCTGAACAAGGGGCGAAAATATATCACAAACATAGAATAATAGTCTTGTCTCCTAAAAAATTACTTAGTTCAAGTTGCTTATTATTTTTACATCTCGTAGAAAAACAACGCTTGAGAGAGCAAATCAGCGAATTGTCAGTAATGCTTTACTCCTTGCAACAAGAAGTCGCTTTTCAAAAGACTAAAATAGAAGAAAAGGAGAAACAACTTGATGATGCTGCAAAAGAGAATTGTAAAGAAATACGAACCTGTAACGAAAAGGTTGCCGTTGTGAAAGAAATAATGGATAGAACATTTAACAGGATCGAGAACGATATCCAGGCTTGCAGAGCGAAGGTAGAGCAAGCAAGAGCCACCTTTGATGAAGACAAAAAACATCTTACGAAACTAATTGAGAGCCAGGTACGAGTTATTCTTTATTACCAGTCACTTAAAAATAAAAAGTAATGGATGCATAATTATCACAAAGAAAATTAAAGCTGTAGTTATAGGAACTTTCTAGGAAATGAAGCTCTCGGATACCAAAGAAATCATCATTACATGGGATACCTAAGAAACATTACATGAATTGTGACTTTTTTGCTTTTAAATCATCTGATTTAAAAAGTCAGAAATAGTCCATTTGTTTATTGAATTGTATACGATTTTCTCTGTTTTTGAAACATAGGAAAGCTGCAGCAAAGATTTAATAAAAGCTGTGAGCAATTACGAGCAGGGGCGCGTTTCAATCGAGGAATTTAATGCCCTGAAAGCCACATTGGAGACTCTGCAGAGTACAGTCGATATGACAAAAGAATCAGTGCCATCGCCAGTGCGCCAGATGATAAAGGATCGGTCGAGTGAATGGGACAAAGAAGTGCTGGAAATGGTCGAGAAGTACCAAGAGACCCGTGGTTTTCTTATGGAGCTCATCACCCTTGATCTTAGTCACGAGGTTTGTAAACATTTCAGCTATCTCTCAGCTAGAACATATCTTACAAATTTAAATAAGTTCAAATTCACTCAACGAAACAACGAGGAAATTAACTATGATTTTGCGATATAATTGGTCATAACTTTTATGATGTCAAGACATTAGCGAAATGAAGAGAATGGGTCTACAGGAAATCTTTCTGAATAGGTCTACAGGAAATCTTGATCCTCCAGGTTCTGCCAATGCCTGTCTTCCTTGTTAAAGTCATTTATAAGCTGAAAACATATTGCTTGAGGTATTTCTATTTACACGAGGTATTTCTCATTTGTATATATTTCTCTGCTAAGATTAGGCCTTTAATAGAGTTCTTTGAGAACTTGGAGTTCTAACAGTCACTCGTTTTTCAATTTTAGCGTGACATTGTGGGCATGAAGTATCGATTGGAGAAACTTGAGGAATTTTCAAACACCAGTCAAAAATCCTCGGGTGAATTTCTCCCTACGCCTTCCTTGCCAGAAATTGAGCGATTAAAGTCTGTTCACTCAGAAGCACCAAGTCTACGAAAGTCGTTCTCAAAGCAAGAGCCAATTGATGCTGACACATATCAACTAAAATTCTCAAAGATAAGCTCTGTTATGAAAAGGATGAAGGAAAGCGTCACCGAAGCAAAATCTATCCAATAAAGAAAAAAAATCAATGATGGCATACGTATTTTCAGACAAATGGGTTTATAAACTGTCAAATTTAATGCATGAATATTTCAAATATTCTTTGGATATACTAAAGTCAATGTAATTTTCATGAAAACTATCTGCTGATGAACTTTTTTGTCTTGTTGAAAAATCTGCCTCTTTAAATATATCTTAAAAATTTCAGCTTGTTTCTAGCGAGAATATTTTTAAAGAAAAATAGGTAGTATCATTTTACTTTTAGTAGAGATCAGTAAAAGGGATCTGGAGGAAACTTAGAACGAAAAATGGGTGTTGTATATAATCTGATTTGGTCTTTCTTATTGAATTTAAAGTTTGCGGAAAGTGGGTGTTTTCTTTGGGGGAAGTAAAGGACTTTTGGGGGTTGGGGGAATACTGTGTCTTTCAAAAATTGTTCTCAGGGAAGCAGCTAAATAGAGCCAAGTTTTTGTATCTCGTTGATCAGGAGAAACCTCATTAACATAGCTACAAAATCATGTGTTATCATACAGAAGACTATAACGAAACAAAGTATTTGCTATTTGCTACACAATATGTCCTACGAAAGACTTTTCTCATTTTTCTATCTTGGTTTTGAGGAAAAAATTGTTTATGATATCCTTAGCATCAATTTCTACAGCCTGTAGTCTTTCTGCCATTGCACTGAGAATATTCCAGCTTTCGCTGCCATAAGTGTAAATGTATTGGACAAATGAAGCCTTATTTTTGATTCTATTTTCTGAAAGAAATTCTTTGCTATGCCAACTCTTCTTTCGATTTTGACCCTCACTTTCTTTGCCTGATGTTGTTACCATCTACTTTCAATTCACAGACCGGGTGTTGCTTTCTCTTACTAATAACCACCCATTCTGTTTTATTGCAGCTTGATTGGAGGCTGATGTTTCTGCTTTCATCTCCTACTTTGTTTAGCAGTGCCTTTAGTTTCTCTTGCGATGTTTCGGTAATAGCTGCATTATCAGGATATCATTTTTGTGATGTTCCTTCTCCAATAGTAGGTCCTTCTAACTCGTTTATTTTTCTTAATATCATTTCACTGTATATGTTAAACAAATCGGGGGATAATACACACCTTGCAGGCACCGCGGAGCATTGAGAAAAGTGGAGGGTCTAAAAAAAATGTGGGGGGGGGAGGGGGGGCTAAAACCGTATAAAAAGAGGCTTTTCTGGTAGTTTTATATTTAATATTTGGCAATTTTTGCTAAAGCCCCCTCCCCAACCCCCCTGCTCCGCGGTGCCTGCCTTGTCTTACACCTCTTTCAATCTTTGCGTATTTGCTATGATCAAGTCCTACTCTGATACATGCAGTTTGCTCCCATTGCAAGTTCTGAATTATTTGCAGATCTTTATCATCTTTTTCAATGGATCAAATATTTTTCATGCTTTACCTCATTGAATGCTTTTGTGTATTCTATATAACAGATATATGATAATAATAATAATAATAATAATTTCTTATTTCAAATTGGCTCTTATTGCTAGCTCACTTGCTAATTTAAGCCAACCGAAACTTAAATACAAGATACTATAATAAATTAAATCTAAATTACAAACGAGAGAATACCATTAAAGAATATTACTATAAAAACCCTAAATTACCTATATACAATCTACACATTCTACAATTGCAATGAAAATAGTAGCTTGGAATTTTTCTTTTGAAGTTGTTAAGTGTATGGGACTCTTATATAGAAGATGGCATAGCATGCCATATCCTAGACCCAAAAAACATGCACTTTTAATACCATACCCTTTTGTTTTTAGTTTCGATGCAAAAATATTTCTGCTTCGAAGATGACAAGGTAAACATTTCAGAACGAAAATTTGTTTCATGAAACAGTTTACGTTTCCAATGCTCTTTCTGCCAGCATCCTGATAGCAAATATTGCGTTTTGTGTTCCTGCATCTGGCACAAAACAGCTTTGTTCTACACCGATCTCTTCTGGTTCTAACTTATTCCTTGTTCTATTTATAATTATTACCAGCAGAATTATCATAATTATTGGTCATGTACCTCATAAGGTTAATTCGATGCAACTAGTCAATGTGTGTGAATAAAGGAAAGATCATGATTGCAAGCTGCTCGACGGACTCCGATCGGTGGAATTCTTGAGGCGAAAAGTCGATAGAAATGTAGCAAATATAGAACACTGCCACACACCCACACAAAACAACAATAAAAACACACCAAAATTAACTGTGGCTAATACTTCGGCCTAGCATACAGTGCTTCATCACCTCCTCCTTTCTCAGATGATCTTCCGTTTATTTTAGCAACCGTTGTCTCCTATGGTCGTAGCTCTTTCACCTGAAACACAACTTCCCTTCTGATAGCCAATGGAATTCGTTCTCATCACTGAGCAAGGGGCCTGACCAGATGCAGCCAGTTTGGCAAGCCGGACCTGAGCAAGTTTCTTATCTTAACCGAGGAATGTCGCTGTTTAACTTCTTACCGAGGAAATGGTAAGCCAATAACCTTGCACTTTTAACAAAACTTAAAAATTTTAAGAAAAAGAAAGAAAAGAAAAAACTAGTTCTAAATGTAAAAAGTTTTCATCAAAAAATTGTCATTTTGGTAAGCCTATAGCCTTGCATTTTGACGAAAATAAGAACCTCCAAAAATGGTCATTTTGGTAAGGCTATAATCTTGCTTTTTTGAAGAAAATTGAAACCTCCAAAATCCTAATATTCTGTGAATAAATCATCTTCCAAAGAAGCAAAACCTTGTTTATAACTGTAAATAAAGAAAATAGAGTAGAAAAAACAAAGCTTTGGACAAAAAAATTCTTGTACAAAAATGGTAATTTTGGAAAGGCTATAACCTTGCTTTTTTGACGAAAATTAAAACCTCAAAAAGTCTAATATTTTTTGAATAAATCATCTTCCAAAGAAGCAAAACGTCCTTTATAACTGTAAATAGAGAAAATAGAGTAGAAAAAGCAAGGCTTTGGACTAAAAAAATTCTTGTCCAAAACTGGTCATTTTGGTATAACCTTGCTTTTTTGACGAAAATTAAAACCTCAAAAAGCCTAATATTTTGTGATTAAATCATTTTCAAAAAAAGCAAAAGCTCGTTTATAACTGTGAATAAAGAAAATACAGTAGAACAAGCAAGGCTTTGGACTAAAAAAATTCTTGTCCAAAACTGGTCATTTTGGTATAACCTTGCTTTTTTGACGAAAATTAAAACCTCAAAAAGCCTAATATTTTGTGATTAAATCATTTTCAAAAAAAGCAAAAGCTCGTTTATAGCAGTAAATAAAGAAATTAGAGTAGAAAAAACAAGGCTTTGGACTAAAATAATTCTTGTCCAAAACTGGTCATTTTGGTATAATCTTGCTTTTTTGACGAAAATTAAAACCTCAAAAAGCCTAATATTTTGTGATTAAATCATTTTCAAAAAAAGCAAAAGCTCGTTTATAGCAGTAAATAAAGAAATTAGAGTAGAAAAAACAAGGCTTTGGACTAAAATAATTCTTGTCCAAAAACGGTCATTTTCGTAAGGCTATAACTTGCTTTTTGACAAAAATTAAAACCTCAAAAAGCCTGATATTTTATGAATATATTATCTTCCTTAGAAGCAAAAGCTCCTTTATAACTGTAAATAAAGAAAATATAGTAGAAAAAACAAGGCTTTGGAGGAAAAAATTCTTGTCCAAAAAAGGTCATTTTGGTAGAGCTATAACCTTGCTTTTTTGACGAAAATTAAAACCTCAAAAAGCCTAATATTTTGTGAATAAATTATTTTCCAAAGAAGCAAAACGTCCTTTATAACTGTAAATAAAGAAAATAGATTAGAATAAACAAGGCTTTGGAGTAAAAAAATTCTTGTCCAAAAAGGGTCATTTTGGTAAGGCTATAGCCTTGCTTTTTTTGACGAAAATTAAAACCTCAAAAAGCCTGATATTTTGTGAATAAATTATCTTCAAAAGAAGCAAAACGTCCTCTATAACTGTAAATAAAGAAAATAGAGTAGAAAAAACAAGGCTTTGGTGTAAAAAAATTCTTGTCCAAAAAGGGTCATTTTGCTAAGGCTATAACCTTGCTTTTTTGACGAAAATTAAAACCTCAAAAAGCCTGATATTTTGTGAATAAATCATCTTCCCAAGAAGCAAAACGTCCTCTATAACTGTACATAAAGAAAATAGATTAGAATAAACAAGGCTTTGGAGTAAAAAATTCTTGTCCAAAAAGGGTCATTTTGGTAAGGCTATAACCTTGCTTTTTTTGACGAAAATTAAAACCTCAAAAAGCCTAATATTTTGTGAATAAATTATTTTCCAAAGAAGCAAAACGTCCTTTATAACTGTAAATAAAGAAAATAGATTAGAAAAAACAAGGCTTTGGAGTAAAAAAATTCTTGTCCAAAAAGGGTCATTTTGGTAAGGCTATAACCTTGCTTTTTTGACGAAAATTAAAACCTCAAAAAGCCTGATATTTTGTGAATAAATCATCTTCCAAAGAAGCAAAACGTCCTTTATAACTGTAAATAAAGAAAATAGAGTAGAAAAAACAAGGCTTTGGACTAAAAAAGTTCTTGTCCAAAAAGGGTCATTTTGGTAAGGCTATAACCTTGCTTTTTCGACGAAAATTAAAACCTCAAAAAGCCTGATATTTTGTGAAAAAATTATCTTCAAAAGAAGCAAAACGTCCTCTATAACTGTAAATAAAGAAAATAGAGTAGAAAAAACAAGGCTTTGGAGTAAAAAAATTCTTGTCCAAAAAGGGTCATTTTGGTAAGGCTATAGCCTTGCTTTTTTGACGAAAATTAAAACCACAAAAAGCCTAATATTTTGAGAATAAATTATCTTCCAAAGAAGTAAAACGTCCTTTATAACTGTAAATAAAGAAAATAGAGTAGAAAAAACAAGGCTTTGGAGTAAAAAAATTCTTGTCCAAAAAGGGTCATTTTGGTAAGGCTATAACCTTGCTTTTTTGACGAAAATTAAAACCTCAAAAAGCCTGATATTTTGTGAATAAATCATCTTCCCAAGAAGCAAAACGTCCTCTATAACTGTAAATAAAGAAAATAGAGTAGAAAAAACAAGGCTTTGGAGTAAAAAAATTCTTGTCCAAAAAGGGTCATTTTGGTAAGGCTATAACCTTGCTTTTTTGACGAAAATTAAAACCTCAAAAAGCCTGATATTTTGTGAATAAATCATCTTCCAAAGAAGCAAAACGTCCTTTATAACTGTAAATAAAGAAAATAGAGTAGAAAAAACAAGGCTTTGGAGTAAAAAATTCTTGTCCAAAAAGGGTCATTTTGGTAAGGCTATAACCTTGCTTTTTTTGACGAAAATTAAAACCTCAAAAAGCCTGATATTTTGTGAATAAATCATCTTCAAAAGAAGCAAAACGTCCTTTATGACTGTAAATAAAGAAAATAGATTAGAAAAAACAAGGCTTTGGAGTACAAAAATTCTTGTCCAAAAAGGGTCATTTTGGTAAGGCTATAACCTTGCTTTTTTGACGAAAATTAAAACCTCAAAAAGCCTGATATTTTGTGAATAAATCATCTTCCAAAGAAGCAAAACGTCCTTTATAACTGTAAATAAAGAAAATAGAGTAGAAAAAACAAGGCTTTGGAGTAAAAAATTCTTGTCCAAAAAGGGTCATTTTGGTAAGGCTATAACCTTGCTTTTTTGACGAAAATTAAAACCTCAAAAAGCCTGATATTATGTGAATAAATCATCTTCCCAAGAAGCAAAACGTCCTTTATAACTGTAAATAAAGAAAATAGAGTACAAAAAACAAGGTTTTGATGTAAAAAAATTCTTGTCCAGAAAGGGTCATTTTGGTAAGGCTATAACCTTGCTTTTTTGACGAAAACTAAAACCTCAAAAAGCCTGATATTTTGTGAATAAATCATCTTCCCAAGAAGCAAAACGTCCTCTATAACTGTAAATAAAGAAAATAGAGTAGAAAAAACAAGACTTTGGACTAAGAAAAATCTTGTCCAAAAAGGGTCATTCTGGTAAGGCTATAACCTTGCTTTTTTGACGAAAACTAAAACCTCAAAAAGCCTAATATTTTGTGAATAAATTTTCTTCCAAAGAAGCAAAACCTTGTTTATAACTGTAAATAAAGAAAATAGAGTAGAAAAAACAAGGCTTTGGACTAAAAAAATGTTGTCCAAAAATGGTCATTTTGGTAAGGTTATAGGTTTGCCATTTTGAGGAAAATTAGAACCTCCAAAAAACCAAATATTTTACGAATAACTCATCTTCCAGAGAAGCAAAACGTCCGTTAGCTCTGGAAATAAAAAAATATAGTAGTAAAAACAAGTCGTTCGACTAAAAAAATTCTTGTCCAAAAATGGTCATTTTGGTAAGGCTATAGCCTTGTTTTTTTGACGAAAATTAGGACCTCCAAAAAACCAACTGTTTTGTGAATAAATCAACTTCGATGGATGGAGAATGTCGTAGAACAGAAAAAACCAAGGTTTCTGACTAAAAAATCTCGTTGAAAAACGGTTATGATGGTAAGGCTACGCATAGGTTTGCTTTTTTGACGAACATTGGAACTCCAAAAAACTTTAATTCTGGAAGATATATTGCCTTTGATTGCTGGAAAAGCATCGTAATATCCGTTACGTTAATAGAAACAAATTGTACATAAGTGAGCAAAATTGCTCTCTCATCTAACAGAGTGATGGATGTAGTTTGTGTCTTTTATTGGAATTAAAATAAAAACATGGAGCATTATCTTGATGTGCGGTTGTATAATCTACTAAAAAAGAATTCTTGCTTTTTTCCAATAACAATTTTATGACCATGATTGCAAATGTTTGTTGTAATTAGATCACCAAAAAATTCCATTGAACACAATCAAAGATCAGTATTGTATGTAGCAAAATATTCATTAGTGGTTTTTATAGAGCGCAAGTAGACGATAAGTTAAATGATGCAAAATTTATTGAAAATCAACATAAACATCCACAAAACTGCGTAATTCGACGTTGTTGCCCATAGCATAGATGTTCAACTAGACAACAGCCTTCATCCACTTTGTAGAAACTCTAGTTTACAGCCCCATCTTCGTCACAAAGGCTTCTGCTGAATAACATCTGCTTTGGAAGTATGACAATGTTCTCTTGGCTGATAGAGTATGAACTCCTCTGTTAATATGGCATTGTTTACTTTTTATAAATATATTGTGTTGGGTTTTCGTAGCTTGTCATCCCTTTTCCACCGATTCCACAAGTCCCTATGCCAACCTAGAAGAAAACCGAACTTTGAATCTCATAGCGGAATAAAAAGTAAAAGCTATAGGACTTAGGAGAGGCACTGTAGCTGAAATAACGCATTTTTCCTTCTTACAAAAAGATGAAACGTAATGACTGTCCTTCTGAGCACGCTGTAGCATAAACTCTTAGGTCTCCGCTTACTTATAAACAAAATTCCGCACGGACAACTCACTTTTGTTTGGGTAAGGAAACTAAATAAACTGCGCGTAAGGTGTAGTGCATTAAATGAACATGCCAGCGCGGGGAAGAGGAAAACGAACATTTTTCCTGTGTTTGCAAAGCGGAGGAACGTACTGATAAGTTTCCTTTAAGCTCTGGTCAAACGAACTGATCATTTCACTGGGCAACACTCAACATTTGCAAACTTGCTCAGCTCTGCTCAGCATTGCTGCTCATCATGCTGCTCAGTACAGGGTGGTCAAATGAACTTTCGCACAAAAGTGCCCACGCAATGAGAAATGAAAATTTCGCACAAAACGATTGCAAATCAAAAGGTCTTCTAAATGTTGTCAAAATTGCGAGCTTTCATGACGCAATTAAATGGTTTTAGTGAGCACAAAACTCGTGAGCACAAAACTCGTGAGCACAAAAGGTATTCTTGGTGCAAAGCCTGCGCCGCTGTAAATGGCGCAGGCAATTGTAATTATTGTGGTTTTTACTTAATATAAAAAAGAAAAATGCGTAAGTTCCCTGATAATTCACCCTATAATCTTTAAACATCACGTCAATAGCTAAATTTCAAAGTTAATCGTATCATAGTTCAATTTCTACTTTATTTTGGTATGGTGAATTGTTCAGTGGTCTCAGGCCTAGGAGCATGGAAATGGGTCCGTGTAGGCTATCAGCTTGGCAAGACTTCGCGGAAAACACAACTGGATTTGAACATAACAAATTAGTGACTACTCCGCAGTTAAAAAATTGTATATAAATAAACAAGTTTGTTTAAATCAGAGACTTTTTAATCCAATTTGCAAAATACATCGAAACAAAAAAATTTGGAGCACAGAAAGGAACCGGATTTCTCTTCGGGTAAATTCTTTTGATAATAAAAATACTGGTATATTTTCAAACTTGCATCATCTCTGGCATAAACAAAGGCAACCAATAACTAGAAAGTGTATCTTATTTTTAGCTTCAAAATATCACAAGATTTGTCGGCTCTCGGTCGGTATTAAGGGAACTTGTGTGAGGTATTATTCATTGACCATTTAGGCAAGTCAACAGTTGTTTTTACTTCTTATAGGCTTAAACGACGTTTATTTGTTTATTGTGCTTCCTTGTCAAGCAATAAAATACGTTTGCGATGTGTACATTCCAAGGGATCAAGGCAACTCACTTCCCCTTACATAATTCCTAGTACTGTCATATATTCATAAACAAAGGTACAATAGAGCTTAAACTACTTCCGCGAAGTCAAACGATTTTCAGTATACGCTTACATTGGCTGTTGATAATTTCAAACGGGCAGTGGGAATACAGATTAAAGGCTTTTAATTCATTTATAAAATATTGGTGGATAAAACATTTAACTAACGCTTTTTTCTTTTTTATAACAAAGTACTGTTTGATTAACGTTTCATTAAATTACAATGTGAGGCTTGAAATTATCGATGAACATATATACCTTTCCTGTTGATGCTTCTGGCGATGCGAAAATGCTTTTTTTGATAAGACCTTTCAACTTTCCTTTGCCCTAATAAAAATAAAACGTTGTGTCATGTTGTGAAATCATTTTAAAGTTTAACAAAAGCAGATCTAAAGTTTCAAGGTAAAACTTCAAAATCACCAAAAATAAGTAATTCGATATAGGAATTCTACGGAGAAATTAGGCTATTACAGTTTTATTATGTAAAAGAATGTGCGACAAGCATATTTTCTGTGGATATATTTTCAATTAAGTACTATAGAGGACAAGAGGTTTCAGTAGGACACAAAAAAATAGATAAAGCTGAAGCATTTAAGCATTTTTTGGAAGAAATGAATGTTTAGAGATAATGAAAATGTAATTTAAGCTGATTATTCATAGCAGGAAAGGGCGAGCCGGGGAGCCTCTGCAGGAATAATCGGAGCAAAAGGGGCAGGGCGCTGCCCTCAAACTTCTTCAGTTTTGTTACAAGACTATCCATACACTATGTGAATAAAGAAAAGGTCACGATAGCAGGCTCCTCGACGGACTCCGAACGAATTCTTGCGACGAAAAATCGATAAAAATGTAGCAAGTAAGAAACACCAGAATGCGACGAGAATGAGCAACAAAAAATACACGCAAATCAGTGAAGGCTAATATTTCGCCCCGGCATACGGGGTTTCATCACTTTTGATCTGTCTTCCTTATCCATATACTGTCTTTCATCACTTATCCATACACTGTCTTTCTCTATCTTGACCTCTATCTCCATCTTGCATACTTAAATATTTTCACCCCGATCGACTAAGACTCGATGGATGAGCAAAAACGCAATCAAACTAGGGATATCGATATTGGGGTGGCTGATGATCAAGTATAGAGAATCACGTTTAGAGTAAGAAGTAAGACTTTAGGACTGTCCTTTTTTGCCCATCAAAGCTTGTTAATCCCCTGCTAAACGGCATCGAACACTCTGCAACAGATCTGTTGATAGTAGCTTTAATTTTTAACGATCTATAAAGTCGATGTCGAGTAGACAAACCTTTGTAGGTCCTTTGACAAACTGCTGCCAATTTGACTTTTCTCGTTCTCTCTGTTCTTCGATTTCCTAGTAGAAGAAATCGCTAGTATCATAAAATATTAAAGTAACATAAATCTTTACTCTTGTTCAATTATGGAGAAAACATTAGAATGAAGTATCAATTTTTAAAACTGCCATCTTTTTATGATTCGAATGCATACCTTGAATCTTTGCTGTTTCTTTAAAAGTTTTTTCTTTCGCTGTTCTCTCCGTTTTTCTTGGTCCTCTCTAGAAAGAAAATTATCCTTGAAAATTTACTGACACACCTATAGCTACAAATATTGCTTGCTACATTTGTAATGAATTACACATTACAAAGACGTTTCGAAGCAATGCCTTTTTCACGACATTATCAATCATATCTTGTTTAATACGGACCAAAAGCATCGTCAAATAAATTATATACAAAGATTTAGGTTATAAGAATCCAGTCCCTGTTTCATATCTCAGATTCCAGCAACTGAAAGTTACTGTTTCTGGCAATGGTTACAAAACCTAGTTTAACCATGCAAATAGCATCTTTACATGCAGTAAACTAACGCATACAATAATTTTGTGTTATCGGCTGGATCAAGCGTCCAAGACTTAGAGACACTCTAAAACCAGATAGGTAGAGCATCGATTATCCTGCTATGAAAACTTTCATTAGACTTATAATCTTCTTTCCTTAGTGTAAACAATTTCATTTTATTAAGAAGGGAGCAATACTTTATGACGAAAACTTCCTATTTAGCTGCTTTGATTTTCCACAGTCTTAATCCAGATCCAATATGAATCCAACAAAATGCATACACGACTTTCTATGACTTAGTTCACAGCAATAAAAAGTGCATAAAAGCAAACACTGAATTGACATGACAGCTGAATTGACGCAAGCTCCTACACAAGCTTTCATTGTATTGTCATAATAAACCAAGCAGGTGAAGTTTGTATACGAATTTAAATACTGCAGTAAACATATTTTTCTTGGCTTGACCTGGCCTCTGGATAACCGAAAATAAGAAGAACAAAAACTTTTGAAAAAGCAATATTTGTGACAACGATCAAACTTTCCGTTAACTCTCATAACATATTGACAAAACAATATTTTAGAAAATTTTCGCTTCGTTACATAACACATTTCGATGCGAGGAACGCATTTTCAGAAGGTAATGTTTTAAGGCATTCTACCTAAATAAGCAAGCCGGGTTACCATGTACAATAAGGAGCAAATAGGCCGGTTAAACGATTTTACTTGCAAATTTAAGAGCAAATAGGCTTATTATAAGATCGATAACTGATTATGTAATTAAATGATAAATGCATTAGGACGGCTTCCTTTCCGATTAGAAATTATTTACGTTGTAGCCTAGACACGAAAAGATCTTCTTAGGTCAAAGTCGAGTCTCGTGAAGACCATTGTTTGGGTAGAGGTTTGTCTTAAACCATCGTTGCCTTGGTTACACGATCAGTAAACCAATATGAAAAAACGAAACATATAATAACTTGTTTATAAGCAAAAGACCAGGCCACATATTTGTGGAAATAAAATTTTCTCACAGTCATTTAAAAGGATTCTATTTTTTAGACAGCTGATTAGCGAAAAATCAGGTCAAATTTTATTGAAATTTATGTGCTTTGTTGTCCTGTAGTCAATCTATACGGCTTGTTCACATAATATTTAGCATCAAATAGTTTATACTCTATACCAAAACAGAGTCGTCCACAACGACAAAATCACTTGAAATACTACGTGTTAAATTATCACAATAAATTCCACGCCACTCGTGGCAGACTGGATATATCTAAGATCATATGGCGTTCCTATTTGAGCAAAAAAGATGGGACACCATAAAGAGGTTTTCCATTTAACGAAGACACATAAAGGACAAAATCATATGCTGAGTTTTTCAGATAATATAATCAAAATTGAAAAATCTAAAAACAGATCTTCATTAGATCATCAATTACCACTGTATCAAGAGAAACTTTGCAAAGACAAAATGGCTTTGACGGCAAATTACTGCGGAGTACACACCTGCTTAGTCGGTTTTTGTCTTTTGGTTTGGTCGAGACATCATCTCCTTGCGGACTTTCAGCTGCGCTCGCATCAGTGACCGCTGCTCTTTTGGGCAAATTAAACATTGCCTCAAAGTCGATATCAGCATCATCCGAAGTCCGTTTCAACGACTCTTCACCGGTTGCCTACAGAAAAACAGAAATTATCAAGTAGGCGTGACATAAGGCTAGCGTTATGTTTCGCAAGAATCATTTTATGTGAAAATCCTGGAAAGGGTAAAAAATGTGCATCAACAATCATGACATCACAATATTGGTACCGCTATACATGTTGATTTCGTCGTCTAGTACCCTAGACGAGAACAAATATTTGCCTATAAAAGCCAATGGGATATGAAAAGTTTATCTGTAGACTTAATTTTATAATGTGAAACATTGATCAACTGCCAAAGTTGTTTCCCTCGCTATTATCAAGCATATCGAATCGAAACTGTCAGAAATATGGTGGTTGATTGTCAAAAAAATGGCTGACAGTAGGCTGGACATGCATGGGCTTTGACGCAAGCTCCTACCTTCCCCCTTCCTCTCCCCCAACCTCCCTCCCCCAAACCAAGTAGAATGAACTCTTTTGTTATCAATGATCCTGCGATATAAACGAAATTCTCGATACAGCGTCAAGTGTTGTAAGAAAAAGATTGGTCTATCTTGAACTAGGTAGGTCAAGCTTGGTCACCATGCATTGTACTACGAAAAAGTTCTTTAATAAATATCGTCTATTAATGCATCTTTGTTTCACTAAATTGAAAACGCTTATTAAGCTGAATAATTGTTTTTACAAAGCTTCATACCGTTGACGGTTCGGGCTCCTCAAAAATATCCTGTTGAATTCCAGCTGTTGATGGTTGTTCTGGCCTAAAGATCGAGAAAGTTGGGCATAAGAAATCAAATGAAGGAGAAAAGTTATCTGTTGCAGATTAAAGCATAGATTGAACTGGTCACTTTCATACATTAACACTTCAGGCTGTCTTTAATCAGTTCTCCATTCTATGCTCCTTTTAAAAAATCAAAATCCCAATAAACGGGAAGATGCTAACGATAAACGGATGCCAGAAGAATTCTTGAGAAAAGGGGGTCAATATGTCAAGGGATTTAAAAACAATACCCAAAGTAAAAGATTATAGCTTCAGGATGCAGAAAATTCCTTTTCCTTTCCTTAAAGAATATTTTCTTCACTCCCCAAACTCCGAAAACTAGTAAATTAAGGATCCTAAAGAGCCCCAGAAGTGAAAATTTGAAGAGCTAAAATATTTCCTCCGTTTATCAAGCAGCTAAGAAAACTGGCACTACATACAATGATTGTGCCTCACGTTTAAAATCAACCTATTCCTCGTCGCCAACAGTAAAATATGAGAATAATTTCGCAAAAGCATTTTGACTTAGTAACTGTTAAATCTTTTCACAAAAGCCTCTAATTGACTCTTACAACTTACAGAAAATTAACTTTCTGAGGAAGCGACAGGCCTGTAAAACAAATTTGTAAGTTTTGTTAAACCAGATAACTAAACGGTTTTTTCACAGTGGATTTAAGTGATCCGTTTGCACGCCTGGTAGAAGCAATGTCTGGATGCAGTTTGATCTCATCAAATGAGTATTCTTCTGACTTAAAATCCACACTTCTATTGAGCCTTGGATGAGCCCTTTGAAAGAACAAACTAATATTTGATTAACCTGTTAAATAATCAACAAATGAAAACGAAAACCCTCTTTAACCAAATTCGATTCTCCGCTTGCATCATTCCTTTATTACTTGCTTTTAAAAATGCAGATAATAGCCACATCAACAGAATATTACCTGTTGCAACATAAGGAATACCTATCACATTTTCAAGCCGACCAGGATATGCTTAAACAGAGCTACATACAAAATATTTTTTTCGACATTTATAAGAGAGCTATTGTTTGTATGTTTCTTAATGATAAATGACTGTTTAACAAACATGAAACTTAAAACCTAACATAAATATCAAGGAGATGGAAACCACCAAGGCAAAAGGAATTGAAAAGTTTTCAAGTTCAAAGCATTAATTTCTTGATATTGCAAAATATATTTCATATATATAATCTTAGAAATGTTTTTGGTCTGTCAAAACTGAAAACTACCGTCATTTTTCAAGTTTTTTTGGTAGGATTATCTATCTGCTGGATCGTATAAAGAGTAATACCTAATACTATATAAAAAGATGAAAAATTGTGACAACTGCTAAAATATCTGAATCAGCTTTGATCTTAATCGTGTTATATAACTGTGGATCAAATCATGATGAAATGTCTTGTTTTTCACCAACAGATGGTACACAAAACCTAATTGCACCTTATTATATAGCAATGATTCACAATATTTTTTCAAATTAGGTTAAGAAACATTAAGAAAATCAAAAGCTAATTTTCTCCTTCAATCTACTTACTCCTACATATGGATTAATGGATGTTACAAAATATTGACATCAAACCAGTACCAGGTCCAGTGAATGTTAGAAGTGAATGATCTTGCTTGGCACCCACCTTTCTAAAACTTTATTTTCTTCTTCATCGCTTTCATGTAACTCTTTTTCTTGGAATGCACGTTTTGTTTGTTGAGATTTTGATTCCTTTTTCTATGGATACAAATGGATTTGTCATTGAAATCTTTTACAAAAATTTGCATTTTCTTTTTGACACATAAATCAATGCCTTTGAAAATTTGTCATGTGTACTTTACCAGCTAAGGGCCATTGTAAGTTCAACAAAGCTAGTTTTGCATAAGAAACTAAGATATCCTTCCTTGGAGATCAACAAAATTGTTGGAAAGAAGAAAAATACCAATACTGATTCAAATGCAGCATAGGTTTCTTACCTTATTGCTCATAGAAAGCAGATCCAGCGTCAAATTGATTACTTCCTGTATGAAACAAAACAAACATAAAAATAACAAACTTGCTTGAAATAAATAAACAGCACACTGAGATTAAGAACATATTCTATTAGAAACATCAATTTCAAAAGGATCCCTTTGTGGGTTCTACAGAGATCTACAACAATGTCTTAGTGGAGTTTTACAGAATCCTGGAACTGGATTGTTTGTTGTTTGCAGGTTCTATCAACTTGGAAAGAGGTATTGCTATTATCTAAACTTAATCAATATCAAAACATTTTCCTTGACACTTGTATGATTTAGAGCCTTGTTAAGGATCGATTTATAGAACACTTTTTTACAAACTGCCAGATTAAGGAGCAAATTTTAATAAAATCACTACAACTGTTTCATGAAATTCTAGCCTTTGTATAAAAATCTACATCCTTACAGCCTTAGAAAAGAAAGGTATCCTGTCGCTGTGTACAAAGAAGCCAGCATTATTTGCTGACAGAATTTGCCTAAAACCTGTAACCTTCACGGTCAATAAAAACTAGGGACCCTCAGTACAGAAGCGCCATGGACTGGAAATTTCATTTGTTTGTTGTGACAAAAATATGAGAGATGTGGTGCACTTTTCATTGTCAGGTCTGTCAAAGTCAACAGAATAGAGGCATCATAAACAGAATGGTTACAAGTTATAAATGACCTTTCTTATTCTGCTTTTTAGTGACCCTGCTCTGTATTTGTCTCAGGGCACTGGGGCAAAACCCCCCATCAGAAAATCTTTGCAAAGCTTTGCACTATCAAAAACTTGAAAATCTAGGTCAGGAGAACAAAAAGAACTATTATAGGGCATATTCAGTTTCATGGCAGTTGTGGTCTTTTTACCCTATTCTGGCCCTTAAGAGGACTTCACTACCAGTTCTACAGAGGGCACTTCTACAACAAGGTTTGTTTTTAAAGGCATGTGCCCTCTTGATTCCAATATCCCTGACCCTCCCTTGTACTCACCTGTCCTTGATGGGACTAACAAGTTTTTAACCAAAAGCTAGTTCTTTCATAATATGGCTTTTCAGTTAGTATATACAGTTAACTTGCTGGTTCTATTTCGGTTCGGTTTAGGATCTTTCTTAGAATTTCAGTAAATAGACTGTGTTCATAGACATTTTTCTTATAACTTCAAGATAGGAGAACAGATCCCTGATATTAAAAAAAACTGTGGGAAAATTGACAGAGCAGAGCAGTCTACATTTCTTCCAGTCAAAGTGGAAATATATATTCAAAACCAAAGATACAATATGAAATAATCTAGGCATGATAAGCAAGTTAATTGGCATACCTCTAGATCACCTTTTAATTTCACCAGCTCATCATTATCCTCATCTATCATTAAAGCAGCCTCAACCTAAACAAAAATTGAAACTATAAATAGGTACATGATAAAGTTATAAAAATTGTGTTGAATACAAATGAGACACAGACCTAGCATTCTACAAATTTGATTTTGGGCCATCACCTTGTTAAATATGTATCTGATCTGCTGAATCCAAGATATAATTTTCTCTCAAGTCTAACAATCTGAAATTGCATGTTTTGGTTGCAGCTTCAAAAGTATATATTATTGGGTAGTGAAAAAGGGCTTTGAAAAAAGCAAGCAATTTATAACATATTGGCTAAATTTTATTGGGTAGCCTAGATGTTAACTTTAGTCAATTTTTGCAAATTATGGCTTTTATCTTGTGTTTATATATACAGTTGGAAATAAAAGAAGACTGTAACTAAAAGATCAACAAGATAATACCAACAAACAGGCACTTCAACTGGTTGAGCATAAATTGTGTTCTACCTTTTGAATATTCGCTAGATGGCAAAAACTGTATTCTGGCATTAAAAATCCCAAATGCTCAACATCTTTGCTGATCTATTAATTGTGATCCAATCATTTATTCATAGGTATTTTGAGAAAGGAATACATTTGCCAAAATCAACATCCCAAATTGTGACCTGGGTTATTACAAATACAGCTCTAAAATTCTAAATTCTAGCAAACTCTGAAATTTTCAAAGTTAAAGAAAAAGTAAGACAAACTGAGGAGGCAAAGACAACTTCCAAGGCGTTTTGCCACATTTTGAGCGAGGTCAAAAGATTTTTACTTCAAATGATTTTTCATACGCATTGTAAACATATTGAAATGTGCAATATTTTGATATTTCCCGAAAACCTAAAAACAAACAATTAATTAAAGGGTAAATTTGAAGTAAGAAAACTTTTTCGAATCAATATCTAGTCTAAGTTTGGAACTAAACTCTTAAAAATAAACATAGGGAATCATGAGAAAAAGATTTTAAGGTTCCACCTTAGAATTCTAAAAGACCTCCATAGACCAGATGTTTTATTCAATGCTTCCACTAATTCAAAATAGCTTATTTAACAGATTGGTCTTTTACGAAGGTTGTGCGTTAATTAGGGAATAATTAGGATGTGCGTTATTCTGGCTCCTGATTTACCGCTTCATTTAACTATAAAACATAAACTTTCATTTGTGCGAGTACCTGTTTTAGTTGGGCCTGGTAAGTCTCTAAATTGGACTGAAGTTCAGATTGACTCTCCATCTTCTTGAGGCTGGATTTTTATGCCTTTCGACAACTTTCCACTTATAATTTGTCAAAGTCAGACCGAGAATTGATTGAGTACCTAAAATAGATTGAAGTGGATTAATATCCCACCATGCCGTGCTCGTTTTCCAGGTGTTGTTGGTGTTGATCCGGGTCGATCACTCGATGTTTCTGTAGCGGGGTCTTAACCGAAGAAATGTGACGGAAGAGAAAAGAACTTCTTTTATGCTTTCTGCTTCATCATCAGAATCAAATATCCTCTATTATCTAACTATTTAGCTATCTAACTAACTACGTGCTGAAATATATATCCTAAAGTTAAGTACGTCATAACTCATACGATAACGAGGTTAATACTCACAAGGAGAATATTCCGATTTTATTTTTGCAGGGGTGCAAAAATTTGTGGCTAGAATATGAACAAGAAAGCATAGGAGCATACTTGAGGGGCTCGGGGGCTAGAGCCCCACTGAAAAAAACTTAGGGGCAAGCTCGGCCTTCCTAGGATCTAGTCGAATGAGCGATCAATTTATAGGCTAGGCTAATTTAATTATTTTCGGTTTGACTCATTAACGCATAAAAATATGCCTTGAAAAACGCTACATTATGATACCCTTTAATGCCAAGATTTAGTTTCATAAATCATCGCGAAACTGAGGACAAATCAAGCAATCTGAGAGCTACCTCTCTGCTTTGAAGTCTACATCTCTGCTTTAAAAAAAGTAAAAATTTTAAGAACACGCTTAAGCTTTTCGTTTGACAGTCTTCAGATTATAAGTCGAAAAATCTAAGTAGGAATTATATTATATACCCGGATGGGATCAAAAAAGGCCAACCTGAAACGGATTGAAAGCAGGGCCGCGGAGAGGATTTATTGGCCCCGGGTCAAGACAAAAGATGAATAGTAAAACATGCCTAAAGCAGATGCTTCTAAGGGGTACGGGAAATGCTCCCCTGGAATTTTTGAAATTGATGATTGCTTAAATTGCTATGGTGGGTAGCTTGCTTTGGTGGCAGTGGCGTAGATAGAGAGGGGTCAGAGGGGGCAAAAAACCCCTGTAGAGCTGAACTGCTATATTATCGGAAACCCTCTGGTCTTGTCAGAAATTTAACATGGTTGTCTATGTTTATCTATATATATCTAAATATATATGAAGATTTATTAATTCCAGTTCCGAAGTCGTTATGTTATGTTAATATTTTTAAAAAAAGTCTTATAAAATGGTACCCTGGGCACCAGATTCACTATATAATTCATATATAGTGAGTCTGGTACCCAGGGTAATAAAATGGAAAATGTTTAATTCGTTAACTAAATTTGATCACAACTGACACACTGTTGCAAATAGATGCGCATGCCATAGTGTAAATCTGTATGACATACATATTGCTGTATGTTGCCCTGTTGCAATCATATTTTTTTTTACATTCAGAAGCTTTTCGAACGCAAAGATGAAAAATTCTCAACAAAAATATATTTAACATTCAGGCAGTCAAAGACTCAAACTGCTTCTACCTTACTTCATTCATAGACTTTTGTCACTATTGCCTCTACTAATGACAATGTGTGGTAATGTAGAGATTAGATTATCACATAGAAATTTTTTTTAATGAATTGTTTTTTATGGGCCCCTATAGCCAAGGGCCCCCGGGTCAGTGACCTCCCTGACCCCCCCTCTCCTCAGCACTGATTGAAAGCATTACCAACAGAGTCAAATGATTAAAACGAACTTCTTATTTGCACAATAGTGGAAAAATTCAAATACAGATGCCAGCAACTTACACAAATACTCAGAGTCTTCCATCAATATCCCGTTTAAACTCGGAAGAGTGTCAACAAAAAGCTAAAGTAAAAAAGCCTCAAAATGCCCAAAAAATCTAAATTTAAAATGTTTGCTTTTTGCCATTTTTTAAATCAAGTACCGCCAAAAAGATCTTGGACTTCAAGAAATTGAATTTCATGTTTCTTTCTATCAAACAGAAAGGAGAAATTCCCAAAATTTGATAAACAGAGTTGGTGTTATGATTTATGACAATACGTAGGATGTTGTTCAAGAGAAATATGGTGTACAAACTTACTGAACAAGTTGATTTTTTGATTGGAAAGAACAAATTAAAATTCTACAAAGGTTTCTACAGTATAAGGCATTCTAAAATTTTCATTATATGTTCATTTAACTCTTATCCACCGAGGAAGCTTTTAAGACCGTTTACATGACACAGACAGCGTGGTAACTTTCTTTCAGTATTCTTGTCCGTTCTAGGGATAAGCCATGACCCTACAACTATAGTTAATCAGCTGCAAAAGCTTCCAAACCGTTGTACGAGGATTATAGCAAACAGTCAAATGATGTCCGAAATATTAATTTGCAACAGAACATAATACTTTGCAACAAGGATATCCACTGGTAACTGGAAACTGACCGGCTTTATGAAGTGAGGGCGCCAGCTACAGCAGAATAGAAGGGTTAGAATTACCTCTGACAACTCGAATAAACTACAACTTTTTTAGATGCACACACATGCCACTATGCAAAATCTTTTGCAAGAAAGGGTAACGATTTTCTGTGACATAGGGGAACAAATCCACTGATTTTGAAAAACAAATACAAGTTGTCAAAATCATCATCATCAGGAACAGATGGGTCAGTGCTGACCCGCCGTGGCACGCGCAATGGTCGTACGCCAGGTGTCTTTGTCTCTTGCGCTTCGTAGAAGACCAGACATTGACATTCCCAAGACCTCTTTAACCTCATTTTCAAGTTTTCGCCGTGGTCTTCCTCTCTTTCGCTTGCTACTGACCATTCCAGAGAGAATGTCATTTCCTAAGCCTTCGCTTCTTGCGACATGTCCAATAAACGACAACTTCCTTTTGTTGATGCTGTTGAGAAGGGTAGCTTTACCAATTTTCTGCAGGACTCATTCGTTTGTTTTTCTCGCTCTCCAACTGATTCGCATGATTCGTCTGTAACACCAAATCTCGAAAGAAATTAGCCGATTTCTGTCCGATTTCTTCATGACCCAGCATTCGCAGCCATACGTCGCTACCGGGAACACCAGGGTATTGAGAATTCGAATTTTAGCATGGAGGGTGATAGAGCGGTCTTTCCAAATGTTGCTAAGGCTGATGACTGCATTTCTCGCGATTGCCAGTCTTCTTCTAATCTCCTTGCTGTCATTGCAGTCGTTTGTGAAGTTTGCACCGAGGTAATTGAAATTTTCAACCGTTTCAATTACTTCACCGTTCACAATGAGGTCTTTCATCTCGAGGTTTTCTGGATCACCAGCCATCTTCATGACTTTCGTTTTTTGTGCGTTCAGCATCAGTCCCTTCTCTTCACTGGCCAATTTAACTCTCGTGACGAGAAGTTCTAGTTCCTGCATGGACCCAGCTATGAGCATAATGTCATCAGCGTACCGGAGGTTTGTGACAGTTCTGCCTCCCACTTTTATAGATCCTTCATAACATACTAGAGCATCTCTCATTATTTTCTCTGAGTATACATTGAAAAATTGAGGCGATAGTGGGCAACCTTGGCGGACTCCTTGCCCAATGTTAAAGAAATCTGTCAGGCCATACGTGGTTCTCACAACTGCTTTCTGGTTGACGTAGAGTTCTTTTATGAGATGGATAATGTGCGTTGGGAAGCCCATCTCAAGCATTGCGCTCCACAGTGTTTCGTGATCAACTGTATCAAATGCCTTTCTGTAATCTATGAAGCACATATGCAGGTTGTGGCACCGTTCTCTGTGTTTTTCCATTAGCAACTTCAGATTAAGAATTTGGTCTCTAGTGCCTTTATTTGTTCGGAATCCGCACTGTTCATCTGCAATTTCTCCATCTAGCTTCGTTTCCATGCGGCCTGCAATTACTTTCAGAAGAATCTTACTGCAGTGGCTTATTAAAGATATTGTTCTGTTGTTGCTGCACTCCATTACATCTCCCTTTTTGGGGATAGGAGCAAAAACCGATGTTACCCAGTCTTCAGGCCATTTTCTTTCTCGGTTCTTCTTCGTTTTGGTCCAGCACAATGTTGTTGCGCATTAAGTTGTCATTCGCTTTATACATATCTTGACAATAGGACTTCCATCTTTCTTTGACATCTTCTCCCTTGCACAATGCGTGACCATTCTCATCTTTTACAGTGTCAATCGTTGGTTTAAATTTTTTGGTAAGATCTTTAATGCCTCGGTACAGATCTCTCGTAGAGTTGGTTATTGAGTTTTCTTCAATCTTTTGACAGACATTGTTGATTTGCTGGTTTTTGTCTCTTCTCATTAATCTTTGTACGATTGCCTTTTGTTTTTTGTACTCATCACGTTTTTCGATTTCTGTTCTTGTCTTTTCTGATATCCAGTTATTTTTTACCTTCTTGCGTTTCTGAATAGTTTCCATTGCAACTTGTACTAGTCATTCTTTTCCTAACTTCCAGCGGCTGTCAGGAGGAATTTCCTCAGTGTCACATTCCAAAAGGGCCTGGAATTTGTTGTTAATTTTAACTTTATACTTTTCGTCTAGAGTTGAGAAATCTAGACGTAGCGTCGGTGGTGGTTGGGCTATCTTCTTCAGTCTCATCTGGAGTTTTGCTGACAGGAGTTGGTGGTCGCTGTTGCAGTCGGCACCTGGGAGAGTTCTTGCATCTTTCAGACAACTTTTCCACTTTTGTTCAATCATGATGTAGTCAATCTGGTTTCTATTGGTTCTGTCAGGCGATGTCCAGGTGTACAGCCGTCTTGGATGCTGGTCGAATAACGTGTTAGCTATGACAAGTTCGTTTGCTCCACAGAAGTCGATGAGAGATTCTCCTCTTTCATTTCTGATGCCAAGTCCGCATGTTCCATAGGTTGACGTTGCTGTGTTTGCTGTTCCTACCTTGGCATTCATGTCTCCCATCACGATTTTAATGTCACGGCTCGGTATTGCATCTAAGGTTTCTTGTAACTGGCTGTAGAATTCCTCTAGATCCTCGTCACTAGCGGCACCTGTTGGGGCGTAGCACTGCACAATGCTCAGGTTGTATGGCTTGGCTCTTATGCATACTTTCAGAATTCTATCCGGTATTGGCGAGTATCCTATTAATGCATTTGCTGCTTCTTTTGCAAGGATAAGAGCAGTTCCATGACTGTATCCGGCTTCTTTTCCAGAGTAAACGACTTTGAAGGAGTCTCCGCTGCGGACGAAACTTCCACAGTTGTTCCAATTTGTTTCTGCAATTCCCAGTATCTGGATTTTGCTTCGACTCAATTCTCTGCAGATTGTTTCAAGTTTCCCTAGCTCTTTCATCTTTCGAACATTCCATGTGCCAATACGCAGCTGGTTTCGCATATTGTGGCTTTGCTTTCCAGTAGCATACTTGTCGTGTCCAGCCTGGTCACCCACTGGATAACGCGTCCCTTGGTGACCCGCGCGACGGACGATGCGGTATGAGGTCTTGTTTTGTTGTACAACCATTTTGTGTGTGATCAGGAGCTAGAGAGTGGAAGAGGTAGAGGCCCCTAATCTCTTTCCTCAACCGCAGTGCTCGCTAACTGAGCAGGTGATCTCTGCCATTCGTTCAGTTGGACCAAACCTCTGCCAGACACCAGAAGGTGAGATGGCCAGTGTCCCGTAGTTACACCACAGCGTGCCCATCTGAGCAATCCACTATCCTGCTGCCAATAGCTTCACCGTAACCCTGGTACGGGAAGCTGCTAAGGTAATACTCCTAGCTCAAGGGAGCCCCAGGGTGCAGTTCAACGTCGTACCCAGGACGCAAAATATGTGAATATAATTTGCAGCACCATAAAGGCAAAAAGTCCCTTTTAAAAATTTTAATCATGATACTTTGTAAAAGTATACTCATTTCGATATGTATGCTCTCAGCAAGTGTGTACTCATTTTTATCTCATCATCGTCTGAAGAGATGTAATAAAAGAAAAACACGGATTGTCATTGCATGCTTCATCATTGCAGATTAGTTCATGTTTTCTTTTACTTTATAGCGTATTTAATTCACACTCTACTGACTACTGACACAAAACGTACGATAAACGCAACGAATGTACCCCTGATTGTTTGTGTGCTTTAAGAAACAGAGAACGTAGAACGCCAACACAGATGGACTGAATCTTTTACACAATTAATACACATACGTTAAATTAAGGAATTTTGGTACGAGACTTTTTTAAAGAAACAACAAGCTGCTCACAGCGTAAACTCAGGGTAATGACGTAGATCTAACACGAGTAAGATAACTGAAAGGAAAACTGCACTGTAACTTAGTTGAGATCCAAAATTATCTTCAAAATTATGCAAAATATGCTAGTACAGTAACAAATTAACGTTACTTTTCTAGCAGACGTTACTTTGTATGGCGACTTCATATGCGCCAAAGATCTTCTGACCAAAATATGTAATCTTAATCAAAAACCGAGGTAGATAAACAGTAGCCCTTGTCGTGAGCTAGTATAACAATGGGTGTGGTCTCTAAAGAGGGTTGAGCAGATAGTTAACATGAATAGAATTTGGTCATTAAATGTCATTTTCAAGAGAATTGATCCGATTTGTTGAATAAAAAGGGGTTCTACATGATAAATTATCAGAGACTTCGGGGCATACAAATAAAAACAAATGTCAAATATCAGACCATATTGGGTGCGGTGGATAAACACGAGGGCTCTAAGGTTTTTGAATTCCAGGAGCTTAATTGATGTTCCAATATTAGAAAAACTCTGAATACCTTTCATGATGGGCCTATCATTTTCTATGAGTTTCTCTAATAATATTTTCTGACAAAATGAATCTCAACGTAGCTACAGTACATTTTTTCTTAATTACACTATATATTTTCTATAATATTTCATATTGGTTCTATTTACAGTAATAATATAGTACTCTCAATAAATTAAGTTTACATGCATTTTTGATAAATCGAAAACACAAAGGATGAATCCCTGAAATTGTGTTGATTCGAAGGGTTAGGCAGCTGGTTTCCCAAGCTTTTGTCGTAATGTGTAAGACGGTTGTCTTTTACGAGGCAATGAAAACTGTAGTGGCAATGGAAGCTAGAGTTAAGTGGACGATGGGATCATGAGAATAAAACAGAATCACTGAACCAGACATGTACTTATCGCATAGACTGGTTGGTTCAGAAACAATATAAATCAGGGACCAAAGGGATTTAAAAGGGATTTTTCACAAAAGAGGATCTGTAACGTAAATTGATTCTGAAGCACAAATTGCTAGGTTTAGATTCAGACAGTTTTGGATTGTTTGCATTTTCTTTCAGAAGCATGGCAGTCAAGCATAAGTTGGAGATTTTTGAGAGGTGGAAAGCCAATTACGAGGCTCTAAAGAAACTATTAGTTATCCGCTATTCGTTAAAAAAAGTTATTCGATAGAATCCAAGATCATGTAGTGCATGGGTCAAGGAATGACGAAATGCATGATGGTCTGCTTCCATCAAGGCAAAAATGAAGATGGGTTGGTTGGACAATCAAATCTATTTAGTTAGCCAATCAAATGATTACCTTAGGAAATCAAATTTTCTAGAAACCAATCAAATTGATCAGGCCTCGTCAATTTTTAGCTAGCCAATCGGATTGATCAAGCCCAATAACATGCTGCGAATCAAGCAGAATTTTACATAAAAGCTTTTCCATGAAAGGGATACGCCACATAAACCTTGAGTCATCTCCAGTTGATAGCTGATGAGATTGACATCCAGTGTCATACTCATAGCAGCTTCATGCAAGAGGTATTTTTATGGAAGATACCAAATGTTGTTGCAAGCATTAGACGATCAACGTTAATGGCATGAACAGGAGAACGCGGCTTATTCCTTGCACATCCCTGCCTGAGGCGGTTTCCAAGACTCTAGTTTGCTATCCCTGATCCTAGTGTCTGATTCTATTCCACAGCTGCCTCTAATGATCGGTCTCTCAGCGACCGTTAAGTGGACCACTAAATGGAGCGGTCGCGTACTATTACTACTCCAATCTAACGGCAAGACTGGATTAAGGGTGCATTTGCTAAGTTACTAATGCTCGTAATGAATAAAGTGAAGTTAGAACTACAGACAGGATTACAATAAAGTTGCTCGTTACCTTTACCGAGCTCGATCTCGTTCTTTGTTCGTTCTTTTCTACTATTCTTTTCATTTCAGATATTTCATTTGGCATAGTCTTTGTTGTGGTTTTTTGATGCAATGTTTTAGTTTCTGGTAAATTTCTCGTAGTGGGCTTTGAAACGTTGACCACAGCAACTTGGACTAGAGTCCTTGATTCTCTTGATAACTGCCCTGCGTCATCTTTTGCGATTACGACAAAGTGATGCGAGGGCGCTTTCGAGTAATCTAACGGTCTTGCCACGAATATGTCCCCAGTTTTGGAATCAATACTGAATCTATAAAGAAAAGGTGAAGACAATTTAAAGTAAATCTACTTGGTATACGCCGGCAAAAAAGAAAAGCTTGAAATTTTAACAATGCATCATGCGACTTCAACAAGCCGGGGTTCATTATTTCAAAGTGTTGCATTACAAGTTCCCCAAAGTTGGTATCTTGAGGTTATAAGAATATAAACAAAAAAGACATTAGATGTTTGCTATCTCGTTTTGACATCGAGGCATACCTGACCCGAAATCAATTTAAGAAAAGCCTTTCAAGAATCAACACCAATGGCTTTTGGCGTATCATTCGATTGTCACATGATTAAAAAGATACAATACTTGGTATATAGAACAGGACGGTTCTAAGTTGCTAGGCAACTAGCGAAAACTATTCGTTCTATGGTTTTGATTATATTTGTTGCTATGTCCTTGATTAAGAAGATGCACAATTATGAATCCAAGTTAAATTTTAAGAAATCAAATGACTCTATTCGATTCACAAATTTAAGATTCATTAACGCTCGATAAGCTGATACGTACAGTGGTGAGCCGATTTTGTTTGTCTTTATTTCGTATGAAACTTTTCCGTATGAGCCGATATCTGCATCAGTAGCCTGAAAACAAAACAGAAAAGGTTAGAGAAACTAGCGCGTAAGATAAACATTCATAGTTCCTTAGAACTTTTACTGTTATAGTTCCTTGGAAATATAACAATAATAATTAATGGATACAGAATAACGATTAAGGCTTTTTGAAAGCATAGTCATATCCTATGCTACAATATGTGGATAAAAAGATGCAAAAACGTATAATTGGATTTAATTTACAATTTCGTATAAGCTATCATCAAAATATAACAAATTGGGAAATAATAATGGCGAGAAATTGATAAATCAGACGAAAAAAACAAATACATAGAAGAGAGGTAATTTACAAATTTTATATAACTTGCTGTCGCTATATGAATTTTCGTTAGCTAAACAATTTCGAAACATTGCCGCCGTTTTTGCTTCATGCTTTGCAATACATTTGCTCGCTAAATGTGTTCAAATTTCTGCACAGGTAGAAAAGAAATAAATAAATTGAAACAAAAAAATTTAGGCTGTATTCAACCTGTGTAGTGTAACCATGAATTTTATTTGATCAACATTTTTTTCTCATTATACTTTTCGAAAACAAAGCATTGGTAACAGCGGCGTTTGAAGCTAAATGCACCCTTCTTCACCCTTTCAAAAGTTTGTTTATTTTAAACAAGACTATTAGTTTCGTCATCTAAATATTTATTTTTTCTCAGCAAGGCTCAACATTCCACAAACTGAATTTCAAATGCATATGTAACATGAAATCATTCTCAATCAATTTTTGCTATAAATCTATTGCCTTGACATTGTTTCCCTTTATAAAAACATTTGTAATTTCGTAATAGCTTTAACAATGTCTTAACTGTTCGATTCATCCCAACACGCACAATTGTGGTAAAATTGCTGTAAATAAAAAAGCACGGACATACTTTTGTAATTGTCGATTGGCAAATATTTATGTATTTACAGTTGCCAATCACGTAGATTATACGCAATGTTTCTTAAATATTTATGTTGCTTTAAAGATTAAGATAAAAAGGACATTTTTCGGGACAAACGCCTTTAGATGTTGTTAAATTTAAGCGAACTTTAAAATGACCCTTCTAAAAACAAATAAAAATTATAATCCTAACAAAAGCATGATGTAGATGCAAATTATTTCGTGCCACACATAGTGTTGCTTTATAATTGTCACTGACAGACGTAAATGTCATTGGAAACTTTGGTAAGACTATAAAAGTTCTATGTGAGAATTAAAACTCCAAAGACGGTAGACGGTCGGGTAATAAAAAAATGGACATAAGGCTTGTTGCTCTGGTTCAATACCAAAACATTTAGGAGCTCGAATTATTGATAAGCAATATCGAAAGCAGATGAAAACACTCCACAAATATGGTATTTCATTGCTGGGAAAAACATTCTACAAATGATATTTTATTGCTAGGAATAACTACCTTGACACGGCCAATTACTTTTTCCGTCGAAATGTCTTCCGATGCTATGAATATGTAGACGAGCCTCTCAAACATTGGTGTATTATCATTTTCGTTGATAACATTAACCGTAACATTTGTACTACCAGAATATCGTTCATCTGTATCTGTTTCGGTGGCTAGGATCTGAAAGAGAGGAATGATATCAATTTGAAAAAGGGGCTAGCGAAGAAAGGGTACATGTAAACACGTTGCGGAAAAATCTAGGCCTAAAATATGAACAAATGTCAATTGAATCGTTCGGTACAAGATAAAAATAACAAATAACATACGAAAAGTAGAAGTCGATATTAGAGGGAGGGGGGAGAGGGGTTGAGTATAACAGCGTCGATGACTTGGAGGGGTAGTTGAATTCCGGGATTATTAACTTTTGAACAAGAATATCTTTTCAACTGTTTTAGTAGAATAACTGTTTTTAGCTAGAGTTGTATAAAATTTGTGTGCACAGAACAGGTTTCGAGCGGTAATAATTGCACTGTCTGAGCTGTCGTTCCAGATTCTAATAGAATATATAAAAAGTGATAAGGTTTAAGCTAGGTACCGTGAAATTGTATTGCCTCTGTTTTTCAAAATCTATTTCACCCGCTATCATTAGTTTTCCTGTGGTTGGATCAATAGCAAATTTGTCTTCTGCATCTTTTAATGAGTAGACAAGCTTTTTATTCTTGTTCTAAAATAAAGAGTTAGTGATTACTAACGTTAAATATATATCGGGGTCAAAATTAACTCCAACAGACGAAGAAACAATGCAGTGATAAAACATTATTACTGAACGAGCTTCACAATCCTGAAAGGATAATATATAAATTAAAAAGTTAGCATGTAGGGGCTTGGAGGAGGGGGTTTACAAGTACAACAAAGTCTTCAGAATCTCCTTCTCTAATCAAAGTTATTATATAAAAATTAAATCCTACTGCTTTCCATCTTCGAAGGTTTTTAGTAGCTTTCTTGCTGCTACACTGATCAGTAATTTCGTATTTTCTTTCACAATATTTTTTGCTTAAAGTAACGAAAAGGCCATTTGAAAAACTAAATTTGACAGATTCACTACTGTCTTGTAACCGGACGATGTGAACGGCATCGTGCATTCTGCAAATGACCCGTTAACATCAACCTTTATAAACGGCCATTCAATATGCTTTGGATATCGTTAAAATAACCCACTTGGCTCAATGAATTGTCTAGCATAGTTCCTGCCCAACATTATATAATGTACATTTATTTGAAAATCCCAGCTGCACGCTAGAAAAAGGTATTCGCGTGACATAGATATTTGCTTAAAATCCTACCTCTATGTCTGTATCGACAGCGCTAAACTGCTCATTCAAGGCAAATCCAATTGGAGCGTTTTCCTTCACTGTGAATGTGTAGTGGTCTTTCTTAAACGTAGGCCTATTATCATTGACGTCATTAACTAAAATAATGACATCTACAGTGGCAAAGGCTGGTGGGTCTCGCTCTTCGTATGCCTGAAGAAAAAAATGCACAGTGAATAATAGAGACAACCAAGATATGACTATCCAATGTTTTCAGAAAGCCCGCCCATTCTGAACCCTGCACCTTTTTCTACATTCTGACATTGCATTGATCAAACCATTGATTTATATCGAAATTTAAGGGCGTTTAAACTAGATAATAATGTCCAGAAAACATATAGGCACTACGAGAAAGTGATCATAAATGGTACGTGCTGTTTATAGGAAAGTGCTTTGTAAAGAAGTAGCACTCGGCTCTATTAAAAAGTCTAAGCAAGTTCTGGACTGAATTTCCGGTGAAACCTGAAAAAATTGAACTATTTAGTTACTCAAAATATCCAGGAGAATTTAATCTTGTGACTATCATGTGCAGAAAAGGAAACTCTTTAAGTTCGAAGAAGTGTTTCTATAGTAATGATTTCCCTTTAGGAAGTATTCGCATCAGGATGAATGTTTTTTGATAAATGAGGGATATTTTAAGCACTGTATTGCACATGTTCGGTATCACAAACACTTCAATTCTTGCCAACAAAGCCTTAAGAAAGTTCTAGCTCTAAAACGGGAAAATAACTAGGAAAGTTTTAGTAATGGGTTGAAAAACGTTCTTATAAACAAAACGTGCAATGATGGTTTCATTTTTACCTTAACTTTGATCTTAAATATGTTATTTGTTTCTCGATCGATTGTTCCGTTGATCCTTATTATTCCGTTCTTCTTTTCTATGATGAAGAGTCCTTCTTCGTTTCCTAAAAACGTAATGGATTTTAATAATTTAACATGAGGTTCTATGCTTGGCTCAACTTTTATGCTTGTAAAAGCTGGTTTGGAAACCATTGTGGTTGAAATTGGAGGCAAAGCTTCATCTTTATCTGCATCTACTTTGCAAGACCAATCGGTGTCATTGCAATTCACAAAACACTACATTCCTGAAACTCCAAGAATTTCCCAATTATTTGGGACTTTGGTTGTTTTTCAGATCGTAAGACTGAAAAGTACCTTGGAACCATCTAAAATTTATCATGTATAAGCATATTTCAGTATTTCATAACTTCAAGGCACCAATTAAAATATTTCAAGGCACCAATTAAATTTTGGCAATACGTTTTGCAGTCGTTAAGCAGATTTAGAAGTCATATAAACGCAGCGTCAAGCTTCCAAAGACGTGGTTGTATTCATGAACTCAAAAGTATTGTACCTGTTACTACGCTATACTCGATTGGTTGATTGACTTCCGTGTCACCATCGATGGCCGTTACTTTAATGACAGATGATCCCTTCAAGGTAAAATAGACAGGGCAATATAAATACTGTAACTGCATAGCTCATTACTTTGCAATGCTTATTTCGTCAAATAAGAGTTACAATACGGTATCCCATGCTCAAAAAGGGGCAAAATTTTCTTCATTTTCAAAGAATTTCGAAAAATGATTCAAATCTGAACAGGCGACACGATTTTGTTTTAGTAAATGATTTGTGATTTTAGCAGAATATTAACACCGCTTTCAAAAGTTATTATAATGCGGCTAAAATCAAGCATTTAAAAAAAGGAGAGATCAAGAAAATTGCTTTTATAATATCCTATATAAAACATTGAGCGTACCATAGGTGAATTCTCATCGATTTGAGTTTGATAGGATGAATGAAGAAAACGAGGGTTTGTGTCCTGGACATCGGTGACGTCGATAACAACTGTAGTTTGTGATTCAAGTTTCTTCGGTGTTCCCTTATCCTGGAAAAGCAGCATGGAAAATTACTTTCACTGGCACAAACAATGTTTGTCTGTACATTCTTTTAGCCGCCCTGGTTTTGACATAGCTCCTAAGGAGAGCATTTTCAAGAGCATACTCTAACTTTCAAAAATTTAGATGAATTTAGATTAAGTTGGCTGTTGCCTAATTGTTTTGGCTCCGTTCGCCTTCGCGATTGGCTGCAGTTGTGAAGACACGATTTTAATCTGAAATTCACTGACAATGGAATTGCAAATTCAGTCCAAAGCCCGAAATTAGGCAGAGAAAACATATTATGACTCTGGACATAACTTCTGCACGATAGACAGAAATTTACTGTAAATTCTACCAAATATTTCTTTACAAGATAACATTACGATTGTACCCCTTACCTTGGCAATCACAACTAATGTATGTTTCTTGTCAGCTTCGTAATCAAGCGTGCCATCGAGGGTTATCAGCCCTGTATCTCCGTTTATTGAAAACTTGTCGGACTACAAGAAAAAGGGTTTGCTTTTACAAAAGTGTCGAACACTACTGTATATAGAATGGTTGAAACATCTGAAGAATATGATAGTAAAATACATCAGCGAGCACTTCATCCTGTAACTTCACTGTGTGGTTTTATCTATGATGACGTCACAGGAAATTAATTTTGAAGGCGAGAATCATTGAACTAAGGTTCATTTCTTAAATCCGGTAGGTAATGGGCTTTTTGACAACATTGGCACGGTGAAAGTACCATGTGGTCTAAATGATTGCATTGACCAAGGAATTGTACACAGTGTTTGGAAATTCCCTAAGAATAAATGACTGCAAAAGAAACATTTGTTGAAAACCTCACCTCTTTTTTATCTTTAAAAGAATACTCAATTTCGGCATTCAGTCCATCATCAGCGTCAAAAGCCTGAACTTGGATTATGCTCGTTCCAACAGTAGCATTCTTGAATAAAAACGAATTTTTTGTATTACAGTTTAATCAAAGACAAAAATGTGCCGGAATGTGTCAGTCAATTATACAATGAATCAATTATAAATTTGACAGTGTCAATTGGCATTGCAAAATAAATCATTTACACAATGAATCAGTGTACAGATGTAGAATGCGTGCCTTAATATAACGAGACTCAGCTAATATTTTTGCCAGGAAGCTAAAGTTTCAAAAGAATAAACTAAGTGATTAGTGATACAAGTCAAGTATAAAATTGAAGGGACGATTGAAATAGGAAAGATATACTAAGCTGATAATAAAGGTGGTCAAAAAATAGAAATGAAGATTTTCATTAGAAGCCAAGGAGCTGAAACGTCTTTTCTCATAAAAAACTGGGTGTTGTTTCGGGTAGATTTCTTAGCCTTGTAAAGAGCTTTTGTGATCCAAGCATTTGGAGGGCCAAAAACTTTCCTCAATACTAGAACTCGATATATTTTTATTGATAGGTCCAGCTATTGCTTTCACAAGCCTAAATAAATGGCATTTATAAATGTGTTAATGAGAAAGACGGAAAGAAAAAATTGATGTCATGTTGTCATGCTCATGCCTAGAGAATTATGCAGGACGAAAGTTATCTATTTACCTCCGGTATTTTTGCGATGTACGGCGTATTGAGAAACACAGGGTGGTTATCGTTGACATCAAGAACATAGAGAAATACAGGTAAATAGGCCTAAAACAAAATAAGTATAATAACTTTAAGTTCAGTAAAATTAAGTACAAGTCAATATGAAAGAATGATACTTTAAAAATCTACTTAAGAGTAATATGATTTAAAGTATGGGGATCGTTGTTACTAAGGTGTCGAAAATTGTTGTATACATCTTGATGTTTATACTCAATGTTTTGTAGGCAGGGCTAAGGCCTAGACGACAGGGAGATGGAGATGCCGTATAGGCCTGAGTATAATAATAATCATAATAATAATTTCGAATACATATCCTGGATAAAACACCTCATCTTGAAAAAGCTGCTATAAACGTGTGTCCAGGCCATTATTGTGAGGCTCATTCTTATAACGACTATGATGCTAATAATGATGATCATGTTAATGATGATGTCAGTAATAATGGCGCTGATTATTATGATGATGATTATTATTTGTATCGATGATACAAGGCTTTGTCTGTAACTGGCCTTACCGTTCTATGCTGTCCTCCACCTTGGTGACTGTCTTGAGCAGAAACGATTATTTTAAACTGCGCCTGTACCTGAAATCAGATTAGTTTATAATCTTAAAAATTTGCTACTGTACTGTACTACTGTAAAAGTTGAGAACAATGGCGACATTCTTTCTCTATATTCGATGTTTACGGTAGATGAGAAATGCCTCTGCAATGACCGATTAGAAAAGCTAAAATGTTTCTTTGAATTCTTGTTTATAGTTTAGCAGTTTCTTGAGGTTTAAGAGCGCTGCTATTTCGCATGCTTTTAAATGCAGAGTTGTGGATAAGCCTGAACATTTTTTGAAGGAGAATCACGACAAAAACAGGATGACAGATTGTCACAGAATCTAAAGGAAATTGCAAAGAAATTGTCTGTGCGTTGAAAATGCCGTTGCAAAGCTTCAGGGAGGTATTCAAAACAAAACACGGGCAGTGAGAACGGGATACCGATTAACCATATTAAGAAAGTTTAGAAACTTGCGGGTTATAAGGAATAAGGTTTTTTATTTTAGTGGCTACATGATAAGTCCATGTATTTGTTCAAGAAATATTTTATAATGCATTGTCTTGGCTGCAAGTCGAATGCTGCAAAATCTGCACGGCTCCACAAGATAATTCAAGATAATTGAAACACGCAAGTTAGTAATCGGTGCAACGAATTTAGTAATCGGTGCATTTATAAATATGTATTTTTGAATTTTCGCTTCAAAATTTCCACATTAGCAGCATGTTTTGAACAACAGCATCTAGTTCTTCAAATGTTCTTTAAAAATCCTGGAGAAATGTTCTTTGAATGTTCTTCACACTAGGTTAACATTCCCATTTTTCATAATGAATATCATCGGGGGTTTGCCAAAGTTTAAAAAATACTTGTTTTGTAATTTAAAGAATGGCTCAATTTGCGCCCAAAATTTGGAAAACAAATTATTCATATATCCACATGACACTCCAGAGTCAAAGTTGCATTCCATTTTGATTGGAAAAACATTTTCAGTTTTTCTTCTTCATACTGGGTTAGTTAAAGCAACATCACAAGGAGGTCTGACACTAACCTCTCGGTCAAGCGCCCTCTTTAGTGTCAAGCGACCGTCTCGTGGGCCGATGTTGCATAGCTGTGAACCATATGTATCCAGTCCGTATGTTACAAAGTCATTTTCATCATCAACTGTATATCCACTGATGTCAGCGATAAAGTAACCTGGGAAAACCAGCAAAGTAACACAGGTTATCGCGTTGTAACACTTAGAAAGCATAATTCAATGGAAAGATGAAATAAAGTGAAAAATACTGTGTAAACATATGAGATGGATCAATCTTGTATAATAAATCTCGTTTGATTAATGCTAAGATTCAGTAAAAATAATTATTTTGGCTTGAAAAACATTTGAGCTAACATGCAATTAAAATGCCTTGGTGTCACGTCTCTTACATTAATCAAAATAATCTTAAGATATAATCTAAACATTCTGAAAAATTTTGAAAAAAGCATTTAAAAAATCAATTTTTGCAATTAAATCGGAGTAGATGAAAAATTCTAAGAAATACAGAGACAGCGAACTCAAAAAGTGGAAGGAGATTTTGGCCTGCCTTGAAGATCAATAACAGATGTACAGACATAATGTTTATGTGGTCATGGCAACTTGACGCAAAAGAAAAAAATGATTTCTGCAAATTTCGAAGAAAACAATCGTCTTCAGAGGTGATTCTAGACACGCTAATCCAAATTGTCCTAGATAACAAAGTTCTCAAACCTTCTCGGACAAAAAGCCGGGGTGCCATGATCGTTGTTAAAAAAAGGGGTGCGATAGCCTTAGTTTCTTAAGGAAACAACATCCCAATCTTCACACAGATTTATAAAAAAATACATTCTTAAGAGTTTTTAGTTCTTATGATATGTTTTTGGCTTTACTGAAATCCTCCGCAACGAAACTTTTCATAGCCAAACAGGACTATTTACAACAAAGTCATAAACCCGGTACAGGGGGACAAGATCTCCCTGTCACATCAAGACAGTGTAGCAAAACGGTTTCCTTTCTCGTAATAAAAGTTAACGTGGTATGCCAAAATAGATATAAAACTGGTAAAGTCAAATATGTTATTTAAAAATATCTACACCATTTTATTCAGTTTATGGGAAGCATGATAACTTAATCTAGTTGAAACATGATTAATTCATTAAGGTCAGCGTTGAGAACAAATAGAGCAAAACATTGGTTTTGGCTTGGTAAAATTATCAAAAATATTGTGTCATACGCCCTATTTCAAGAAAACAAGATTGAGAAATGTAAATATGGCACCATTATCAGTTTTTCTTTGTGAAAAAAGTGAAATTTCCTTGTGCTTGCTATAGGGTTAGAAATGGCTTTCGCGCAAAAAGGGTCATTTCTGTCTCTATAATTGCTTTTCGAGACCTTAGTTCAATAAATTACGATCTTGTTTTGGCAGTCCGAGTAAACTAAAGCCTTGCAACTATCTTGTCATTGTGAGTTGTAGAACTGTAAGGGTTTAACCTTAGATCATCAACTGTGCAAGATTATCCCACTCCAGCCATCGCCCTGGGTCGAAATAGGGATTTTAAACCCAAAACATGGAAAATTCATCAAAAGACATCTCAATAGACATCTGTTAGCGCAGTTCAAATACATGGAAATGTTAATGCCATTGAAACTCAAGACGATTGTTTATCAGCTAAAAGATAAAATGGCAGAAAACTTACAGGTCACAAGGGAGATATAAATGAGAAAACCTGAGTAGGTCATTTACTAGATACTAAAATTGTCTATATATTAATGTAATGGATTATGAGCATAGCCAATTGCGAACAGTCAAGTGAGGAGTAAGACAAGGATACATAATTTCTCCAGTTCTTTTTATTTCTATGGCGAAACGATGTTAAGAAAGATTGATCATTTTGATAGATTAGGCTAAAAAATTACAGGAATAGTCTCCGATACAAGGAAGACACTGCTAGAATGCTTTATAAAAAGCTTTGCAAAAAGGCATTATAAAACATTCTTTTAGAAGATATCTTCATGAGTAGATAAAAATAAAGCTTCAGTATACAACAGTTTATCTAAGCTTCTATAATATTCCTTTTCTTCAGGATTCAATGTTGCTATCCGACAGCAAAGTTTAAAATCAAGTTATCTTTAGGGATTGATGGGAATCACCTGTTTTACTAGAAGGCTTTGGTAAAGCAACAAGAGAAAACAGTTCCTGCCTTTCTATTTCCAAAACAAGATAATTGTTGCTCGTGGATACTAAAGACACTTGTAATAGACACAAATATTCAAAAGCTTTAGCAGGTATTTAATCAAGAGGATGTCTTGTCTTGAAGAGGTTTTATTGTAAGTTACGAATTGATGCAAATGCTACTTGAATGTTTCGCGAGTTTTCATACAATATCAAATTCGTTAAATTATAACGGGATATATCTTAATACAGAAAAAACCATGGATTTGCAAAATATGTTTTAAGCTTGTATCTTTATCAGTTGAAATTACGACCACAAGAAGATACAAACATTGCAGTAGACCGCTTCACTGTTTACTTGTAGTTTCACTCTTTGTATCTTTTGGCTTAATGGGATTTAAGGCTAGCCCGTTTAAATAAGAGCAAGTCCAATCCAATTTAAATTTATGTCATTACACTCTGAGAAAAATTTCGCAGCTTGTTTTTAGAAGCAGAAATAACCCTGTTGTTTACGCTCACATTTACCAGAGCAGCTATTTTTATTTACCACGAAGAGAGAGTTTCGAAGAGGGTTGCATAATCCTAGAGGAAACAAAACCTTTGCTTGTTCATAGAAAAATGGAAGGCTTACAAACAGCGCAAACAAATATTCATGAAGTTTTAGCTGAAATTCTTTATAAACAATGATCTAGAATTTTAGGCGCTATCTGGAAAGTATTTTCCAGTCAACAAAATAAAAAACATGTAGAAAAAAATTGAAAGAATTGAAAGATAAAAAATAACAAACAGGCCACCGAGATTTTAACAGGGACAAGGATCGTTTTATTTATCTTGATACAATCATGATTAACAAATTCTTTTATATTCTGGGTCCGCTTTGATGAACTATCGAAATCGGGGACCCTTTGCATATTGTAGGGCGATAATCAATATGGTAAGACCACCATCATGGTTGAAGGCTCTTGCACAACCAGCATGCTTTGCGGTAGCTGTTTTCTTACGAGAGAAGAAATAGACTGTATTTGGTATTTTCATGCAATACGATGTTAGGCCGGCTTTGAAATATATTCGCAAGAATGCCGGTTGCGCAAGGTCCTTCTTGCTAGCGGTTCTTGCGGTACATTGCCATGGAAATCCTAATTGGAGGAGACTCAGTGAAATCCGATTTGAGTTCTTCGAGCCTCATCCTATGCTGTAAATTAGCGAGTTAAAACTGGCGCTCAGAAAAAACTGATGGGAATGGGCATGTGGGGGTTGATATACTCCTTTTTTGATTTATTGCTGTCAAGAGCGAGTTTGAATAGCCAGAACGAGTAGGAATACATCTCTAGTCGGAACGTAATGAGCTGTGTATGCACAGCGAGCCTCGATGCGGAGAGGAGGCGATGAAAAACTAAAGGTTGAAAGGTTCAAGGATATTGAGGCTGTTCTGTTTCTTAACACACAGTTTGATTAAATATTAGACCCCTAACTGACCGCGAATGCCATATAAACTATAGATACAAAATAGGAAAAAGAGCCGAAAGAAAGCAAAATTCACGAGACTGGAATTTTATATGGGTTATCCCCAAGCTTATATGGGCTATCCTCGAGCTTTACTATGCTTGACAAGGCTTGATTCATTTGCCCTTAGATCGACAAGCTAGCGTGGGTATAGTACACTTTATTTCTAAGCAAAGTAGAAAATCTCCAAATATTGCCGACTAATTCATGGCGTAATCCTGCATTAATATGCTAATAGCAAAATTGAAATTAATTCAAGGCTTTTTCAAAGTAATTTATCTGATAACAGGTGCTTTTTGGAACAGTAAAGGGAAATAAATATTTTTTGGGAGTGAAATTGCCATGCTTTGTGCAGAAGATATTTAAACACGGTGGCTTTGTTCCCAACTAAAAACCCTGGCAAATCATTTAAGCTATAACTTGTGAACTTCAGAATTTAGAAGAGCTCAAGGTTATGATGATCCTGGTGACTTCAGGACCATGGGAAACATCAGAACGACTCGTTGACCTCTTTGTCAAGGTAAACAATGCCACTATAGTTTCGGCAAATCAAAGGCTAAAATTGTAATGAAAGATTAAAGAGTATTTTGCATCCAACCCAAGTCGAATTGGTGAATCATTGTATCAAGGCCAACCGTTCTTTTAAAAATAAATACAAAAACAGAAGCTTTAGTGCACTGCTTCGACATAAGAAAAGGCGTTGGTAGAGATGGTGGCGAGAGTAAATGGCGGTAGAGGTGGCGATAGAGGTCACGGTAGAGGTGGCAAATGAGTAGTATTAGCACTAGAGATGGCAGTAGTGGGAGTATAGGTGGCATATAGGTGCTGGTGGCGGAGTGGTGGGGTGGCGGAGTGGTGGTGGTAGTGGTGGCGGTAGAGATGGCGTTTAAGGTGGTGGTAGAAATTACGTTAAATATGGTTGTGTAGGTGGTGGTATAGGTAGTAGTGGTGATGAGGATCACAATCATGACACTGGATGATCGTGACGATGAAAATAAGACTTTGTAAAATGTACATTTTCTGCTGAAAAATGACACTTTTTCTTGACACAGAGTTTGCGGTATTCTGAGAATTGTGATACGTAGGGAGGTCCCTTTCCAAAATATCCAATTATTTCCCAAATATTCAAAATATCATGCAAAGGAAGTTGCTTTCACAAAAAGCGGTTTATCAAATACAACTGCATTGTCAATGACGTTTTTCAAGAGTGACAATTAGTCTATTGGACACCGATTAAATCCAGTTCCCATACAGCCGCATAGATGTCAGTGTTTCTGCCGAAAAACTCTCGAAATTCCTATCTCAGATCAGACATAGAATTACGTCGCTAATCCAATGAATACCTTTTAAAATGAAAAAATCTTCCCCGTTAAGTTCCACACTGATTACAAAAGCATCATTACAAAGTTCATTCATTTCTAGGAATTTGTTCCTTAAAGAATAGAATTAAGGATTTAATGATAAATTGTACCTATAGATAAGGAAAATAATGCAGCGATAATCTAAAAGGTGACGCAAATTACTAACAGGCAAGTAAACAAGTAGTTGTTACGTCAATTCTTAATTTTCCTTCAAATATGTTTTCCGATAACTATCCTGATTGATAAGTTTTGTTGCGCAACGCCGTTAACTGTCCCTTGAACGGCAAAAAATAAACAACAGAAAGAAGCTCTTCACAATAAAGTACTTAACGTGCCATGAACTCAAAAGAATTCCATGGCAAAATGCGTGCCTTTTAGAACGATTTCCTTCTTGATATGCCCTTCATTACATCAATGTTCTTGGTTTCCCTTGTATTTCAATATCTTTTTGTTACTGATGGTCAAAGGAAATTCTGCCAATGGGTAGATCGATTCATTTTGTTTTTCTCACGTTAAAAAATGAATCAAGCAAGAGCAGCGGCATATTATTTTGGAACCCCAGAATCCAGGAAAATTTATGTCTTTCATCTGGACAGTACCTTTAAGCTGTACTAACCTTCCTCTCAGAGAAGAGAATGAAAACAGGGAAGGTTTTCAATGTGAAACTTCTGTTTATATGTTCCCATTGGCAGTCCAGTCAACTCTCCCGGTTGCGCCGGGGGACCCAAGATTTTGGTTGCTTTCTCCCGGTCTCCTAATTTTTTAAGATTTCCTCCATGTCTTTCAGCAGAGGCATTCTTATAACAAAAATGGTTGCAATGGCGTTCTTCTTGAAAAAATTATTGTTAGTGTTCGCAAATCAATAAAAAACTCTAAAAAACCGTAATGACGAAGTTTCCTATTATATTTTTGTCATTAACTGCTTGTCGAGCATGACTTTTTACAGGTATGTTGTTTATAAATTTAACCTAAATAGTTCTATTATTTCATCTTGATTCAACACATTACAGGGATCTCCCTGTTTCTGGCCAAATCCCCCTGCTATTTTAAGAAAAAATCTAAAATCTCCAGGTTATGAAAATTTTAGGTTGAAAAGTCTGCATTGGCTTTCTTTTTAGGTCGTTCACCGCCATATTTTTGGAATCAGAGATAAAAAATGTGACATATCAAAAGAATCTGGTCTTAGAATTTTGCATCTTTGACCACAAAACCTTAAATGAAATCATGAATCATTTCTCTAAAAATATAAATAAGAAATATATGAAACATTGGGCGAGAGATGGGCAATGAAAGATGAATGTTATGTTAGAAACAGAGACCAACTTAAAGTGATTGGATGGGGATAAACCTGTGCTTATGAGGCCACATCGTAGGCAATTTCTAATACATTTAGCTGAATCAACACAATTACAGATCCTTTATGATGTTCTTTTAGAAATTGTGAGCCTATTTCAAAAATTTTAAAAACATATACTTTAATGACATCAACACTTTAGAACTCTATATAAGAAGCATTGTTGCCCAATGTCGTTTTTCGTTGTTGCTATTCAGAGTTCTGCTTAGAAGCAAGTCATAGTCTTGTTCACCCCCATCTATGCCAATGTTTAAGTGACATGAATGCAGAAAATTCTATTTCAATGCGATAGAAGTTTTTTTATGAAAAGTTCACCATTTAAATAGTTATTTGACAACTGAAAAGCTGAGTTGGCTGATTCGTGTTCACTTTTGATCGATGGTTGATCAAGATGATCACGTACACGTTGACTACAAATGATTCGATCCCTTAGCATTCTCTGAAGACAAAATTTGATGCGTTAAAAAATATCGAGCATGTACTGTTACTTTTGATTGCTAATTCATCTGCAGTAAAGAAAGGCGGCCTAAAGAACACAGCTTGTATCAAAAGTAAACTGTCTGCCACCCCTTCTTTATATCAATCTGGAGGCACATAAAGTGTTAAAAAGATCCAATTCTACACACATGAAAAATTTGTTTATTTACAAGTGTCTGGTTTGTGACTAGTCTAAAGCTGATTTCAGATGATCCAAAGTCGAAGAATGTGCCTTTGGATTATCACACAGTCTTCGGTCACCATGCCTAAATTCTGATTTCATTGTAGGTAAATGCTTTGTAGCAAAGAGAAAATATTTTTGCAACTGTTGTTAGAAATATTCCTTGGTGCAATAAGCCCTTTATAGAGGAAGCCTGGTTTCACAGGCAAGTCGTTTAATGAAAGGTTAAAGCCTCTCAGGCTCTTATCAGGTAAAGTAAACATACACAACAGAAAGCAGGAAATATTTCAGGGTCGAAGAAAGAAAACGATTCATTGATGGAAAACTTCCCATTTTGCTTTTGGAAAATGTAAAGCGTGATTTTCAAAAGTTCTAAAAATATTTAAAAAATCAGATTGTATGCTCTTTTATGTAAAGTTCTGGAATTCTTAATTGTAGCATTTGCCTTTAGCTTCTAAAGTATATTGCTGAGTTGTACTATCACAAGCGATACTTGGCAAGTGGCGTAACATTGGCATTTATAGCATTTTAAAACAGGGTAAATTTCAGAAAGCACAAAAATGATCGTTAAAAGAATTTTTGAGGGTCCCTTTGATGCAATTGGGCTTTGCGCTACAAAGATACTTCGATAACAGGGAACTTTTGAGTATTATTGAGTCATCGCTCAACACAAAAAGAATAACTCACCTTTGCCAACGTTTTCAGGGATCGTCTTTACAAGAGATGGACGTGTAAAATACGGCCTGTAGTTTATTGCTAAAAGAAAAGAGTGAAATGATTAAGGACTGGTCTGTTATTAAAAGTGTTGAAAACAGTTTTGTGAATCCAATGAGGCTTTATATATTTAAAACTTTATCTAAAAGCATTATGAAGTCGTCATGAAACAGTTCTGTGGTACATTAGCCAAACGAAACAATTTCAGAGCTAGCATTTTTCGGTGATTGTTGTATTCTGCTCAAGCAGTATCAACAACGGCGCTATGGGGGGAAAGGGGGCGGGGGGCGGGGACTGGGAGGTACACTTCTCCATCAGGTCTTGGCAGGATAAATTTTGTATTTTAGAAAAGGTTTGGGGAGGGGGTTAAATTTTGTCCACGTGTTTTTGTGGTGCAATTCTATGGCACTGAAACTTCCATCACCTTCCCTTTAGGTAAAAGGGTCGTTTTATGGTGGTAAAAATGGCGTGGCCTAAAATTTTTGGTTGTGCCTCTCCCAGAGCCTAGTGGTTGGCGCCGTCGCTGAGCAGTACCTATAGGCTGCACAGTAATTGTGAATAATACAATAAACCTGTCTTATACCTCTTGTCAAAATGGTAAGAAAAGTAAACCCATGAACTTGCTAAAGAATAAGGGGGCAGTGGATCTTTGAAAGCATCTTCAAAGGCCTTAGCAATAATTACATTTATCTTACAAAGAGTAAACATTTACGTTTCATAAGGGGGCATGGTAACAAGAACCCTCTGAGTCATCTGAGTCTCTGAGCCCCTTACCCAGGGTTTCTTCTGGTAATAGCAAACCATATTAAACTTCTTACGGATTTGATTTCTGGTAATCTGCTTATCCTTAAGTTACTGGTTGTTGCTTGGTCTAAACCAGTCAACGCATAAGTAGCTTGTTCTGAACCAATCAAATCAAAGAATGGCTGAAATCATATGAGGGTTTCATCTGCTGTTTTAACGAAAGCGGGTGCAACTGCAGCCTATATGAAAGCACTACATTTAAAAAGACCTGCACTCATGACCTCAGCGATAGCGAAAGGCTAATGAAATTCTCTTACATTTCACGACTCAATCCTTCTTCATTTCTTAAAATTGGTTATAAAATTTTGCTGGAAAGTTCGCCTATTTTATCTTGATCATGGCTCTTGATAAACTCAAAATATAGTTGATAAACTCCAATAGACATACTAGGATTTATGTTCTAAAATGGACCTCCTAATAACTTTGATGCTGACTTCAAATTCCTCACAAATAGAGAAGATACCTGTACATTTGAGAGAAACGATGACTTACTAAAATTCATTTATCCCTAAAAAGATCATTCATTTTTAACAGAAAAAACACCCTTAATCTCAATAATCGTTTTATTGTCATATAAATCTTGAAATTTCTATGAAAAATGACGGTACACCTCTCTTTTGTTGCTAACCATGAATCCTTCGATAGCTGTAAACTCCTATTGGGTTGTCGGAAAACGTAACAATGACAATATGAGCAAACTCTTTACATGTGTATTCTATGAATGGAGCATTTGCTTGCTGTAAATAGAAAAGCAAATTCGAAAAGGCTCTTTCAAATCGTCATTCCTTAAACGCCATTCTTGACGTGTGTTGTCTTAGTAACAAAAAAACCCGGATGCTTACATCAGCAGAGATATTCTGTAGCTTAACATTTCTGTTCAAATGCGTACAAAGATTGTGTGGACTTAGCCTCAGAGCACAGATAAAAAAGCTTTGAGTGGGAAATAGCGATTAACGCAGTTGCCTTTCTCTTTTTATCAAAGAGCCAAACGTATCCCTGAATTCTTATGTCTTTACACTACTGAGAGGTGTTTTAATTCATTGCCTTTCGAACTGTGATAGCAAGAAACCATTGTCAGGGGATTATGTTACAGTAGGGCGTCTTTGTTTAATCTGATACCCAATCTGTCAAATTTGCTTTGGTATAACATATTCACATATATCTCGCTTGTTGGTCTTTCCCTTTCCTTGGTGCGCATTCAAATCAGCCATTTTCAATAGCTTTCAAATCAGAAATTATTCGTAATAATGCCATGGTTAGAGAAGAACTGTTATTCAGGGTGTTTTTGCTTCCAATATGACATACTGCCACGGGCCCTTGTGATTAGGTTGACGTCCCTCTTCTTCTATTTCAAATGAACTAGCATAGCACTAATCCGGTTTAATGTTATCAGAAAAAACCGTAGCATGGGACAGCCAGTGATTTCAATGGTAATAAGGATAAAATCGTCCCGTTTTACTATGATACATGAAAGCAACAAGCAAGATTCTCTCGTTTGGCTAGAAATGCCATTTATGTTAAAGTTATAGTTTAGGTTGCCGTGGTAGGTTTGGTTAGTGAATAAAGGTGTGGTTAAAATGGCGATCGGTGACCTCATCCCCTTTTTAACCGTGTGACCACCCCTTTTTCTGAGCCCTGTCAAAAAGGTTGCTAGCTTCCCATGCTGATACCTAAACAACTCCATTCTCGGAGGTGCAAAGGCAGAATTTCCTTTTGTTTCAATTCTGACGGCTTTTCAGTGAACTGGCTTAAAACAGCACCAACAAAAGCGGAGTTTAAAGATAGGAATGTGAAATCGCCTGAAAGTTTGCGAAAATAGCGCTAAAACCAGAGCAAAGTTTCCAGACAGAGAGAAAATATTTTCCAAGATTAATGAACTGGCTTTGACTTGTAAAATTGGAATATGATAACAAATAAATTAAAAGCAGTTATTCTTCACTTAAGCCGAATACATCTCGAAAAGTCAAGCATTTTGCCGCTTAATCTTTAAGGTAAAAACTCAAACAAGCAAAATCCACTATCAGAAAGATTCACTGGATCCATAAACTTCGATTATGCAACTGACTTATCGGCATAACATCCTTTGGTGTTTCTAAAATATATTCATATGAACCGAAAATGTATACAATATATCTGACCGCAGAAGTGATAAAAAATTCATAGCAGATTGACGCACTGGTGAGAGCTTCAAAGGTGAGGGTAGAAAGCAATGGCAGGGAACTGACAGAGCATTGCAATGGTATCTTAGTTGCGCACAATGAAGTTTGCGCAAACAACGCGAAATAAGCCTGTTTACAGTTTGCATATATAATGAGCACTGCTACTTGAATTTGAGAAATTGCTCAGTTAATATTACAAACATTTCCACCTGGGTCACATCACATAAACCATTAGCTCAAGTTTATCTCGATCAGGGGAGGCTGGGTCGGCATATGTCATTCCACTAGATCGCTAATTCCCCTGGATTGGACTAAATTGGGATCAATTAAAACAGTAAATTTTAGAAGACACCATAACGGGCGTTGCCAGGAGTTTTGTTTAGTATCGAACTTAAAAAAAGACTTGCAAAAAGGGAGTAAAGGTCACTTTCGGAAACATGGATAAAAACTTATTAAGTTGAATTGGCGAGATCAATATAGAATAAAGTCAATTTTAGAAACGCGGATCTCCTGAATGTAAACAATATTATTGTTGCAGTTAATGGACTGGAATGGCTTGACGGAACTTTAAAGAGTAACAAATGTGAAAAGCAGCGGAAAATAGAAAGTCACTTTAAAGCCGGACTAGAATTAACAAGGAGACTGGAGCATTCTGAACATAAGCACATCCAGTAGCGATATTAAGTACCCCTTTTGTTTGCTTGGTATCAAATAAATATGTATGAACTATCAAATACTTGTTGGACCAAATGAGAGAATATCTGTGGCAACAGTAGAAATCTAAGAATCTGGAATTAAACTTCTATAAAATAAACAAAAATGTCTTCGCAAAAAATCAACAAGACTTAAAAAGAATTTTACCCTGAGACTCCATTGCTAATATTTTCAATAGGCAAGCGGCACTGATTGGGCAACCTTTACAGTCATGTGCTCGCGCTTCTGATTGGCCTATATTGATCCATAACTAGATGTATATGTTTCCTAGCTTACAGTTATCGATATATGTTCTGACACATAATACACCGAAAAATTCCAGACGAAAAGCTTTAGTATGTTTCAAATGTTTGCTTTTTCAAAGCCCTTGTTGACTAGATTATGAAACATAATATTGGGGAGTACGATACGTCAGCTGAAATGGGGAAAATTACTTCCTTGTGCTATTAAAAGGCGATACAGAAAGCTATGAATACTAATGGAATGTAGAAGAGCCCACACTTATAAAGACACTTAATACTTCGCGACACGAGCTGCAAAAGCGTGTCAAAACAATATAAAAGTCCAGGAGCATTGGGTAATCTGCGGGTTGGTTCGTATTTCAGGATTTGCTTACGGTTTCAAAGCTGTTTGTAATCTAGCAGATTTGTGTGCTTATGTTGCGGTAACCCCTTAACACTACGGTTAGTCTTTCTGGCATGACGAGTTTGGTGTGTGTACTAGTTGTAAGAAATTTGTACAAGAATAACATGGGGATCAGATCCCTATATGCACAGTAAGTTTATCATCGCATTTATGCAAATATTAAACCATAGCAACCTCCGTAAGAACTTGCATCGATCAGGCATACATCTATGGTACCATGGGTAGCAGACTCACTATATATAAAATAAAATAGAGAGTCTGGTACCCAGGGTAACATCTATGGCTGGTGGCACAAAAAGATTTTCAACCGGATACTCGAATGCCAGGTTTTCTTTTAAGGGACAAAGTGGATGCTTTAAGATTCTTTTCTATTCTAAATAAAACATTTCAAAACAAAAGTAATTTTATAAGATTAACGCAAAGGTTAAAATATATATGAGAGGATACACTTGATTCTCGATAACTCAAATCCCCGATAACTCGAACATTCGACAACTCGAAATATTTCACGGGTCCTTTCTTTTCTTTGAAGCACTACTACCTGAAGATCCGAATGTTTGACAAAAGATGACCATCTTTTGATAATTTATTGAAACAATATTAATACAGCCTTATCTTGCCTGATTTGCAGACAATGATTTTCTCTGTGATTTATGCCGAGAGTTACCAAGGTATCAAGATTTCTTAACAAATACGTGTTTGCCAAAACGTTGCATGCCTGTACATTCACCACGGTATAATCTTTTGGCAGATCTATGCTTAACCGGAGCCAAAATTTAAAGTAGAGAATTAAACTAGGTGAATACGCTAAGCTGGTTGAATAACGTCAGAAAACTAAACATCTACCACACATAATTAGAAACTAAGACTATGAAGTTCAAAAACTGACTTTGAACCAATAAAGGGAATTGTTAGCATGAATATTAGATATTCATACAGACCGTATCTACAAAATCTACAGATCAGAGCCCTGCTATAAAATGTTAAAAATAGAAAAGTTGTAGATAACCATATGCTGGTTTGGTTTGTACTGTAAAACAAAAAACATAATTGCAAGCTCATACCTCGACAAACGTTCCCCAACACGTGAGCCAAAGTGAATACTGTTAATATGTATGATTTCATCTTGTGTGAATCTGCAATATCAAAGAACATATTCAGTAAGAAATGGTAACAGATGCTGACAGCTTAGAACTGCAGAGGCGTATGGCAGAAATAGACATAAATACCGAAGCTTACTGGCTTGTATCCTGTTTGCTAAGCGCAGATATTTGGTTTTGTAACTTGACACGAAGGATCAGAAAAAAGCTTCCTTTTTGCTTCCCAGTACAGCATTCTCGAGTAAACTTTCAGAGGCTTCCTTTTAAAAGCGTTAAGGTTTTTCGTGCGACCTTTTAACGAGGTAACAGACGAAAGAATAAACCCTCAATTCGGATGTAAATCCTTTGTGCTCAGAATCGATAAGAACGTCTTGACATTGGTTCAAAACGTTACACTAATGAAAAGAGAGGATGTAAAAACAGAACGACGAGAGGGTTTAAATGGGGGCGAAAGGGGGTTGAAACATATGTGGATCTAGTCATAGCTTTATTGTCATTAAATGTCATCGGTGGAAATTTATTCGATGGCATATTTTCATTTTGTGACCGCCCATTTCGGGCAATTATATTTTGTTCAACGAGCTCATTCAGGTAATTGTATCATGTACCCAGACTTAATGCATACAGTTGCATTACAATGAAATAAAAGTAATTCTTGAATTGCCCTGAAAGGCAACCTGTCTTGATTGACAGTGCTAGCCTGTGACGCTAAATTGAAATAAAGAGAATTTAACAAAGCTATAAGGCACGTCAATTAATCTAAAAAGGTTGGTTATAGTTTTGACCAATTATTAATAGGCCTAATTGGAATAAATTTACTTTTAATTAACAGTTTGGACCATCAGTTCTGTCGAAACAACAGAACCATTCTCAAAGGTAAGGGTGGTACTCGCTTTTCAAATCCACAAATCTGCTAACTGGCATTTGATATTGAAGATCACCTAATATCACCCAAGGGGCGCGTGAGAAGCAATGGAAACAAGGGGCTTTTCGCGAAAGCCGCGCGGTGGGAGAAATGCACGTTGATACAGCGACAAGCAACCAATATCTTTACAACATCGCATGCTATGATCAAATGCCGCGCGATTTTACCCTATTCCTTAGTGAAAATGGAATGACCTTTCTGGGTTGCAACAACAGGTTATGTTTTTCATCAAAATCTTGCTGAAACGTTTATCGGTGGATTTCCGCAAACATTGGGAGGAAAGGGAAGGCGAGAATCGGAATTAATCTGTTTTACACAATTCTTTAAAGATACAGTAACACATGGAAATATCTGGGGGATGGTAAGAAATCGTGAAAAATCTTTGATTTGAAGGGTTGGTTAGAACAAGATCACGTAGAAAATGGGCCGTTTGATTATTGCGCATAGATGGCCAACGCTAGCGAAGTACGAAGAAAATTGCAAAGTAGCGGAACGGAAACTAAATCTAGGTACAGCAAGCATAGAGATCGTCATGCAAACACGGTTACATATCAAGAGTCCCTATTTTTCACCTCTTATCATCTTACGTCCCTTTTTTAATGGGATAAACAAGCAGTGAAAAGGGTTCTTATAGCTTAAAGCACTGAATAAGGAAACTGTTGGCATTCTAGGTTATGGGAGAATTCTTAAAATAAAATGTCTCATAAGGGCTAAATCATCCCAACTTTTTCGCAAAGTTCATAGACAAAAACGCCCACACCAAAACGGGAAATACATGCTATAGTCGGGGTAGAACACTGGAATTTCTCTTTGCGTTTTCCTAAGCAGATATGGCACACGCTGTCTGAAATGACTTCAGAGTCCTCAACTGACTTGAATGCTACAACATGATAAGATCTTCTGTTTCAACTGCACATTTCTCTACTCCCAGATTTGCATTTTTCTACCGTATAACTAAGACCATCACGATCTAAATGCCTTGATTTTGCCGTTAATTTCACCCAATTTCTAATAATGCCGAAGCTTGGATAGGTTAGAATACTATTCTAAGTTTCAAAATGGACTAAGCTAGGAAAAAATTTAGAGCATAGTGTGATAAAAATACAGAGTATAAGAATAATAATTGTTTTTACGCGGATGTTATACTTCAACGAGGAGACCTGCTACTCCTCAATATGTTTACAGGTTTTTATTTCCGAAAAAATGACTGATAAGCTTTTAGAAGTTAAAAAGACGGAATTGAATGCAACACGACCTGTTGTCTTTGAGCTGTTTGCAATACGAAATCTAAGGCTTTTGGGATTTGGCAGTGCGTTATCTTTCGTGAAGGGAGTACCAAGAGTGTTTGGCGACTGATTTATTAGGTTCTCAGCAAATTTGTTCAAAACCATAATAGCATGAGGAGCAGAAACTTATCTTATATGGAACAAATCTAAGGTTTTGCTAGATTTAACTGGAGCATGTCGGCTATTTGCAGAGAAATCACAACTTCTCTCTCTGAGGTTAGAGGAATTCTGCCCCATTGAAAATTGGGTGAAACGAATAGACAATGCCAAAGTAGCGATTATATTAGACAACTCTGATTTCACACTTTGGTTGTGTAGATCGGCATAACTTAAAACTAATCCTTTTTGCGCTTGAAATTTGAAGTCTAAATTTTTTTTCTTGAAATGCTCATATAATTGTCCTGCAAATTGTTGCAAAATATGTGGAGACGTGATACAATTATGAATAATTCCAAGCACGCTAGATTTCCCTTCCTGACAGAATACCACTGCTGATGTAAGACACACTGTTACATGCCATTAATAAATGCCTAAAACAGAAGCTCTATCTGCTAGGCTGGAGAAATCTGCTAAGAACATATAACAGGCGGTACTTACTGTCTTCCAATAAGAGCAGCTAATGTAGGCGGTAGTGCTGATTAAAATCCTTTTACTGTGATTTGCTATAATAGCGATATAATATACACTCGACTCCTGGTGGATACAGATTCCAATTGTCATCCAAAATATATACAAACCGATGCAATATTCCACACGCGGCTATCATTTGCAAGTCAAAAACACTTTACACCATAACCACGATAACGCTATACAATCCAGATATATATCAATTAATCATGAGAACTTTGTAAATTAAACTCTTGAAGTCGCAATAGTGCCTGAACCCTACTGAACAAACAAGTTCTGATCAGTGCTTCGACTGTTGCACAACCCTTGCATACGTTCTCGGTAACAACTACGGCTACTCCGTCAACTGGCTGTGATCAATATGAAATTCTTTGGCAGTTCCCTAAGGACGAGAAACAAAACCGCATCAGAAAGCGCTTGTTTCTTCAATTATTAATGAGGAAAGTAGAGGAGAAATACTCTTTATATAAAATACAAAGCAGCGTTAGAATACAATGAGGAAAACACACCGGATAGTTTACAATAACGCTGTGGTGGCTTTCCATTCAACTCAATTGTACTAAACGGTGCAATCGGCTATGAAGAGCCCGTGTGTGGCACCTCATTATGGGAAAATTGGATCTTGGCGAGGGCATCCGGAGACTGCCTGCTGTCTGAAGGAGGTGCACTAGCCGGGGAGGGGGGTGTGGGAGATATCGGTGCGCGATGAAAGGAACGAAGAGTTACGCCATAAACAAGGGAAGAATACGCACGTGTAAAAATAGAACTGCCACCCCGACCCCGTTATTTTTAAAACTGGATGGATTGAGCAGTAACGAGAAGATCTTTTCCAAAGCTGGGAGAAGAGATAAGCACAGAAAAGCTTCTGACGTCAAGTGGTATTTAAATCCAAGACAAGGGTAGTTAGAGTAGGATGCAAGGTCACAATGACACATTTCTAGAAATCGGTCGTCACCATTACACACGAAGCAACCCCTTATGCCAGACTTTAGTAAGCCTCAAGAGAAAAGGCAAAGAGCACAGCAAGGCTCCCTTTTTTCTTCTATAATTTCTGTTGAAGGGATTCTGATACCTAGGGTATTGTGAAGAGGGGGAAGAGAGGGGCGAATCATTTCTTGGGAATCTTGGACGCCTTTGAAGGAAATTATATTATTTCACGTGAAAGTTCCTAGAAATCTCGTCCATTTTTTGCGAGTGAATGATCTCTTGCGTACGAAGCGTTATCACTCAGGGCGCAAAGGATTATGGTCAATAGAAATGTCAGTTGTCCAAACGAGAACGAAATACGGTCTCAGAGGCTCGCGAGAGGCAACGGTATCGTAAAACGAAACTGACTGTTATTGTCTTCAATTAAACTTTGGAAGAATCTTGTGAATTCCACTCTTCAAAAAAACATGTTTTAAGCCAATTGAATACGGCCTAAAGGGTCTATATTTGCAAAAAGGTTTGGTTTGAAAAGGAAGTAAAAATTTCAAAGTGTGCAATAACAAAAGAAATAACATGCAGCAACTGGGAATGCTTTATAAGTCCTTAATGCCTGTGTAAATAAATGAAACGAAAATTGAGAAAGAATAAGGCAGTTCAATGGATTTCAAAAGCGCTGCATTGCTTACCGGCAGGACACTGGTTTCTGCAGGGCAACAACATAAACAAGAGTGAAGGTTAGATTGGATAAGGAAACGTGATCGGAAGGCAAGCGATCAAGTAAGTTGAGAAACATATCTAAGCGAGATAAATATTTAGGGTTATTCTTTCTGTCCCTGGGTGGCAAATCTTTGCAAAAAAACGGAAGGAAGAGAGTGCTAGAATGCCAGCTAGTTTCAAGAATAACACAACAATAAAAGAAAGGCTATGAACGTTTGAAAGTTTCAATACGTAAAAAGAAATGTAACAAAAGCAACCATATAACCAGGAAATGACGATTTTGTACGAAAGTATATTGTTATCAAAACAACGAAAATATTTTAGAAATATTTAAAGTGGAAAATGCAGTAAACATGCAATTGCGCATCGAATTAACTAATAAATTGAATAAGAATAGAAAATATTTATAACTGCTGGATACTTTAAAGAATTTTTAATAAACCAATACTTTGGAAAAATGTACTCCACCAAAAACACAGGATATGGAGAAAACATCTAAATGACTAATTCGTTTAGTTCAGGCAAATTAAAATGATTTGAAAACATAAATTAGATTGATTCGAACTCTATTTAAATACGTATAATTGCTTTCTCTAGAGAAGCGTGGATTTCAGATAAATTTACATGGGCCAACCGGCAGAGTAGGGCAGTTGGCAGGTAGAAATTTTTTGATGCAGTTAGAATAGTGATTGAAATTCCCACATCATTTGTGTAGAGTTACAGTGAATCGTGAGAAGGCCGATTTCTTTGACTAATTTGATTTGCTCTGCTTTAAACCAGACGATCGCCGTGAATAAAGGTTGAAATTGCATTATGTCTGTTACATCTACCCAATCGTGAACAGCCAAAGTCATATTTGAAAGCATTTTGGCTTCTCGTTGAATAAAAGCTCTAAAAGGCTTAGTTTTCTCCGAGCTTCGTGTGTAATTTTCGGTTTTATCTGTCCTGTGAAGCTTTCAATTTTTGACTCCCATCTTATGCGGGGTCATCCTTGTTAAAGAAAAGAATAGAAGGCCCATAGCCTTTTTGAGGGGATTTTAACTGCGGGGGAAATCCTTATAATAAAAAAAGCTGGAGCTGGAAGGGCAATTTCCCCTTTCTCAATATGCTAAAAATTCCCTGAGAAGTACAGTCGGTTTCTGAATGTCATCTCCAATAAATGCCCCTGAAAAAGTAACACCTCTGGTGGTCACTGGATTCCATATCTATGATGGTGTAGAAATATCATGAGCAAGAACGAAGCAAAAACGTTCACGAGAAACGATAAACAGTCAGAAATTAACACAAAACATGTCGGTGACCAGGCCTGACAGACAACAAGTTAACAGAATTATGTGGTCATATTGAAATGCATTTTCAACCATTGCATACAGATAGATAACCTAGCAGATTACCCGCGAGCTGATAGGGTGACTTGGCAAGGCATCAGGACTGAAAACCAAGAACTAGTGCCAAAGTATATTCTAAGACGGAATTAAAATCTCTTTTTCGCATATAGACAACAGGCCAACTAGGACCTCGCTAGACATTTCAATGTTCTAATCAATAAAGACTTTAATGAACAAAATTGTAGGTTACTGTACCTCTGCTAATGATGAAGAGAAATTCATTTTAGCATAAAAAAATAGATTCGGCCATCAGTGTTCATGTGAGCACAAAGTCATCCAGTTACCATTGAACTGACTACCAAAATTGCAGCATGAACACAAAAAACATAAAAAAATCTCAACATCAGTTTAAATTTGCTACATACACACGGCTGCATTTAAATCTGTTGGGGCTCTGGGCCAAAAGTTTATTGGGGCCCCTGAAAATATACCAAATAATTGTGTCACGTGCGTAGTACTTGCCTAAACATAAACATAACCAGCCAGGTTAATATTCACTAAATAGTTTGATAGATAAAAACTAAAACACACGAATAAACTTGTATCCATTTCGCATTTCAGTGCATTCCCAATAAAACTACACTTGCCCCTTGGTTCGTGATGCTAATGTCTTTCGTTATTACTGCTGAAAACTTTTCAATGATTTGATTGGGGTTGGTTAAAAACTCCCAGGACATCTGCTGCCATTAAACATAAGGCAACAACGCGCTACTGTGACACTGTGCACCTTAGTTCACTCTTTTTCTTTACCCTTTTCAGTGGTGAAACATTTTTCACCGGAGAAACCTCCGTATGGCAAGTTGAGCAACAAACTAAGTGCAGTCATTGCATTGGGGAAGCTCTAGCCAGGGCCATCAAGAGTTTTGAAGGCCCTGGGGTAAAAACAAAATACGAGACCCCCTGCGAGCGGAGCGAGCTCAAAATTCTTGAGACCGCGCCCTTTATTCTATTTTAAAAATAGAATTCATTACTATACAAGACCTCCTAGCTCAACTCAAACACAAGTTTGAAATCAAGAGCACTTTAAAGGCTTTTCAAAAATTTTGCCAGGGCCCTGTGGGCCCATGGGTAAATTCGTCACAGCACACATATCCTGTGATATGGCAAATGAAAGAGTTGAGTTTTACTAACAGATGTCTGTTATCTTCACTTGGTTCATATGTTTTCGAGCAAGGGCCAAATTACAGTGGGGGGAAATTTGTACTCATATGGCCATATCGCAGGCAATTCGCAACAGATAACGTAAGTTCATATATTACAGAGGTATTTTCACGGAGTAAAACAGATTTTTGTGATATCATCACAACATACAAAGTGTTATGTGGCCTCAATGTCCTAGGCTATGGGACATTGGGCTTCATATGTTGCTTAATTGTGCTTTACCTTGCAAAAATTAAGTACACTAAACCCAACGTGCTGTGCGAAAACGCCTTCTCCATCTCCATCTTTTCGGTAATACTGATAAATATCGTACAGACACGACAAAGAGCATGATTGGGGGGAGGTTCAAAGAAATATTAGATTAATTTACCTCTATTATTGCAAATCGAAATTAAATAGGCCAATAAACCTAAAGCAATGTAGCATCTGAGCAGATAAACAATACAAAGAGTATAAAACAAAAAAATGAGGACTCTTTGACGTATTAAAATGAAATAACAAGAGATTTTTACGTAATCTGACAATAAAAAAGTTTTGTTGACCCCCCATCGATTGTTCCGAGCATAGTTAAACATAATCTGTTTATCTTGAATTTTTCTACTAGGAATCACAAGTGATTGTCAATAATTGAAAAATATGCCATTAAAAATTTACATCGTCAATATTTCAGGATGAATTTCAATTGTCTGGTTAGCGGTTTTCATTGTCGCTTTATAGGTGTTAACAATACTTTTGTATTCGGCTACTACGTTCAATTGGAAACCAGAACGTTTTCTTAGCCCTGGATGTTCACTAGAAGTAGAAACCAATAATTTTCATCGCAATTTTCCTGCTTATCCAGTATTCCCTAGCAACAATTGCTCACAATATGTGAAAAATATACATTGACATGAAAATTTCAACATAGAATGGCGAAAGTGGAGTAGAATACGGAGATTTCGTTGCAAATCGTGATGAGTGTCTTCAGAAGAGCTTCTGTTAAGACTTTTTGTTGAAGTTTTGATGAAAGTTAAAGAAAATAACCGCTGGAAGCATGGATTTTGGAAAGTGCTGCTGAACTTCTAGTCGAATAGTACTTTTTTATGATACCAAGAAATATGATTTGACTTTTTGAACTTTCTGTTAGATATGAAAAGTATCTGAAATAAAGAAGGCAAACATTTCCTTCCACAGATATCACGTTAGAAAG